CGACGACTCCCTCCCTCCCTCCTCCCCCCCCCCCCCCCTGGTCGGACTTGAAGTACCCACCCCCGCCGTTGCTCCTCGTGGCCGTCGCCTTCGTTCTTTCGTCCCTGGAAAATTACTTCCACGCCTCGCTATTGCAACTCTTTGCGCCGACCGCTCTTGACTCTCCTTCTTTTCGAGCCGCACCGGGACGCTGCGCCGTGCCGATCTACATTCGCCATCGGGTTTCAATGTTCATGATTCCAAAAGTCGCTCTTTCGCCCCCGGAACATCAAACCAATTGTCATCTCGACCAGTAAATTCGCAGGCGCGAAATATAGTCAAAATGACGAGGCCTCGGATTGTCCGGGCTGGTATGTGCAACGAGTGGAAGTCATGTGTCCGTCGTGCTGATCAGCAAATGTATGATGACAGATACCATGGACCTACAGGACCACCATGCCCCTTCCGCCAAGGATCACTCCAGACAGCCCATGAATGTATCGGGCATTGCCCCCCACCAGGAACAAGCGCTTCGCCAGGCCGACCAGGATACCAAAGCTGAAATCATGCATGGTCCCAGCGCCCAGGACGGCGAACCTGGTGACAACCGCGCCGACGGCATCGATATCTACGACGATGACGATGATGACGACGACGAGGAGATTGAGGATATAGATCACCACGGCGATCTCTCCGGTGAACACGAAGAAGGCGATCTGGCCGACGGCGAAAGTGATGACATGCTAGATGACGATATGATGGATAAGATTTCGAGCTCTCCGTCCATTGACGACGGTATGTCTGGCCTCCTGCGTTCATCCCCATGTCACACCGCAGAAATCTCCGGTTCTCGGGCACTCTCTGCCCCTTGAGGCCCCAATCACGGTCGGACCTAACCCAAATCTAGAGGATATTGACTTCGAATTCGTCTATGCGCTGCACAACTTCTACGCGACCGTCGACGGACAGGCTAACGCCTCGAAGGGTGACACCATGGTGCTGCTGGACGATAGCAACAGCTACTGGTGGCTCGTGCGGATTGTCAAAGACGGTAGCATTGGTAGGTCACCTGCTGTTATAGGTATATCTAAGCTCACCGTAAGCAGGCTATCTGCCCGCTGAACACATTGAAACTCCGACCGAGAGACTCGCCAGATTGAACAAGCATCGCAATGTGGATGTGAGTGTGGCCGCCGTCGGATCTCGGCCAGTTACTGATACTATCTGTGGTAGCTTTCGGCAACCATGCTCGGAGACAATTCGGAGAAATCGAAGAACCCGCTGATGAGGGCGGTGCGTCGCAGAACAACCAAAAACGTCCAGTTCACCGCTCCGACGTACATCGAGGCGTCCGATATCGAGTACTCCAGCGATGAGGACTTGGACGACGCGGCGTCCTTCAACGATGACGAGGGTTCGCGAGCGGAGGCGGAGGATGCACATGACGGCCAAGCGGATGACATCGTTGTTCAGCCATTGAGGACCAAGTCGCAACGCGACAAGGGCTCCGAAGAAGGCGGCGTCGATGACACTGAAGAGCCCGCTAGCAACAGTCCGATCAAGCAACGCTCTAGCCAGGAGCTATTTGAGCCTGAAAGTGAGTGTCTCAGTCCGGTCTCTGGGACCTTGGCTAAGAAGAATGTAGCCGACAACAGTGTGAGCCGGTCGCGAAATGGCACCGTACGCAATACCGATTCCTTCTTCCGAGACGACACCGTGGAGACCAAGAAGATTTCCCTGACGCCCAACCTGCTCCGGGATGAAATTGGCAGTAGTACTCTCTCCAGCGATGCCACTGAAGTAAGTCACTTGTTCCGACCTCGTCGAATGTCTATTGACCTGCATCAGAACCGCGGCAGCATGGAGAATATCGACAAGACCCTCAGTGCGATTGACAAGAGCAAAGAGGATAAAAAGCGCAAAGACAAGAAGTCGGGAATGCTGAGCGGCCTCTTCAAGAGGAAGGACAAGAAGTCCAAGTCCCACGACGAGGATACTGATGAAGCAGAGAAGAACTCGAACGAATTCTCCCGATCTTCACCCCAGCCTAAAACATCCCTGGATTCGTTACCCTCCCCAGTCTCTCCTGAAGCTCGATCCCCCAAGCAGATGGTGGTGCAGAAGCAGCCCAGTAAGCTGCAGAAGCAACCTCCGGTGGCACTCTCTCCAACGAAGCAGGACTTCCCTCGTGAACAGGAGCCTGCTACTATTGACCGAAGCATCAAGTCTGCGATGAGCAGCAAGTCGGATCAAACCATCCGACAAGTCACATCGGAAGAAGCGGATGACATCCCCTCATCACCCCCACTGGGGCCATTCGATGACAGCCAGGAGGTCATGATGTCTTCCGCTCGGGTACCGAGCCCTGCGAAGAAACTGGTGCAGCCCGAAGCGCAGGATCAAATAACGTCACCAGTTGAATCGAACGGCGACTGGCAAGATGCGTCCGAGAATGTATCCTACGCGCAGCGTTCGGTGGCATCGCCCCCACAGAGATTCCAACCGAGACAGTTGGATTATCAGAACCAGGGATTTGACTCTCCGGACAGTGCTTCGATCGAAGAGGCCCCGGTTTCGCCTCTCGGACCCGGACCAGGGATGGATTTCTCCAATCCGGCAAGACATTCTGTTATCTCGGTTTCCCCGCCCATGTCTCCTGTTACGAGTCATCGCGACAGTCGAGGCATTGATGCTCGTTCCTCGTTTAGCAACGCATCTGCGCCTACCCCTACATGGAGTGACGCAAGCTTGCGAACCTATTTAGAAGAAGAGAACGACATCCGTGATTTGTTCGTGATCGTCCATGACAACTCGAATATTCCGCCTGCTGGTCCTGATCACCCGATCACTGGCTGCCTGTTCAAGGAAGAGAGCAAGAGACTGCGAGAAATGAGCAGCCAGCTGGATTCCATGCTGGCTGAATGGGTTGGTCGCCGAGTACGGGAGTCGGCAAGTAGAGCGGATATACGGTCTCAGGCTTGATGCCTGTCGTAAAAGGTGGATTGTCCATCGTTGATGAACTCCTGGTCCAGCTTTTTTATCCACCCCATGGGGCCTGAACTTGCCATGTGCTGGACGCATGGCAACAGCTGGCCTATGGTGTTCTGTTCGCCGCTCTGGTAGGTGCACGACGAGTGCGGCTCTGGAGCGGCTCGGGTCTATAGGATCGTATAGTTCTGATTTCCTTTGTTTGCATTCTGTTTTATTCAGTCTCATGAATTGGGGACTGACCATCATATGTTTTGTTCTTTCTTTCCAGCCTACTACATGGCTGCTGGGATACCCCCCAAACTTCAGGCAATCTAGACCAGATCCTGTCGTTTTTATTTTTGAATAGTTTTATGAAGAGATGTTCATTTCATTCATTTGCATCTGCATTTGCGTATTGTGTTTGGATGAGAGAAATGCATGATCTTCAGTGTGTTTGGGAAGAATCGAGGTATATGATATGGCGTCGAGTGATGGTGGAATGTGCCCTGCATCTCGTGAGGGCTGCAAGGCTGTCGCGCGGCACCGTCAGCTGGCCCTCCCTCCCTCCTGCCATGTCATCTCCAATCCACTGTAACCAACGTAAGCCGTAGTAAATGTTTGCTTTGCTGCCCGGTAGATAGATAAAAACCTGTAATGCAGCCAGTTTGACTCCCGCCCTGACCTTCAAATCTCTATCCCGACCCAAACGTCCGTCAAAATGGGCGGCGACCCATACTCCTCCTCGCAACCCCCACCAGCGCAGCAGCAGTATGACTACAACTACAACTACCCCTCCGCTGACCATGACCAATTCCCCCCGAACTACCAGCAACAGCAGCCCTACGGCTACACCTCGCAGTACGATGTAACCCAGATCCCCCGCTCTCATCCGGACGAAGCTGGCGGAGGAGCCCCCCCAGCCCCAGCCCTTGATCAACAGGATCAACAGCCACCGCCGCACTACTACGACTACGACTATGACCACAACCGTCTGGGTCCGCAATATGAGCCCCTTCCGCCTCCGCCGCATGGGATAGTCAGACAGGGAAGTAACGCGGAATATTAGTGAGATTCGCCTCTCTTTTATTTTTTTTTTCTTTTTTCTTCTGGCTGCTGGCTGCGTCCCCGCGGGGCTTGTTCGCTACTTCTCGTCCGATGATCTCACCCTCAGCCAAAAACCCCGGGTGTCGATCATTCCTTCGTGAGCGTCACTAATCAAGCTCGTAGCAACCCATCCCAACACGACCTCTCCCAGCCCCAACCGGACGACAACGGCGACAACCCCGGATCCTCCGACCGCGGCCTCGGCGGGGCCATCCTCGGCGGCACGACGGGGTTCTACCTGGGCCATAAGAAGAGCCATGGGCTGCTTGGGGCGGTGGGCGGGGCGATTTTGGGGAGTTTGATGGAGAATAAACTGAAGGAGGCGAGGGGGAAGGAGGATCATGATGGAAGTATTTACGGTGGTGGTGGTGCGGGGGGGAGTCACTATAGTGGGAGTGACGATGAGCGGGGGAGTCATTATAGTCATCGGAGTAGTAGCCATAGCCATAGCCATAGCCATAGTCACCACCGGCATGGGCATGGGCATGGGCATCATCACCACCATCACCACCATCGCCATCATCGGCATAGGCATCATCGGAGTTCGTCGAGGAGGAGTGGTTCGGGGGATGGGGAGGGGTATGGTAGTCGGGAAGGAGATGGGGAGGGGAATTATTGATTCCTGGGAGGAGGTCCGGTTGGTTGTTGAGGGATTGGGCTTTGAGACTTTGTTTGTGGATGTTTGTAGGTGATGTGTTCGTTAGGTTGTAGACGGTCTTTGACGGTTGATGCGCTTGATTGTTGTTCTTGCTCATGTTTACGGGATAAGCCTCTGGCTTAAGCACTTGTCAATAGTGATGATGGAGAGATGGTTTGATGAATCTATCAAAGCCAGTTAGTGACTAAGCTTCTCTGTTTGCATTTAGGTGTACAGCTGCCTGCACTGATAGTGTTATGCTGTGCTAAGCTGTGCTGTGATGCCCTGCCGTGTAAGTGCCACCATTTGCCCTTGTAGCTCAACAGTAGAGCGAGATACTGTTGATTTTGCTAGATGTTCGATTCATCCGAAGGGCTTCATTCACCTCTTTATAGTGCCATAGTGTCAATGCAGGAGGACACTAGCACGGACACATCTTAGCATCACATCAACCTATACTTCTAGGTCCAATCAAGGAACACTGGCAGATGCTGAAGGAGAATGACGACAATGCCGAGTGGGATATCATCATCGTTGCGGCCGGTGCCTTGCAGCACTTTAGCGCCACTTGGACCCTGGTTCGGTGGCTGGATCGGAATCTGGGGGAACCTCATCTCAAAACCAGATCTGTCAAAAATAAGTTCAACGTCGAGATCGGGACTATTGACTCTGTGGAAAACAGACAGTCAAGGGTTGATAATCGCAAATCAGTCTGGGGAATTTGAGTAAGGCGTCGATCGTCAGGAGGGAAGCTTCTAACGGGGTCTTGAGACATCTGTCAGTGTTTGCGTTTGTCGCTGTCAAACAACAGTTACAACACAATGATTGATTGGTATGGACGCCTTATCGGGATAATCTATTTCGCCCGGTGGTTAGAGCTGAGATCAAACTCAAACGGAGAATGAGTGGCTGATGACGTGGAGCTGAAGAAAGCCAGAGGCCATCTTAGGGCAATGAAGGGATAATCCATGTCATCATACTGGAAAAGCGCCCTGTTATGGTTATCCTGTGGAGATCCCGCAATCCATGGAAATCCCCATGGGCTGGCTGCCTTGCTGGGATAAAGTTGAGAGGCATGGATCATCCTTATCAGACTCGGATGCTGGTGGATGAGTGGCTGAGTGGATGAATGGGATCGACAGTCAGCTGCTGCTCTGGGGATGAACTGATGATATGAACAAATTGATCGATTTATGAGAACTCACAAATAGTGAACTAATAATCACAGTTAGTCAGTGGATGAGTGGTTCCGACCCTCCTCCGAGAACCCAATCAGGGCCAGGCGATAGGGGAAAGGAAAGGTTATCGATTCAGCTATCAGTGGCATCCATTCATCCCAAGGGCCTCGTGACTCCATCCCCAAATGGAGTGTGACTCTTTCCTTCTCCAGTCACTTCGTCTTTTCCTCTTTCGTAACTATCAGCATTCCTCCCACTCCCCCATTCCCACTCATCCCCCTTCTTCCTTTCCTCTCCCCTTCCCCTTCCCCTTCTTCATTCTCTTTCATCCTCACTCTCTCTCCCCTCCCTCTTAGACAACCATCTTTGTCACTCATTTTCCCGACCCCACCCTTTGTCTTATCCCGATAGATAGAACCACTACCGCACTACAGCCCTATTCCGTCTTATCTACGCCTACGCCTCTTATCATATCAATCCCTCCTCTCAGACAGGCCTCAAGACCGCTGCCCAACGCTCAGCACTCTGGAATAAAGACAATCCGTTTACCTCAGTCAAATCGCTCTAGACACAGCATACAACCTACCTCAAACCATGCCTCCTCCTTTGATACAATACCTGCAACCTACGCTGCCCCAGCACTGCGAACCAACCTCGCCTTTCCTCGCTGCCATATCCTCCTACCTCCACGTCTGCGTGCCTACGTCGTTAGCCTTGATATCCTCCCTCCTGGGAACACTTAGCATCATCTCCTGGCTATTCGCACAGCTCCCGCAAATTTACAAGAACATCCAACTCCAATCAACATCAGGACTGTCACTCTTCTTCCTGGTCGAGTGGTGTCTAGGTGACGCCTGCAATCTCCTGGGCGCCTTGCTCACCCGACAAGCCGGCTGGCAGGTGATCGTGGCCGGGTACTACGTCTTTGTCGACGTCACCCTCGTCTTCCAATACTTCTGGTACACAATCTATAGACGGGGACAGGACGGCTATGGTGCCCTCACCCACTCGCACTATGATAATGGAACGGGAGGTATTCTGGAGGGCGTTCCCTTCTCAGAGGACGACTCGATCTCTCATGTCCCACGTCCCCTGGCGGGCATTCCCGTGTCGACCCCCAAAGACATGAAGGACCTCAAAGAGCCCACTGTTAGCGTGTCCAACGGCCAGTCACCATCCTACAGCAATGAGAAGTACAGCTCCTCCCGCCGCTCCATCATCCGCACCAGCAGCAGCGGGCCTAGTCTGCCCATCGGCTCCCCTCGCACCCTCCTGCTCGCTTCCATGCTGTGTGCCGTCCTCGCCAACGCTGCTCCTACCGAAGTCCAAGCAACAGCGACAGCATCTGGCCTCTCCCCGCATGCTCTCGAAGTGCTTGGCCGCATCATATCCTGGATGTCCACGGTCCTCTATCTGGGCTCGCGGCCGCCCCAGCTCTACAAGAACTACTGCCGGAAGAGCACCTCCGGCCTCTCGCCGCTCCTCTTCATGGCTGCCTTCTCCGGCAACTTCTTCTACTCGGCCTCCCTGCTTACCAACCCCAACGCCTGGTACGACTTCCCTGCCTACGGCGGTGGCGGATGGGCAGATGCGGACGGCAACAACCGAGCCGAGTGGGTGAGCCGGGCCATCCCCTTCTTCTTGGGGGCGTTCGGCGTTTTGGCCTTCGACGGCACCATGGGCGTGCAGTTCCTGGTCTACGGCTCCCGCGACGACGAATCCATCATGGAGGTCGAGGACCCCAAGGATGGTCGCAGCCACTGGACTCGTGTCCGCGGCTGGATGAGGGGCTGGATCCCCTCGGTGTCATCCTCTGCCGTCGCCACGCCTCGCAATCCCGAGAATCAGGCCCTGCTCCGTCAACATGACCGCGAGAGATACGGGGCTGTTTGAATCTCACGTCACTCAAACCAAACCTGCAGGATTGTCGTACTACGCAGCCATCCACGGTCTCCCCGGCAAAGCCTCGGTCTCGGGACCTGTTTTTCTGCCTATCGGCTGGACATGATTATCACACGACTTTATGCCTATCATCACCCCACATCTCACATTACACCACATACCCATGTTATCAGCTTGCTCGGGTTTCAGGATATTATATCATCATTTTTCGGGATCTGTTCTTAACCTCATCATCGTTGGGGGTATTATCACTCTGCGCGACCCTATCAGCGTACTTATACTCATCCTACCGGCGTTATTGGTTTCCTTTCTGGGGTTTATTTTTGTTTCTCTTGGAAAGCGAACGGGGCTTATCACATACAACACGGGGGCGCATTGCATTGATTCCACTAGTTGGCCTAACTGGCTTGATCCTTGTTTGCATAGAGGTCGCTCAACCTGTTCCCCCCTCCAGGTTCCAGTTCTTTCTGCTTTTTTTCATGTGGCCGAGACGATAGATTCGCCTCTACTTTCTCCCTGGTCGATTTTGGCCTGCTTCTGCACATTATCCATACAGCCATACATCATGCATAAGAGTGCAGCCAAGAAGAACCTTGGCCAAGCAGAGCTCTTAATATCAGACACTTTCTCATACAAATTACTCCAGCCTATCTACTAAAGACTCTGAACGTAGATAGAGCCATACCTAATCTACTGCCTTCAACGTACTGTGCTCAAGCAAAACCACCACGATTTCCCATCTTCACCTCCTTCCCCCGAAAAAGGAGAACCAATGATAGGTATGTATATAGTCATAAAAACGAATAAATCAGTCATTCAATTATAAATCAACCACTATTAGAAGTCCCGGTCCCATTTCTCCCTTCGTCTCTGATGGAAAGACAAGAAAACAAAAAAGCTTTCAAGCGACCTTCAGCCTGTGTTCCCTGCGTTTCCAGAGCCCCGCGTTTCCCTTTCGCTCTCATCGATCTCATTAGTTTTAGTTTCAGTATAGGTACAGTACAAGTTCAATTGCTGCGGAAAAAGGCAAGGTGGGTGGGGAAAAACAACGTCGAAATCATGTACACAGCCAATGCAATGTCCGTGCAGGAGGTAGAAAACGAACTGAGGAGGCAATGGGTGAAAGAAGAGGGGGAAAAAATAAATAAACAGTGTATAAATGGAGTCGGTTCATGAGCGTGAATGTCATCCCATGATTTCTCTTGGTTTTCTGTGCATAAGAAGAAAGGGGGGGCAGATAAGGACATGAAGTGCGACATTTGTTAGGTTCAGCTAATGATACACACACAGCTCGTGGTGAAAGAAGAGACTGCCTCCGATCGACCAGCGATACACGGCATTGAATGACCGGCTGCGAGAGAACAACCGGCTTGGAAAATGTACCTGAAGACTCTGAAACAATATATGCAACAGCAACCATTTTCACATGGACTGACAGATTTGACTTCCGGACAGGCCAGCAAAGCTCCAAAGCAGACATGGTAGCTCCTCCCCGGCAAGAAGATTTATCTAAAACAGAGGCGATTTGACATCTTGTACACCCCGTCTGATAACATCCTCAATCGGCCATCTGGGAGGCACAACCTTAGGAGTCCGCTTGCGATGCCATGCCTTCTCCATCTCTGGAGGGGGCGTCATTTCCTCATTCGCCGGTAGAGCACCACCTGCAATTCCCGTGGAGAACTTGAGTTGCAACACGTTGCCGATCTCGTCACAGGCGGTCAAGATACGATCGAGGTCTTCCTTAGTGTGGGCGGCCGACACACAGAAACGGGCACGAGACGAGACCAAGGGGGTGGCAGGATAGCCCACAACAACAACGGAGATCTTCCGCTTCAGCATCTCGTGAGAGAAGGCAGGCATCTTGGCAGGATTAAAGAGGAGAACAGGGATAATCGGCGAGTCGTCGTGACCATACACTATAAAGCCAAGACGCTTCAATCCCAGGCGCAGATACCGGGAGTTAAAGGCCAAGCGCTGTAGTCGCTCTTCACCCTGACCGGGGACAAGCTCGCCCTGAATCAGTCGCAGTGCCGACATAATTTGAGCCAAGACTGCTGGAGCAGGTGCTTCTCCATAGAACACGCCGGAGTTCGTGGCTCGCAGTTTATCAATCATGGCCTTATCTGCTGCAATGTAACCGCCGTTGGCACCGAAAGACTTGGTGAGCGTGCCCATAAGAACATCCACCTCGTTGGTATCGATACCGAAATAATCACAAACACCACGGCCTCGGGGTCCAACCGCACCGATCGAGTGCGCTTCATCAATAAACAGGTTGTACTTGTAGCGTCTCTTTAACTCGATCAAGCCAGGAAGGTTGCACATTGATCCCTCCATAGAGTAGAGTCCCTCCACCACAACTAGGATCTTCTTCCATGGGCGGTGAGTGCGTGGTTGTCCCTGACTAATGGCCTCACGTAGCTTCGCCTCGAGATCGCGCATGTCATTGTGTCTGAACATAGCAATGGAGGCACCGGAAAGACGGGCACCGAATCGGATGGATGCGTGGTTCAGCTCATCCGAGATGATCAAGCAGCCTTTGTTGACGAGAGCCGGGAAAATGTTCGCATTGGTTCCGAATCCCATGGAGAAGACCATTGAGGCTTCTTTACCGACAAATTTGGCGACCAAGTCTTCAACCTCGACATGCAGATCTTGCGTGCCGGTTTCAGCACGGGTGCTTGGTGAGGTGATTCCATACTTCCGGAGCGTCGCCTCGGCGATATCAGCACATGGGCCTTCAGACTGAGCGAATCCAAGGTAGTTGTATGAACTCAGGTTCAGTGTATCAGTTGTCGTGCCGGTCAAATAAAAGTGTCGATTGTGGTCGTCCGTGGCCCGATCGATCAGGGTGATGTATCGGCCAGGCACGCCAGTCACTGGCCTTTCGAAACAATCGTTGATGCGGAGCTTGAGGCGGCGCACGTAGAAGTTGTCAAAATCGCTGTTGAGCGCCCCATAGCCATTCCGGGGCTTCAGGTGACGGTAGTTCTCTTCGCGGAACCGCTTTCCGAAGAAATCGCGCACATGTCCAAAAGCAATGAGGATAAGGTAACTGATATAAGTCGTGAGCAGATAATAATAGGGCGGCTCGTCCATTATAGGCTCCGGAAAAGGCCCGCCAGGATGTCGGCTGGAATAGCGGTGACTGTGGTGACCGATTGGGCCGAACTGAGCATGTTGCTTGGCCAGCCGACGAGCCTCTTCAGGCGAAGGGGGCTGGAATAACGTGGTCGGGGGCTCATCCATGTTGGGGTTACCCGCGGTTGCCGTTGAGAGAGAGATTGTAGGAAGCGACAGAGAAGCAGAGCTGATCGGCGGTGCGACCGTACTAGAATGGGAGCTTCCACTAAGCGACTGAACAGTACCCTGCACAGTCTGAGGCTCAGCCCTTGACTTCGGAGAGGTAGAGAAGAGTTGGCTTAGGCGACTAGGTTTCACGGAGGGCGCCTTGATGGCAATGCCGCCCTTGACAGAAACGGAGGAAGAGAAGGGAGCGTTAGAAGGATCGTTGGTGAGAGAAGGACCGGCAGCTCGACGAGGCATCGCAAGGAAGCAGCCGGACAGAGACACGGAGAATCGTGCGGGTTCGATAGGAGGAAGAGCGCAGTCGGCTGGAGACGGCAAGAACCACCTGGTCGGCAGCACTCACGATTTTTCGAGTAAAGGAAAGATCCGCTCGCTGGCTGATGTTACCTAGCCGCTTGTTGTCTCCAATTGGTATGAACAGCAAACGGCGTTCGTAGATTGTCCACCTAAATGGCCGTTGAGAACATGGTCAGTGACTTGGGCAATTGAGTGTCGCAAAATGGCAAGACATTCGGGGAGCACACAGCGCAAGAAATTACAAGGGGAACAAAAGGGCTTTTGCAAAAGGAGAACAAAGTGTAAAGAAAGGAGAAGTAATCGCGAAAGGTCAAAAAGATGACCATTTAGGAGAGGGGGGGGGCGGCGGAGAATCAGAGATGATCGGTCAGGTACTGTACCTTTTGCACGTGGAGCAACAGTAGCAGGAGGCTCGGAGCCCTGCAACGAACAAGGTAAATTTAAAATCCTTGAGGCCAGGACAGGAGAATCCGCACGAACACTAACCCACCGGAAAAGAAAGCGAAGTGCGGATGATGGTGAGGAGGAGAGAAGAGAAGACGGATGTTGTAGTGGTGGTGGTGGTGGTGGTGGAGGAGGAGATGAGGAGAGGAGAAGGTGGTGGTGGGAACGAACGGGTAGTGAGCGAGTAAGTGAGAGTCGAGTCGAACAATTCGGGAGGGACTCGTTCCTGAAAAGGTCGAGAACTGATTGATTGAATGACTGATTTGTGCAGAGTGCAGAACCAACCCATGGTCATATCAGCCCATTGGGTATTATTAATGAAGAACTAATGAGGATAAACAAATTAAGCGTTCCCATCCTCAGCACGCCCCGATGGGTCCTATTCCACTTTATTCTTTTTTTACTGCTTCTTTTTCTTTATTTCGGTTTTTTTTTCTTTTTTCTTTTTTTCCTTTTTTTTCCTTTCCCTGTAAGTAGTAGTAAGCGGATGTCACGGAGCGGTAATGGAGCGGTAAGTTGGACCCTCGTTCCCAGCCGTTTCGGTGGTTGAGCAATTGGTCAATTGGTTCTGCCCTGGTAATCAATCTTTCCCGCTCAGGTGGACGGAGTCAGAACAACGTACAGTACGGGGCTCAGTAAGAAAATAAGAAAGGGGCAACGCAAGGTGCATGAACTGCCACACTGCACTTCTGTTGTACATTGAATTGTAAACTGGTAGCCTACTCTATATGTACAGTGTACATCCTTCGATGCACGGAGGAATTTCACCGCCACTTATCTCCAGCTTCTGCTGCACTGTACATGGGTGGTTGGATACAACTTTACTCGAGGCTCAACTGGTCAACAGACAACAGACTTATGCAGAACTGTTTCTGCCTCAGGCCAGCATGCATGACTCTACACTACCTGCGCATCTCCCTAGATTCAGCTTGCATTCGCACCTTTGCCCACACAGAGTCATTTTCACCGTCTACTTGGATGGTGATTGTTCAGTAGTCCCCGTACTTATTATCATTGTTGGCTTTGTTCTTGACTCTGTTCCCCGCTGTTATCCGCTCTGTTCCGCCCCCGTTCCGCCCCGGAATGCCCCATAAAATGCTCCAGTCGATCTATAAGTAGTTATAGTAGCCAGACCTAGAACTTGAGATACTGGAAAATCACCTTAAGAATCCGACTCGTCGGCCCTCACTTGTACCAATACCTACTGATCAGGTAGTAATTGAGTTTGGGTGACAGGCAGCAACCACGTATTCACTGGAACGGCAACCGCTTCGGACCCTCGGTTCTTGACAGCCAGATTTCCCTAGATTTGGACCCTTCTTCCTAGACACAAACTGTCACCTTCTATCTGTCGGAAGCAAAACACACGACTGGTAGAGCTCATGGCTACCAACGGAGAAGAATCGAAGGAGCTATGGCGACACTCCTCTCCTCATACCACTCAGATCCATGACTTCATCAAGACTGTCAACAAGGAGCATCTCCTGTCGCTGGAATCATACAATGATCTCTGGGAGTGGAGCATAGCAGAGCCAGCAAAGTTCTGGGAGCAGGTCTGGAAATACACTGCCATTGTGGCTCGTCAGCCTTACAGCCGCGTGAGTAGATTACTGATGGAGATGATGACGCTTGTGTCACTTCACGAAGCAGGGTTTGGAGGCGATGCTAATCAGACCGCAGGCCTTGAGTTCAGAGCAACTTCTCTTTCCACGACCTAAATTCTTCGACGGAAGCAAGCTGAACTTCGCTGAGAATCTTCTTTACCCAACCTCGTCTCCTGACGAGGATGCGGTGGCTGTCATTGCTGCCACGGAATCGGGTCGTGAATACGTGTCCTGGAAGGAGTTGCGAGATCGGGTCAGAAAATGTGCCAACGCGTTGAAAGAGGCAGGCTTGCAGGTGGGGGACCGCGTCGCTGGGTTTCTGGGAAACCATACAAACACTGTCGTTGCGATGCTCGCAACAACGTCAATTGGTGCCTTCTGGACAGGTGTCTCTCCAGATACCGGAGTTCACGCCGTGTTGGAACGCCTAAAGCAGATTGAACCGAAGATCTTGTTTGCCGACAATGCATCGTTGTACAACGGGAAAGTTCACGGCGCAGATGCGAAGCTGCGGGAGATTGTTCCTGGTTTGCCCAATCTTGAGCTCCTGGTCGTGTTCCGTACCGTCGACTCTTATGAATTCCAGCTGGAAGAAGTGAAGCCGCTGCAAGGCAAGGCCGTTCCGTACGATTTTTTTCTTGCGCAGGTTAAAGATGCTGCAACACCTCTGGACTTCGCGAGTCTGGAGCCAGATCATCCAGTCTACATACTATATTCTTCCGGCACAACGGGAGCACCGAAGCCTATCGTACACGGTGCTCTGGGAACGCTTCTCCAACATAAAAAAGAGCATGTTCTTCACTGCGATATACGTCCCGGAGACCGAGTGTTCTACTTCACAACCACGACCTGGATGATGTGGCACTGGCTTGTTTCTGGCTTGGCCAGCGGCGCCACCATAGTCCTCTACGATGGCTCGCCATTTCGACCGTTCGATTCTGAAGGTGGCAGTGGGGAGATGGCCATGCCGCGTCTGATAGATGAACTACAGATCAGTCACTTTGGCACATCGGCCAAGTATCTGTCCATCTTGGAGCAGGCATCTCTAAATCCCACGCAGCACCCTCATCGGCCGGTGAGCCTGCAGACATTGAAAGCCATCTACAGCACGGGCTCACCTTTAGCTCCGTCTACGTTTGAGTATGTCTATTCATCTATCAAGGCAGACATTATGCTGGGCTCAATTACCGGAGGAACCGATATCCTGTCGCTCTTCTGCGGCAGCTGCCCCATTCTTCCCGTTTACAAGGGCGAAATTCAGTGCCGCTGCTTAGGCATGGCCGTTTCAGTCTATGACTATGCCGGCAACGACATCAGCACCTCTGGCGAACCAGGCGACCTTGTCTGCACCAGACCTTTCCCCGCACAACCGGTGATGTTCTGGCCTCCGGGTCCCATAGGGGCGGAGAAATATCGCAAGAGCTACTTCGACGTGTTCGGTTCATCGATTTGGCACCACGGCGATTTCGTGCGTGTGAATCCACAGACTGGAGGAGTAGTCATGCTGGGTCGCAGTGACGGCGTCCTGAAACCGGCTGGAGTCCGTTTCGGAAGTGCAGAGATTTACAACATTCTGCTCAAACATTTCGCAGAAGAGGTGGAGGACTCTCTCTGCATTGGACGAAGACGTGATGGGGTTGACACAGACGAGACAGTCGTTCTTTTTGTCAAATTGCTGCCGCCTGGGGCGGCTTACGAGGTCATATCGGCGAATCTTGCGGCTCGCATTCAGGCGACAATCCGCAAAGAGCTCAGTCCTCGCCACGTACCGGGAATCGTGGCCGTATGCCCTGAGATTCCTGTGACGTCCAACGGTAAGAAGGTCGAGAATGCGGTTAAACAGATCCTATGCGGGTTGAACATCAAGATTGGTGCGAGTGTCGCTAATGCCTCTTGCCTGGACTGGTACCGCACCTGGGCGACAGCGAACTAAGTTGAGAATTGCTAATGAGTGGTATGAGTTACATGTCAGCAAAGTATACTGTAGGAGAATATTTAATGATTAGATTTCCTTGTCGGGCTCGAGCATGTTTTTTCGTGTGTCTTTAGAAATCATGAAGCAATTGCTGCTAGGAATATATCCTCGGCTCGATCTAGATCCTGAATCATTATTAAACACATGACCAACCACCTACGGTCTTGTTTTGCCACACAAATGGCACTACGTCGATGCTGAGGACGCAAATTCTTCGCGTGATTACATACCTGTGACAAGGAGATACTAGTGTCAGCAACCTTCTCATTCTCTCAGATATTGTTACTGCATTGCTCAATCTTGCCCGAGAAATCCTACGAGTGTTTCCCCGCTTAGATAAGCAACCCCGGCTCGGAGCCCAAATCCTTGCGACGCCTGGCCGTGACGAAACCATTTCCCGGAACAGCAGGCTTCACAAAAACTCAGACAAACACGCAAAGTTAGCCTAGACATACTCATTGGGACTTTGAAATACACATACTCGAAGATGCGTCGCTCAGTATTGCGGGCCGTCGAGTCCGCGAAGCCGATTGCTCGCGTGCCTCGCTCAGCTGCGTCGAGAAGCTTTTCCACTGCTACAGACGGGTCTAAGGTACGTTGAGCGCGCAGGTTGGATTTCCGGAAGATGCGCAATTAGCAGGCTGACTCGGAACCTCACGCTCTCTACAGGACCCCGCAGAATTAGATCAGATCACTACCCTGCCGAACGGAATCCGCGTCGCTACCGAATCCCTGCCAGGCCCTTTCGCTGGAGTTGGTGTCTATGTCGACGCTGGATCCCGCTATGAAGATGAGAGCTTGCGCGGTGTGAGCCACATCATGGACAGACTGGCTTTCAAGTCCACCAAGGCACACTCCGCCGATGAGATGCTGGAAACTCTTGAGAATCTCGGTGGCAACATTCAATGCGCGTCTTCCCGTGAGTCGCTGATGTACCAGTCGGCTAGCTTCAACTCTGCAGTTCCCTCGACGCTCGGATTACTGGCGGAGACTATCCGTGACCCTCTCATCACCGAGGAAGAGGTGATCCAGCAGCTGGCCACCGCGGAATACGAGATCGGCGAGATTTGGTCCAAGCCCGACCTCATCCTGCCGGAGCTGGTGCACACGGCGGCCTACTCGAACAACACTCTGGGAAACCCATTGCTCTGCCCGGCGGAGAGACTGGGAGAGATCAACAAATCGGTCGTGGACAAGTACCGGCAGACCTTCTTCAATCCGGAGCGCATGGTGGTTGCCTTTGCCGGCGTGGAGCATGACAAGGCGGTTAAGCTCACGGAGCAGTACTTTGGTGACATGAAGTCTAACAAGCCGGTTCTTTCGGGAACCGGTGTCGAGACTACTTTGTCTCATTCCGAATCGACTCTGAAGGAGGGACAGGTGCCCACAGTCCCTCAATTCACGCCAACTTCAACTGTTTCTACCACACCCCCCACCTCCAAGTCGGGAATTCTCTCGAAACTCCCCTTCTTGAAAAACCTCAGCCTGTCCGGCTCGCAGAACGATGCCGCATCGCCGCTTGATCCGTCGCTAGTGCAGCCAACGACTCTAGACTTGACTCGGCCCTCTCACTACACGGGCGGCTACCTCTCTCTACCCCCCATCCCTCCGCCAGCCAACCCGATGTTGCCTCGTCTGAGCTACATCCACCTTGCCTTCGAGGCCCTCCCAATCTCAAACCCTGACATCTACGCCCTCGCTACTCTCCAGACCCTCCTCGGAGGCGGCGGCTCCTTCTCAGCCGGTGGTCCCGGCAAGGGCATGTACTCCCGTCTCTACACCAACGTGTTGAACCAGCACGGGTGGGTGGAGAGCTGCGTGGCGTTCAACCACAGCTACACGGACAGCGGTATTTTCGGAATCTCCGCGTCCTGCAGCCCCACGCGCACGACCGAGATGTTGGAGGTCATGTGCCGTGAGTTGCAGGCCCTGACCCTTGACAACGGCTATTCCGCCCTTCAGCCCCAGGAGGTTGAGCGTGCGAAGAACCAGCTCCGCTCCTCGCTTCTTATGAACCTGGAGTCGCGTATGGTGGAGTTGGAGGATCTCGGACGCCAGGTCCAGGTCCACGGCCGGAAGGTGAGCGTCAAGGAGATGTGCCGGCACATTGAGGGCTTGACGGTGCAGGACCTGCGTCGGGTGGCTAGAAAGGTCTTCGGTGGTCAGGTCCAGAACCCTGGCAAGGGCAGCGGAAAGCCCACCGTCGTCCTGCAGGAAGGCGAGCTTGAAGGGTACAAGCTGCGCCCGTTCCCTTGGGGAGAGATCCAGGAGCGGATAGCCAGATGGCAGCTGGGAAGACGGTAGATTGGAGGATGGATGATTAGTGAGGTTCCTAGTCCAGCGAACCTCAAGCAAAGTATAGCATTCAGGAAAGGATTATTTCCTGGAAGCAGGTTGAGATAGAGCAGGCTTTCACAAATTCTTCACTCTATGTAATTAGATATAGCCATGAACCTCAATCAAAGTGTACCATAGACGCATCACTGCCTGTATTCTCTGATAGTTGTACGGGCCATTGAAGGCTCACAGAATAAATGATTGATTGAAAAATTGACGTGGAATTGCAGCGCTCCGATGAATAAGAATGGATGGGCGGCGGCCAGCTCCTTACCGCTTTGAGTTTTGTTTCCGCCCGGGAAAAAAGTTGGAACGGAAGTTCGAAGCCGGCGGCCGCCTTCAATCTCCGTTCTGCTCCTCCATCCAACTTCCTACTCAACTCACCACCGTCTTCATCTTCACGACCCTCGCGCCCCACCTTCTATCGCAGTCAAAATCACACCGTTCATACTCCCCAAACGTCACAATGGTCAAGCTCACCGAAGTCGAGGACGAGCACTTCGCCCAGGAGAAGCCTCAGCCCAGCAAGCACAACGTCCTTCTTGCCTCGGATGACGAAGAGGAGGACGATGACTACACTGACACCGGTACGTCCACTTTTATAAGTCCATCGAATATTATTCCAAGTGGCGACTATCGCAATCGAAAAACCACCCCCTCCGCGATCATTTCCAATCAATCACCATCCGCCTATATCCCATCCATACATCCATCCTTGCGCGACCATCCAGTTTCGCAGCCACGCACCCTAACCCCAGCTCTACATCTCCCATCCATCCTCAACCTCAAAAACAATCTTCTACAAGAAGCCCATAACAAACCAGCCAGCATTGCAAATGCCGTCTGCACAAAGATAGAACCACGAACTGACATTCTACCTCTTTTCCGCTGCACTATAGAATCCGAGATCTCCACCGAGTCCTACGAAGAGCTCGAGAGCGAGACCCTGTACGACCGCATCTATGCCCTGAAGGACATGCTCCCGCCCTCCGCTCGCCGCTCCCTCACCTCCACCGTCAACACGGTCACCTCGTTCACAAAGTCCAGCGTGACGTTCAGCGGCAAGGCGCTGTGGATCATCAGCACCAGCGCGTTCCTGCTGGGTGTGCCGTGGGCTCTGGCCTACGCCGAGGAGGAGCAGTACATCCAGATGGAGCGCGAGCAGGGCATGATCAAGGGTGCTAATGAGGTATGGAGTTCATTTTCCCTCTCCAGTTGTTACTGCTTTTTTTCGACTCGTGGGGGATTCGGGTTTGGAAGGATTTGAGGAAAGAAGAGCAAAAAGCTCTCTTCCTCTTTTTCCTGTCCTCGCCCGAAACCCCGGGGATCGCTCGCCACGAAGCCCTGGTGTACACCATACAAGCCGAGACTGCCATTGCATCGACCGATACGAGAAAACCCAAGAAAAAGATGCTAACCTTCCGCGTTCCCAATAGATGCTCACCCCCGGCGCTGCTCCTGCCGAGCAGCAGGCCCAGCCTACTCTGTAAATGGCCCCCCAAAAACTGAAAAGGAAACAATTCTCCGTCGCCGAAGGCCGCCAAAGAGGAAAAGATCGCAACAATGAGTGATTGAGGAAGTGTGGATCGAAAAGAACAACAACAGATCTCTTCTTCTCCTGCGATGAGATCCGCTATTCGTATCGTCATTCACCTTCATTCCATTCTCTTCCCTTCCGTGTATAAACAAGACTCATCCAGATGGAACTCCAGGATTTGCTGGGGCAGACGACGCAAAAAATGTTATATACACTGTACAGAATGGCCCTGGGGTATGTGTTCCCCGGCCGGGGGAAGTGAAGAATCATGATGTTCTTCTTCGTTTTCCACTTTTCCCTCATATTTTGTTCTCTTTCGGAAATCTTTGGCCTTTGCTCATCCCTCTTCCACCCTCCCGTTTCCTTGGGCGATGTGTGTTGTATTTGTATAATCGGCTTTTTTTTTGTCTCTGTTTCGTTGATGTGTCTACTCTTATCAATTTTTTTTCGTTATATTTTTGGGGAACTCATGTTTCTAGATTCTTATGAAATGTGAATGATTTCAAGAATTGGTAACTTTGGGGGTTTATATTTGTGGGCGAGAGGTATAGAAACGTCTTAGCCTCGTTTTAGATGTAGGACTATGCCATGTGCGTAAACATGACCGGTAAAATGGAGAAACAATAAGATCGTGATGATTGAAGGATAAAACAAGCAAGCAGGACGGGTATCATGGAAAAATGACGGAAAGAAGGGCCGATTATAGGCAGCGGAGATCCCTAATTATGAACATAAGAAAAAAAAAAAAAAAAAAAAAAGAACCCCGAGTATGCACAGATGAACGTGTCGAGGCAAGTCGAGGTAAAACGCCTCTCTGGTTAACCTGCCTCAGTCTCATAAGAATAGTCTCATGGGAAAAGTGTCGAAGACAAGTGTAGCAGCATGAGAGACTGCCCTCGGCCTAGGACTGATGGGGGTTGGCTGGCTGGTTATATCGAGCGATAGAACGGAAAGGTTTCTAGATTATCATCCTGGAACAAAGCACTCGCGACTTATCCGAGGGACTGTGAAGTCACTGTTAGTAAGAGTCTCCAGACTTAGTGGTAATTATTATTCAAGGGTTGCTTGGGGACTGGACATACACTGGATTCGCGAGCGGTTCGCAGATCGATGTGGAAATCGCGCCAGAGTTTTTTGACCTCGCCCTCCTGGACCATCTTCTCCACCGCTTTGATGGCATACTTGGTTTGTTTGCGGTGGCTCCAGTGGCTGCGTTCGAGGATGCGCGCATCGGACAGGTAGCCCTTGAGGCGCAGGTGGTCGGTCACCCACTCGTTGAGACGGAAGCGCCAGTGGGTTAGAGTGTGAGCCAGGTTCGCTTTAGTTTGGCAGTGTCTAGGTTGAACCCCAATTGTTAGTGGGTGTATTCGCTGATAATTGTGGGAAATAACATACCGTCCGAGGTAGAAGCGCGTATTCTCGTCCGGCAAGACATGACCGTCACGGTCTCTTTCGCGGCTGTCGCTTCGTTCGTTGTCGGACTGCTCCCCCTCGTCGTCGTCGTCATCATCATCGCTGTTCTCATCTTCAAGCGGTTCCAGGGTGTCCAAAGCGTAGGCTTTGCCGTAGAGCTTGAGGTCGAAGGACGCCGGGTGGCCAGAGCGCTTGCATGCATCGCACGGATGGTTATCAAAGGTCGGATAGGATGTCACTTCCATATGTGGTCGTGCCAGAAGTGCGCGGCGGAACTCGGCCGTCCACACCGACGACACCAGCTGTGATCCCGTGCGGCCCTTGACTTCGTCCTCGAGTTTGCTGAAGGCTAGTTCGTAGACTGGACTCGAGCGCGGAAAGGCTGGGTTCAGCTTGTTGTGCACCATCCATTCCACCGCGTCCTGGAAGTAATCTTTGAGTTGCTTGTAGGCGTGACGGGTGAATTCGAATGGCATTTCTTCGAGACCGCCAGGCGCACCCAGTAGATCGTCCTCATCTTGCAGGACGAAGTCATCCTCGTAGCGGTCTAAATCATCATTGCCTGCAATAGATGATTCGACGTCGCTGTCGTCGTTTCTACTAAGCGATCGGGGCTTGATGGCGGCAGCGGCCTGCTCACTTTCCGCAGCGCTTTCGTTCTCCTCCTCGCCCTCCGCTTCGCCTTCATCTCCGCTCTCTCCTGCCTCGAGTTGGGATTCTTCATCCTCCGATTCAGGCTTTCCTGCTCGCCGACGACGCAGAGCCTCCAAATGGTGCTGTCTTTGGGCTCTGGCGGAGTTTGCTAGACGGCCTCTGGTCCTAGTTTCCTTCACCACTGTAGCAGATGTCATTAGTAGACTGTCAGATCAGGGAGAGAAGGAGAAAGCGGTACCTGAGTCTTGCAGAGCTTGGAGGTCCTCCTCGATGTCCAAGTCATCTTGATCTCTGGTACGACGCGGCGTTCGAGGCGCAGTCGGCAAATCATCATCCTCGTCGTCCTCAATCTCTTCGACAGGCTGAGAAACAGTGCCCCGCCTTAGCTTTCGGCGAGGTCTGCTGACGATTTCATCGCCGTCGCTGTCGTCTGATATGACTTGTAGAGACGGTTCACTGTCGGAAGGCTCTTCTGATCTCTTTCGCTTTAGCGACGTCGGGTTAGATCGTTTGCGCGCGCTGCGAGTCATGTCGATGTCACTTTCACTATCCTGATCTGGTGTAACAGCACGGTCGGGCGTTTTGTTTGAGTCCTCTGTTCGAATTCAATCGAGGTTAGCAGATGTCAGGTCGTTCAACTTATTCGTCCGTAGAGCATACCTTCGCGGCCCGTAAGAGAACTCTTTCGGGCGCCCTGCTTTGACTCCACCGTATCCGACTCGCTGGGCTCACCTTCAGCTGACTTCTCCCTTTTAACTGACTCAGAAGTCGCATGCCTTGAACTCTTCTTCCGCGATGACCTGCGAGCGGGTTTCTGCTTCTCCAACAATCCCGCTTCTTCCCCCTCATTGTCAGACGTCGCTTCGGCCTTCACAACCAAAGCCGGCGCCTTCTTCGCGCGATCGCTGCCCTTTTTGCGAGTAGATCTTAAAGCGCCCTTCTTCTTCTCCTCCGCCGAATGCGACTCACTCCCATCGTCAAAAGATGTCTCAGCCTTCACAACGGGAGCAGCAGGCGACGCCGCGCGATCTTGGTCGTTCTGGCGCGCAGATTTGTGTGCGGATTGTTTCTTCACGGCCTTCGACGACGACACGGGCTTCTTGTCTTTGGCTGCTTTTTCGACTTTCTTGACAAACGGTGAAGGCGAGGCGGTGTCTTGCCTGGGGCGACTGGAGAGAATGGTGGGTTTGGAAGGATGCGAATAGCGGAGGGTCGCCCGGCGGTCCCTCTCCCCGTCCGAGGCGGGCTCATTCTGAATGGGAGAGGAGCCTATTGGGGCGAAGGAGAGTCGCGTCTGCTTCTTCTTGCCATATGTGCGGGGCATAGGGGATGGATGCAATGCAGTTTGGGGGTGGGGGTGTATTGCAAGTCGATAACGTGGGAAGAGGGCCGGCTGGAGGGGAGGAATCGGATCTGGGCTGACTTCTACTGCAACCAACCGCGGCGGACCGCGTCGGGGCGTGGCACGAAAGCACGTGATGGGGTTGCAATATTGCCTAATGTGGGAGACTACGGGGTGCTTCTGTTGAGAGTCGAGTGTTGTTCATTCATAGGAGAGTTTAAACGGCATTCATTCAGAAGCTGTACCCTGTGAAAACCTTCTGTACGACAGTTGCTAATACTTGAGTGACAGCGCTGTAATGAGGAAGTCAAAACACACTGAGCCGACTGTCTTTCCACTCCCAATTTACTCAAGCCCTTCAAGCTTCGATCAGCGTATCCGACGATGGGCAGATGGCAACAATGGCAGGAATACCTTCTAGCAACAGTCGTGGCTTCCTCAACAGCATCAGCTCCGCCTTGTAACTTCTCACACTTGCGTAGCTGTCTCATCACTTATGCCGTGCTAAGATTTTCGCAGATCCGCCTTCAGTTCTTCCTACCGTCGTTTGACTTGCAGAAATTACTTGCTGCATCTTAGACAACGCCATAGAAATCTATCACATCCGCCAGTTTCTTGCCTCCTTTATGTATTGTCAACAGCGATTCGTTGCATTGCTTCACGCACTTTTAAGTGTGATATCGAACAGCACCCAAGAGCATCTCCCGCTGATCCCGCATCAAGTGAACCAGACCGATAAGCCCTGGATCGGATGCAGTAACCCACGCGCCAGCATATCGAATTATATCGCAGTGTCTGAATCTCCCCAACCGGGCGGACCAGGCTGCACAATCACCTTGGGACATCCTGAGCAATGGAAAGCGGACCCAATGCTTGACAGAGATGCAAAGGATACGATACCGGTCAAGAACGTGGTTGAGCCAGGTCTGAAGCTCACACTGACGATAACGAACATAGAGAGAGGATCTCTGGACTTGCAGAAATGCCAGAGTATCTTCGAAGAGCTGATAGTCGAGGGACCGGGCAACCTTCTGCAGCAGCCGACACTAGTCGACCGTTCACTGGCTGCTTTCCCAGTTGGCGAGCACTCGGACCAAATTGCAAGCAAATCCCTCAAACCAAGACAAGTGCAGGAATATCCTCCGGAGGATCATCCTATCACAACACCTGCAAGCGATCCACACTCCCTGGGATATCATGGGATCCTGGAATACTTGCTTGGAAAGGAGAAAGGAACGAAGACTTCCAAAAGGGCCATCGAGCACTCAAACGCCGCCATGACTCGCACAGAACACAGACGTTCATCCGTGCGTCAGAGCTCTCACAGCCTTAACGCGGATTGTGAGAACATATGTGACGGGCATAACTGGAGGAATACCCATATAGCGAAACCCTTCCTGGGCTTTCAGCAAAGGCAGTGCGTAATATGCCATCCCGACACAAATGTTGTCCGGGTGGACAGACGCCGCCCACAGAAGGCAAATGAACTCGATGTGTTCTATAAGATATGCGCAGTCTTCGGGGCGTCAGTCATGGTGGCAACCCTTCTTTACATCCTGCGGGAAATTTACCGACGGCTTCGCGTGCGATACTTGCTGCTTCGAGGCAGGAACCATCGCGATCAACGTGCACCAAGCATAGCCATCAAGACAGATTGCTCCATTCCAGCCGATGAGATGACAACTCGAATGCCCGAGGCTTCGCGAGCTTGGGAAAGGTCCAGTCAAGCATCTGACATGGTGGGTGCCCAAGTCAGTGCGTCTGATTCAGCCACCCAGCAGCGATATAGACGGTTCACTCCCTCTCAGCGAAACACCCGCAGGAGAGTCCAGGATATCTTTGACTTTGGTTCGTCTCAGGCGTGCAAGAATAATTTGACGACAGAGGAGAGGGTTCCTGTGCTACCACCAGCTGCGAATGCAAGTGTGAGGAGAAACGTTGGCATCTGGCAGGCTCCCAAAGGACAACGGTGTGCGGTGAACGAGGAACTGGAGGGCATCACGCACAGCAACGCATTTCTTTTTTAGGATCGGCGCTAGCCCGGTATTCTCAAGGATCAGGGAACTCGACTCATCCATGCCTGGGATTTAATTTTCATCGGAGAGGAGTCATGATGGTCTCGAGCTATGGGAGTTTGTGGCTGCAATGGGACTAGCGAGATTGGCCAGAGACAAGGCCTCGGTTAATATACGGGTATATGGACAGGCCGGCCTTGACTGTATGCATTAGGAATGGTATCGTTCGTGTGGCTGTTTATGTCGCCCCAATTTGCCCCAGTAGACTAGCTCTGTAGATCCGGATCTCGTCGAGCGACAGCCCGTATCCCAGGAACCTTGGGGATAGCCATCTGTGTCAACCTCGTGGCATGGATACGAACCTGAATGTAGGGTTGGCAGAAGGGAAGATCTCATTCGGGGGTAAATTGGTTGGGGAATGGGATGAGGATGGAGGAGACGGAGAGAAGAGAGGGGTCTCGTGACCGGTGATGGATGAATCTGTCTTTCCTCTTTCTCACCTTTCGTTCATCTTCTCCTCTTCGCCGCCAATCGCCTCCTCACCTTCTCACCTGATCCTTTCTCTATCCATTTCCCCCCTCCATGTGAAAGTGCGACAAGTCTTGAATTAATCTATTTTGTCATTTCCATTGGTGGATCCGGATTAGCCCCCGTTTGGCGTTCTTACCGCGGCTGATTCGTGGGAAATGGGATGACTTGGGCCGTGTGTCGTTGAGAATTTCCTCGAATCTCGACCCCGGATTTCTCCACGATACGACAGCCCCGACAATGGGTCCCGTCTGGGGAATTGCTCCATCCATCCCCATCACTGGTTTGCAACTCACCCCGGAATCCCCACTCCACTCCACCCATCCCCCCCCGACTCAAATCCTGGAGACAAGTGTCGGGGAATACCTGTCAAGGTCGGTTCGTGCATGCACAGGTCTGGGGTCTGGGGGAGCTCTGGCCCCCCGTCTTTCTCCCAACTTTCGCCTCCCACCAGGGTTGCGTTCGGTTTAGCGTCCACTCTAAATGCTGCATGGGATGATGCTAGGGCGTAGGATGGCTTGATATAGCGCTTGCCACCTGGCTGCTGGCACGCGGCATGGTAGCTTATCTGCTTATGGTCATCCTGGTTCGAGGTCGGCCGCTTCGCATATTTATACCCACAGCCCGCATCTCCTGCTGCATCTTTTCTTTCCTCCTCTCTTCTGTCTGTGTCTTGCGCTTCTCCCCATCAGTCCTTTGTAGCCCCGGTTGGCTTTAAGAGGTGGCCCTTCAGGACGACCGCCTGGTGAATTTCACCTCTTCGTTCTTGTTCTATCCTCCCTCCATTAGACCGTTCCAGGCCCCCCGTCGTCAAGATGATTGAGAAATTCCTGTCAAAGCGAGCCTACAACTGGTGAGTCTTGCTCGTCAAGCAGGCTATTTGAACTCTCCCTCTAATCGATCATTCTCCAGGTTCATTTCCTTAGTTGCAGCAGCATGCATGGTGCTTTATGGTTATGATGCCTCCGTCTACAATTCCGTCCAGGGCTCGGACAACTGGACAGCCTACTTCCATAACCCGGACAACAATATGATCGGAGCCGTCAATACAGCCTACACTGTTGGTGCGATTTTCGGAGGGTTCTTCCTCGGTGGTCCCATTGCCGATTATCTTGGCCGCAAGATCGGAATGGCCATTGGCTGTGTCTTGGTCATTGCTGCCACCTTCATGCAGTGCTGGTCGCCGCGGGGCAGTATCGCTTGCTTCCTTGCTGGACGCTGCATTATCGGTATTGGCCAGGGTGTTGCATTGAGTGAGTTACAAGCGAGACATCCTATCAAGTCAGGACTGCAGCTAATTGTGTGTGTTTTCCAGCTGCCGGCCCTATCTACATCGGTGAACTTGCACCGCCCGAGATCCGCGGAAAGATCATGACCTTCTGGCAGATGTTCTACTCCGTTGGCTCTTTCATCTGCTTCTGGATTAACTATGGCTGCACGAAGCATTCAGAGAGCCTGGGAGAGTGGGACTGGAAGCTGGTCGTCATCTTCCAGCTTCTCGTTCCCGTCATTATTCTGGCTATTCTGCCTACCATCCCCGGCTCGCCTCGCTGGTATGTCTCACACTTCTTTTCCATCTACAGGAACAAGTCTTGCTGACCCTCTCATAGGTACGTCCAGCGTAAAGACGATATTGAGAAGGCGCGCTCGGCTCTCCGCAGAGTCCGTGAGACCGACGAAGAGGTCGAGGAGGAGCTGCTCAAGATCCGGGAAGCCCTCGAATACGAGAAGGAGGCGATCTCCAGCAACTACAGTGCGCTCTGGAAAGACAAGTCCCTCCGCAAGCGTATGGGATTGGCCCTGGTCATCAACGCTGGTCAGCAGATCACCGGACAAGGAACCCTCAACACCTACTCCACCAAGATCTACGAGAAGGTCTTCACGAGCGCCAGCAAGATCGCCCTCATCAACGCCCTCAACGCCACCTTCGGTATCCTGTTTACTCTGAATGCTGTCTGGGTCATCGACCGCTTCGGACGCAAGTTCCTCCTGATTGTCGGTGGTATCGGCATGGGGATCTGCATGATCATCGTCTCTGCGGTCGAGACCGAGACCCCGTCGCCAGGTGGTGCGAAGACGGAGTCGGTGGGTATATCGATCGTGTTCTTGCTGTTCCTGTTTATCTTCTTCTGTAAGTGCCCCCGCCCCCATCTGTCTTTGAGTTGCGCACAAGCCCTTTGGGAACCAGCTACTAACGGGCCACAGACAAACCATCCTGGGGCGCCACCGTCTGGATCTGGACGTCCGAGGTCTTCTCCATGAACGTCCGCGCGCAGGCCGTGGGCATGGCCTCGCAGACGCAGAACGTCGCCAACGCCATCGTGCAGCAGTTCTTCCCCACCTTCCTCAACAACTGCGGGTTCTACGCGTTCTACATGTTCGCAGGCATCAACTTCCTGCTCGCGCTCTTCGTCTGGTTCTTCATCCCGGAGACCAAGCAGGTCCCGCTCGAGGAGATCGACGCGCTCTTCGGCGGCGCCAACCACGTCACGCAGGGCGAGGACCTGCTCGCCCACGAGAAGTCGATGCGCGTGACCAGCGAGAAGCCGTACGCCACGACGGTCGAGGATGCACGGGTTTAGGTGTCGGGGTGTATAGCCTGAGAGAGTTAGCCTGACTAGCTGCACATACAGTATTGTGGTAGCTGAATAATAGTATTGATGATACCCGCAGTGCTCATAGAACCCCATCCCTGGTCCGATTGATCCAAGTGTGCTCATGATATCGCGCGCCCCCCATCAGCGTAAATAGACCTTCCTCGTGAGCTTCCGACCAGACTCCAGTTCTATCGCGCTCACGCACTCCCACCGGATAATAGACACCCCCTCTAGATAAAATGTATATTCCCACGTAGCACCACCCCACCCATCAGTATTCTCCCCAATGCCACAAATCCTATACCACCTCCGTCCACTCCCGTTTCCACCTGCGTCCTTCTGCTCATGCTCATCTCCACGATCGAACCCCCCACCCCCCAAGCTCGCCTGCGAGACTCGAACAGAGTGCGAGAACCGCTCCGCCGGAGGGCCACGTACCCTCCCCTTCTGACAGCTGCTGCTGCTGCTGGCACAGCGACTTCCTTCATCACCCTTCACACCCGACCCAATATCAGCATCAGATTTAGTGTTAGTCCCAGCATCACAATCCCAATCCCAAACATGAATCCTTGCGCCCCGATTGCGGTTGGAGTCCCTTAACGCCGACCCCCCGTCTCCATCGCCGAGAAGCCGGTATACGGACTGCTTGACCCCGCCCCCTGGAGTGGTATTGCTATCGCTACTGCGTGATGGCTCCGTGGTAATTGGCCGAGGGGGTCGACTCGGGGCTTGATCCTGAGGCTGGGGGTCTGTTTCAGTTTCAGTCTCGGTGTAAAGATACTCGCGCTCGTAGCCTGGCAGGGTGGTGTAGCGTGGTTTGAAGAGTGCGGAGCCGGTGGTAGGTGATTCTGTTTTGTTATCTAATGGTTCTGGTTCCGGTATCGAAGCAGAGGGTTCGTTCTTGTGGGGTCTCGTTGTTGTTGTTGTTGTTGTTGTTGTTGTGCGGGCGAAGTGCCATGCGCCGTGTAGGGCGCGGAAGATGGCTGTTGCTGTTGCTGTTGCTGTTGCTGTTGGCGCTTCGCCAGTGGAGACTGTGCTAGGGATTGGGGGGAGGGTGGTGGCTAGGGAGATTAGGGTTCTCGCTGTAAGGTTATCGGGTGGTGACGATGGAGATGAAGCTGGGGGGTAAGGATATCTAGCCGGTATGACGGGGTCAAGGAGCGGGTTCTGCTGGTCTGCAGCCGAGTCTGAGTCTGGGTTAGGGCTTGGGCTTGGAATAGGCAGGCGAGGAATCCCCAGCTCCCGGGCGAAGGACTCCATGAGGCCGACGTAGTCGCCCATGGGGAACTGGCTCCTGTGCCTAGTCTGGTTGCGGAGGCGGCGCAGTTTCTCCCTCTCGGTTTCGGGTTCGGTTTCCTTTGGGATGGTAACGATGCGAGGGGAGTGGTCTGGTGTCGGATATTCAGCTGGAGGTGTACTCCAGCGTGCGGCCAGACTTCGCGCTTGCATCTCCATGACGCCCCAGTAGGGACCGCGGTAGAAGCCCACAAACCCCAGATCCGGGATCTCGGAGTGTGAGGTGCCCTTATTGTCGAGGATGAGGGGGATGAATGCGTCGTCTGGGGCGTATTCGAGGGTCGAGAGGATGGAGGGCGGGAGGAAGGCGAGCGAGTCGCGGGGCGTGAAGCCCGTGGCTAGGATGATGGCAGCGACGTTGTCCAGGACGCTGGTTTCTCCGGTTGGGAGGTTGATTGCCAGACGTGCGCGATCGTTTGACGAGCTCAGATGGGCGACGCGGCCGATGGTGACCTTGACGGCCCCGGCGCGCACATATTCCGCGTAGTCGTTGCCGATGGCCACCCAGGAGGGTTGCAGCTCCGAGTCCTCCGGACAGACGCCAACGCTCCCGATCCGTGCGTACTCGCTGCCCAGCAGCTGGCGGAACCAGGCATTCGATCTGGAGATCTGGTCCGGCGCGAGCGGGCCGACTGCGTACTCGATCTGGCCGGGGGGACGGCGGGCGCGATCGTAGAAGACGAGGTCGAGGGGGAGGAAGGGCACCGCCGTCCCGGGTGCTTGGTCGGGAGATATTCTGGGTAGGTAGGTCGGCACCGTCCAGAACGGACGCGAGCAGATGTGATGGACTTCGAGCTGCGCATGGCCAGGAGCCGAAGAAGAAAGATGCAACGCCACCGCCGACGCAGCCTCCACGCCCGACATACTGCCCCCGACGACCACCAATTTCCCCCCAGCATCAGCACCAGCAGAGCACCCAGCCCGCTCCAGCAAGCCCTGCACATCTCTCATCTCCTGCACCGCAGAACTATGCACCATCCTCCCCTCGAACCCAGGAATATCCGGCCCAACCGGCCGAGCAAAGTACCCCGACGCGACAACGAGGTAATCAAACCGCTCCGTCTGCGTGCCGGTATCATCCCTACAACAAGTCAGCAATCCCCAAACCCCCGGAATATAAGAAAAGAACTGCACACTAACCCTGCCTGCACCCACTCCACCACCCACCCAGCCCCATGCGCATCTCCACGCTCAACCCTTGTAACCTCACACCCAAACCTCACCACCCCCTCCCGCAACAGAAACCGCTCCGCATACACCTCCAGATACCTGCGCACCTGCCTCGCCTGGGGAAACATCGGCACCTCCCCACCATCGCCACCGTCCTCAGGGAGAATCTCCTCCCACCCCAGATCCGAGAAAGCGACCGTGTACCGACTGAGATTCGTGCGCATGGAGGGGTTCACGAATCCTCTTTTGTCTCGGTGAGTCTTGCCCCCATCCCGAGCGGTGTCTGCTCCATCTGTCGCAGGGGCAGCCCACAGCCCGCCGATGCGGGGGCTCTTTTCGAAGATTGTGGGGAGAAATAATCCCCGAGGGGCATTGTGGTGGAGGAGGGTTTTGGCGGTGACGAGGCCGGAGGGCCCGGCTCCTGGTTTTATTTAGTATATATAGTATCTGGGGTTGGGTTGAGGGTGAGGGGAATGGGATGGACGGTACCGATGATGGCTACTTTCTTGGGAGCGTGGGGGTGGGGCATGGTTGTAGCAGCGGAGGTGGAGGTGGAGGTGGTTTGGAGGTGAGGAGGTGATTGATGATAGGAAGATAGATAGTATTGTCCTGTAGATAAGAGGTCGGCGAGGGGAGGGAGGGATTGACCTTAACCTACCCCGCACTATAAGTTACTCACTACACTAAACATCCCCTCCCCACTTGGGTTAAAATTATGCATCGTGCAGTGCTTACGGCACTGTTTGGCAGCTGGCACCATAGATACTAAGTCTGGTTTGTAGTTAGAGGCAAGCTTATCTTGTTAATTTATCCTCTATCAATATTTGTATAAATAGTATCTAGATTGCCACAAAAATAACCAAGAAAAAAAAAAAAAGAAAAAAGAAAAAGGAACCGAGTGTGTCGTTGCATTCATTCCAAGTACAAGTCCCATGCTAATGTGGAAGCAAAGCGATGATATGTGCATAGTGAACAGCCGTATCTCAGGGCTGAAGCAGGATGATGATAATGATGATGGTGGTAGGTGTATGTGGGGGTGACAAGCATTCACTCCGGAGCGGGGTATATCGTTCGATCATGTTTCTTTGTGTTGAGGACATGATTTGGGGGGGAATTGAAGTTGAAGACGAGATATCGGTTCGTGATGGGCCTGGGTCGCGGTGGCTCCATCACGGATGGTACCTCAATTCGTCGAGGAAAGGCACAGTGCAAGCACCGTGACGCTCACAGACGGTGCTGCAGCGGCGAAGCAGGAGCCGGAGTCTCCACGGCCGGGGAGGCCAGGGGCGTGTACGAGGCGGACGGCGAGACGTCTCTCAAATTCAAACGGGTGACGAGCTTTTTCCACGACTCGAGACCGCGCAGCGCGTGCTGCTTCGGGGTATCGGGGTGGGGGTCGGCGAGGGTGCGGGAGAAGAGCTCCAAGGAAACCCAGCCCTCGAAGCCGGTATCAAAGAAAGCCTGGGCGACCTCCTGGACGGGCAGATAGCCGCCGCGGTCCTCCTCGAAGGCGAACAGGCGGGCGTTGCGCGACCAGTTCATGCGGGTGGGCTGGCCGGGGACGTGGAAAGGGTGGGACTCGTCGAGGGGGGCGCTCAGGCGCTCGCCGTCGACGATCTGGATGTAGAAGACCTTCTTGACGTCGACGCAGGCGCGCAGCTTGGCCAGCGAGGCGGCCAGGTCGGCCTCGGCGTTGGGCGTCTTGCCGCTGGGGTGCGCCGGGTCCGCATACACGCGCCCGGCCAGGTTGAAGGTGTCCAGACACAGCCCGAAGTTGGGCCGGTCCACCTGCTGCACCACCTCCCACGAGGCGTCCCACGTGTCGACGTGGTTGCCCCAGCACAGGGCCTCGTAGACGAACCGGAAGGGCGGCGACTGCTGCAAGCCCAGATCGGCGACCCGCTGCAGGTCGGCCACGATCACGCTGCGGTCGCCCGTCGTGCGCAGCTTGCCCGTCGCCGGGTCCGCCAGGAGGAAGTTGGACGGGATTTGGATCAGGTCGGTGTCGAGGATGCGCGCCAGCTCGAACCACCGCGGCAGCTTCTCGGTCACCATGCGCTCCGACTCCTCGCGGTCCAGCAGGCCCTCGTAGAAGGAGAAGGGCTGCAGGCAGATGATGGTCAGCCCCAGCGAGTCGCACAGCCGGCGCACCTGCTTGGCGGCCGCCGTGTGGTCGCCCTGGAACAGCGTTTTGGCAAAGTGGTCGAGATCGTCGAAGAACAGCTCAATGCCCTCGTAGCCGTGCAGAGCAGCCTGGTGCAGCTTGCCGGAAAGACTGTGAATGCCCGGTCGACCCAGCGACATCGAGGCAATTCCCAAACGGTTCGGCATGTTGTGCGGTGTAAATGCGTTGGGTTGGATGGGGGTGAGAGAAAGAACGGAAAGAGAGAGAAGAGAACTTGGAAAGGGGAAATAAGTGAGAGCAGCAGTGGGATCTAGAGTATGACCTGTCGAAAAGATATGATGTGATAGATACGAATCCTTAAGATGTTATCGTGACGAATGGACGAATGAACGGGCCGCGTCACCTATTTCTAAGCGTTTCGAGTTAAGGGGGGGGGGGGGGGGAAAAGAGAGAGAGTGCTAGAAAAGCAATTTGTTGATAAAGCGCAAATGGCCGAGGGAAGGTTCATGTATTGGGGCAGATGCCTTATACTCTTTCCCACCATAATGGAGACCATCCAGGTGGGCGAGATCCATTCTTGCAGGGCCTGGGGAAGAATGATTGTCAGCAAAATCAGTTAGGGCTGTTTGTTCTCTGCCTGGAGGGAAGAATAGAAAGGGTCAGTGCAGTCAGTACTGGTCAGTGACTGACGGGCGGGCGGGAAAGCGCTTTGCCCAGCCACTTCCTCGTCTGCATTTATCCGTCCGTCACACAATAGTGCGGCAGTGGCTTCGGGAGACTGCGGGATGACGGCGTCCTCCCTCATTCCCTTTTCAACCCTTTATCCCCCCGTCTATCTGTGGTACTCTCTCACGTTTCTATCTTCTAGATTGTGGGAGACTAGGCACCTAACTGTTTTTACAGTTTATTGGTATCACGGTCAGTCTAATCTGGCTCTATCGCTCATTATAGCCCCCCTGCAACCGCCACCGCCATCGTGTCTGAACCTTGATGCTACACACTATCGGGTTGCTTGCCTTGGCCATGGCACCGCCAAGGTCGTACCCAAGAGATGCTTCACCGCTCCCTACCAATAGAGTTTTCATGGCCCAAGATCTGATACGAAAAATATAGCCAGGTATGTCATAAACAATAGGTATGTTGACTATCTAAACAATCGTGATATCCAAGACAATACAAAGAAATACATTAACAATCATGCGTAGGTCATTGTGAGCCCGCCAGGCTAGAATGATAAGGAAAAAGCAAGGCATTAGACCTTGGTCGCCATGTCTTCCACCTGGTGCACCTCGGACTTGGTGAAGCCGGACTCCTCCAGGTCGCGGCGGAACCGCTCTTCGTCCTCGCGCATCTGCGCCAGAACGACGCCGTGCGCCTTCCACACAGGCTTGACCTCGAACAGGGGATCCATGTTCTCCAACGGAACACCCTTCGTCTCGGGAATCAAGAAGAACACAAAGATGAACGAAAGGATCATCAAGGACGCGAAGAAGAAGTACACGCCATAATCCATCTTCTCAAACATCTGCGGGGTGAACCGCGAGATGAGGAAGTTCCAGAGCCAGTTGGATCCGGCAGCACAGGCTTGAGCCAGCGACCGCACATTGGGGTCAAACATTTCCTATAATGGCCGGTTAGCTTTGGTCGGTCGGCAGCGGAGCAGCAGGGGGAGCTTACCGAGTTGATCACCCACGGAGTACCGTTCCAGGTGGGGGTGTAGAACGCCGTCCACAGGTAGAAGAAGAAGATGGCAGCGATGCCGCCGCCGTTTAGCGACTGAGTGTTGTTGTTCACGGGATCCGCGATCTTGATGTACGCGCCAATGATCCACATACACACGGAACCGCCAATGGCACCGATCAGCAGGAGGTTGCGTCTTCCCACGCGGTCGATCAGCCAGAGGAGCCAGACGAAAGTCACTACGGTCTTGACCACCCCGAAAATGCCCGTGGTCAAAAGACTCGAGTTGGTGCCCTTCAGGCCGATCGATTTGAACACGGTAGGAGAGTAGTAGTTAATGGCGTTGATGCCCGAGCCGTTCTGCCAGAAGAAGAGCATGCTGCCGAGGAACAGCCTGTACAGGATCTTCTTGTTGGTCCGGACGGCCTTGAAGGGCTTCCAGAAGCCCAGTCCGATCGTGTTCCGCTGGGCTTCAATGGACTGGTCGATGGCACCGATCTCTTCCATCATGTAGATGTGGTCCTCGGGGATCTGGCGGATCCAGCAGAGGTTCTTGATGGCCTCCTCGCGTCTCCCGCGGAGGAACAGCCAGCGCGGAGACTCCCGAACGAAGACGATACCGATGAGTAGCAGACCCGCAGGAATCAGCTGCACGGCAAAGGGGATGATCCATTGCTTGTGGCTGGGAGCCAGCGTCTCACTGACACCATACTGTTTCCGCATGATTAGCCCGAGTCCAGTAAAAATAGACGTAGATAAGACTCACGTTGATCCAGAAGCCAACCAGGCCACCGATTTGCCACCCCAGCTCATAGACACCAACCAACCGGCCGCGGATGGCAGGCGGGGCCAGTTCGGAGATGTAGATGGGCGTGATGTTAGACCCAGCGCCTACGCCAATTCCAGCCAGGACACGGCCGGCGTAGAGAAGGCCCAGACCTCGGTCGCCGTTGACACCCAGCATCAAGCCCGCCCCGAGAATGAAGACCAGCGCGGAAGCGAGCAGGCCCCACTTCCTACCCCAGAAATGCCCGATCGGGTACGCAAAAAATGCTCCGAAGAAGGCCCCGGCTTGGTAGCAGGAGACGATGTTGGCACTGACCAGGTTCTGGGTGGCCGTGGACATGGAAGCCCAGTCGAATTCGTCCTTGAAGGACTGCAGCGACAGCGTTGTTCCAATGAAGGCACTGTCGTATCCAATCATGCATGATGTGAACGAGGCGACCGCCGCCAGGAGATAGATTCTCCAGTTGTAGACCTCCTTAGGCGTCGGCCTGTCCTCGACCATTGAAAGAATTCCCATGATGAATGATGATCACCCTGGGGTTAGACACTTGTTTATACCTGTGTCTGATTGAGGGAGTAGTAGAAGACGGAGAAGGCTAGGGGAAGGAGGAAACAGAAACTGTGAACGAGAAGAAGGGATTGAAGGTAACGAGCTAGGTGAGAAGTGATCGAGGGTCTTGTTGATCGGAGAGAGATGTTGATGATGGTGAGAAGGAAACAAATCCTGCTCCTCGAGGAAGTGGGCTTATATAGCTCAGACTACCTTCCCCAATCTAAGCAAAATCCGGGGTGCGGAGGGAGGCAAAACTCAGGCAAATCAAAACCCCAGATATCCAAAGACTATACCAGAGAAAGTATCGTGGGAAAACGATGAGCGGGAAAACGATCCACGCGCAGAGTAAACACGCCCAGCAAATTTGCAGCCAGCAGCCAGCAGAGAGCAACCAAAGCAAGCCAAGGGAATGGCAAAGAGAAGCGCAAAGTCTGTCACCACGTGTGCTGGCGCAACGATTGGACCTAGACCAGCTTGGCCCTCGCCAGACCGTAGACCGCGACTAACTCGCACCCACGGACAGGGAAAAGCATGTCATGTGCGCCGGATTGCGCCTATTGGGGCCAGGAGGGTGCGCTCCCCCATGGGATCTGAGGCCGATGTTCGGCCTGGCGTCCCCACTCGGGCGAAACAGAAAACTGTAGAAAGCAGATTAGGCGAGGGCGAGTGTGTCAGTTTGTGGGGGTGGAAGGGAATAGTCGCCCGTCGCCCACAGAAACCGACGGGCTCAACCCGTGGGAAACTGAGATGCAAGCCCCAAGGCTTCGCATTCAGCGAACTCTGGGCCAAACCCTAAGCGGGAGGTGATACGAAGATCGCACATTAAGCGGGCCAATGGAGAAAGGACGATAGCGAGAGTGGCTGGGGAAAGTGCTTCGCCGGAGCAGGTCTCCCCGTGGGGAAGAAGGAAGAAGAACAGAGACTAAGCCAGAGATTAAAGCCGCGCCGTCGGAGTCTCGGAGATTCGCGAGTGGCGGGAAAAGGGTTCTGCCCGTTGGCGGAGTGAGTTCATGCCGCTGCAGCAATCGGCTTTTGTCGCCCAGTATGTCAGTGGATCCATGCCATCCAGCATGATCCACTCACCATCAACCTATTTTCCATGTTTCCAGGAACCGAGTGAGGGGCAACGGAAGAGAGATTGGAGCACAGGCTACAGCACTTGTTTCGTAGACATAGACTGGAGGTGGAGGTGGAGGTGGAGGAAGAGCAGGCAGAGGAAGAATGGAGAAGAGAGGCAGAGCAGAAAAAGGAAGAGCCGGGAGAGTGGAGGTAAAAGTCAAAGCCGAAAGACCTCTCCCGCAACAAGAAAAAAAAGTCTCATGGCAGCCTTGACACCTGAGGGGGGGCAGAGGGGGATTGCCCCCCCTCTCTCGTCATTGGCCTTAAATCTTTCCCCTTCTCTCCTTCTCTACTCTTCCAATCCTCTCCCTTTTTCTCTTCTCTCTCGATACAAGAAACGCAATTGCAGGCAATTCACTTCTTTTTGTCCTCTCTTCCAACCCAAACACGCACCACCATGACCTCCACGAACCCCCAACCCGAAGAACCCATCACCATCCCCGCGGACCGGGATGGAGTCGCCTACCTGTACGGCCACCCGCTGCTGAACTCGCTGTCGCCGCCCCTGCACAAGACCGTCTACGAGAAGCTGGGGCTGAACTGGATTCAGATCCCGCTGTCGAGCGTGACGGGGACCTCGGAGACCTACCCGCCGCCGTACACCCGGTCGCCGCCGATCGACAAGTTCCTGGCGTCGATCCGGGCGAACCCCAAGTTCGTGGGGTCGTCGGTGACGATGCCGTGGAAGGTGGGGATCATGCCGCACCTGGACGAGCTGACGGAGGACGCGCGGCAAGCCGGGGCGTGTAACACGATCTTCCTGCGGACGGACGAGAAGACCGGGGAGCGGCGGTACGTGGGCACCAACACCGACTGCAACGGGATCCGAGAGGCGCTGTTGCAGAACTCGCCCGACCCGGCGAGCTTCCGCGGCAAGCCCGCGCTGGTCGTGGGCGGTGGCGGCACTGCCCGCACCGCCGTTTACGTCTTCCGCAAGTGGCTCGGCGCCAGCCAGATCTACATCGTCAACCGCGACGCTGCCGAGGTCGCCGCCATCATGGAGGAGGACCGCCAGCGCAACGCAGACTCTAATGGCAGCCTCGCCCCCATCATTCCTGTCACCGACCCCGCCGTCGCCGCCTCCCTCGAGACCCCCGCCGCCATCGTCTCCGGCATTCCCAACTACCCGCCCAAGAGCCCCGAGGAGATCAACGCCCGCCAGGTGCTGCAGGCCCTGCTCGGCCGCAAGGACGACGCTAAGCCCAAGGGTGTCATTTTGGAGATGTGCTACCACCCTGTCCCCTGGACCGAGATCGCCGAGCTCGCCGATGCCGCCGGCTGGAAGGTCATCCAGGGCTCCGAGGCCCTGATCTGGCAGGGGCTGGAGCAGGCGCGTCTCTGGACCGGGCACGATATCATCGGCACCCCTGGGCTGGTCGATGCGGTCAAGGACATGGTCGCCAAGACGATCGCCGAGCGGGCGCAGCCCAAGTCTGCTTAGTTTTTTTTTTGTTGGTCTGGATGACACAACCTTCATGGTTTTATGATTTCTTGTACAGAATTCTAGCATACCCGGAGCATTTGCTTGTTGTTTAAAAAGAATATACACAAAAGAAATAGATGAATTGTATATATTTGCCTCTTGACATGATTCGTGTCCCATCTTATGAGTCTAGTAGACGACGGTATATTCAGTGTATGATGCTGTTTCCGTAAATGTCTATCTGTATTGCGGAATGACTTAAGCCCCCGGGCGGGAGAAATCCAACTGCCGCACGCGCTTCCATACTTCACGCACCGTGCGCTCTTGCGATTGACGTCCAGTCTCAGTCTCGGACGGACCAGCGGGTCTGTACGCGTCAGTCACCGGCATTACCTTCAGGGGAGTACAGCCACATACCTAATACCAAGATACAACCGACTTCCCAACTTGTACTCTTCAATCGGATCTGTCTCCGGGTTCTCGGGGGGGTTAGCCGTCGTGACCAGCCCACCTGCCTCCAGCAGAATGGCAATTCCGGCAGCAACATCCCTAGTATTACTTGGTAAGTAATGACGAAGATGAAAGTGAGAAAGGGCAAGCAAATCAGCAAACGCACCACTCCCAACACCCCCCCTCCCACCAGATATCAAACGAGCCCATGGCCGTGTAGGCGAGATCCAGGGTGGCGCTGCCCAGACTGCGCACGCCGTGCACCATGCCGCCCTTGCCGCCGCGGCTGCCCGTCTCGGCCGCCAGGTTCAGGAAGCTCTCGATCTTGCGGTACATGTTTCCGTCGGGGATGTCGCGGCGGTCCTTGCCCCACTCGCAGGAGAGAATGCATTTGCCGGGGGCGTTGGCGGGCATCGGCGGGATGGACGGTTTGTGGATGAGCGGGAGGCGGCGCTTCTCGTTCAGCCAGGCGCCGCGGTTGACGCACGAGGAGAACAGCTGGTCCTGGAAGGGGGCGTAGATGACGCCGATGACCGGGCGGTGGTTGACGATGAAGCCGATCGAGACGCAGAACATGGGGAAGATGTGCGTGAAGTTGACGGTTCCTGCGGCGGTTAGTCTTCTAGAGTTGACAGGTAGAGATGGGGCGCATACCGTCAAGCGGGTCGATACACCATGTCGGCTGCTCATCGATCAGATACTCGCGGGATTGGCCCTTGGCGTATGATTCTTCGCCGAGGAATCTGCAATTCGTCGGTCAGTCGTTGGATCCCGGCAGGACTGCATGGGAGATGAGAACGCACTTGTGTGAGGGGTATCGGTCTTGGATCGAGCTCTTGATGAATGCTTCGACGTCTGGAATGCAGTGAGCTTGATGCGCGGCGCTATGTTTGGGAAGCTGAAAAGAAAGGGGGGTCTGGGGGGTTCTCCCCACGGTTGCCATTATTCTCGGGTACTTGGCCGGGGTAGGCGTTCTGGGGGAGAACCCCCAGACCCCCCTTTCTTTCAGCTTCCTGGAAAGGGCGTGTCCCTGTGCGTGTTGTATAGGTAGAGAGGGATCCCGCACCTTCGTCCGTCTGAGTCACAATGTCCACCGCGCTGTCTTTCTCCTCGATCGCCTGGCTTGCCCCATCGAGTCGCTTCTCGACGCTCTCGAGCAGCAGCTGGCCGGCCTTGCGCCCGAGATCCACCGCGAATGCGTAGATCTCATCCAGCTGCTCCTGGCTGAACTCGGGGGCGGCCATTATCACTTGGTGTTGTGCGGGGTAGGTTGAGGTCCGTCACTTGTGGGTCGCGTCTGTGATGTGCTCAGTTCGGTGCTCAGTTCGACAGAGATAGTGTCTATTCTATAATCTCAGGAGTATATGCAGGGTATGAGACAGAACAAGACAAGAGGATAGAGGCGAGCACGAGGTTGCGATGAAGAGTGAGCAAGCTCGGAGCGGCGATAGTGAGGAGGTTTCCCGCTTCTTTCACCGCTGATAACCGACTTATCAGTGGGTCCTGCTCCCTCACGTGGGTCATCCGACTGTTGATGTGCAATGGAACTATCAATGCATTGCCACTGGTTGATTAGTTGCAATTGATCTTTATGGGGTTGTACTCCTAGATCTAGCAGATTTTGTTGCACTGTGCAGCAAAGCTCAACAAGTTTATTTACCCTTGCTATTCTTGGGTCGCACCACTGACACAGACAAGTGGTGTCGAGAAATCGCAATCCCGGTTTATTATGAGCTTTGAACTTGCACATTTATATAGCAAAGCTGGTATTGATCTCTGATGTCGAAGAATCTCTCATTCTGCGCTGTCTTTCTCAGTCCTCTCCAACCTTCCAGAGCAATGACAGCGATTGACAGCTGTGCAATGAAACCCTGGTAAATCCAGGATCATCCTAAAAACGCCATTTTGTCTATATTCTTGACCCTTGAGGCATACAACAGCGTGGATAATAAGGCACGTGCAGGAGCCCCAGATCCTGCCCATCGCCGTGCCCCAATACTCGCCACTGGAGCTCAATTGCTCAAATCAAGGCAAACAAATATGGGGAAGGGGACCGATCGTCTCATGACTGATTCCACCCTTTCCAAGCTCTGTCCGAGAGGAAATTAATAATGCGATATTCTATAAGTGACTCAACTCCGCCAGTCAAAAGTGGAGCCAGCAGTTCCACGAGATCTGGTCTAGCGATAGGTAGGGCCAGGGCTCCCAGCCCAGTCCCGTCCCAGTCTCCTAAATCCAACACAGCATGTACGCATGCAAGCACCTTGCGAATGTGTCTGGCAGTAGCTACTTCGAGAAAGCAGAGCATGATATAGACCCGTGGAGCCAAAATTACATATATCACTCCATTTCCTTCGAAGGGGAAGGGTCCAACAGAACCACAGATGGCCGAACCTCGTAGCGAACACTCAACCCAACACCCCCTTTCCCCCACAAACCAACCACTGGCAGATTCAGATATGGTGGACTTCAGCCAGCAAAGTCACCTGCTCCATCCACCGTCCGTAACTCAGCTCAAGTCCAGCGGTATCGTTACGAGGAAGTGTAAGTGTGAGCGTACAGTAAGTGTAAGTGAGGGTCGGCTCGGCAGGCTCGGCACCCCCCCGCACATCCTTACATACAGTACATAACTACAACCGGCAAAGCGCTTTCCCTGCCGCTCGGGGAAGCCTTTTACCTCCCCTTTGCAGTGCCTCGGCTCGTGGCGCACCTACTTGTACTGTACATCCTATACTGTACGCTTGCATTCCACTGTTGTGCATATCCCGGACAGACGAAGTCACAATTACCAACAGCGAATCCGACCGAACCCTAGGAGCCGAATAATGTATGCATCCTGCGTGCGTTGCACCCACGAATGCTGCACATGTACTGTACATACATACTCCGTAGAGAGTCGAGGGACCAACACTTCTCCGCAGTCTGCCTGCAACTGTATGCGACAGACAACAGTGCCCGGTAATCAACAGAGTAGATGCGATGCAACTAAGAAAGCGATACGCGCACACTCAACCCTATTAAATTCAGCAGTTGCACCTACAAGATAGAACCCGCCCTGCAATCGTACCAAGCACCATAAGCCCAAGACTGACACTTATGTGGAAGAGAATCGGCAAAGACCAGGATAAGAAATAAGCCTTGCTTTGCCTCAGCAAAAGTGGTTATAACCCCGCATTTCCGCCGTTTTTCCATTGCCCGCAACCGCAACCGCATCCTCTCTACCAGTTTACCTGCTAGGATCAAGTTCTTAAGCAGTCACCTACCTACCTCAACCCACCTCGCTACATACCCTTCTCGTCACAACCACAACCACAACCACAACCACAACCACAACCACGACCACAACCACAGCCAAACCCCTCCCCACACAACCAACCACAAAAATGCCGACCTCCGCCCCCAAGAAAATCCTCCTCCTCAACGGCCCCAACCTCAACCTCCTCGGCACCCGCGAACCGCACATCTACGGCAGCACGACTCTGCCCCAAGTCGAGACCGCCTGCGCGGAGCGCGCCACCGCGTTGGGCGCAACGCTGCAATCCTTCCAGTCGAACCACGAGGGCGCACTGGTGGACCGGATCCAGCAGGCCCGGACGGAGAAAGTCGACGCCATCATCATCAACCCGGGGGCGTACACGCACACGAGCGTGGCGATCCGCGACGCGCTGCTCGGGGTGGCGATCCCCTTTATCGAATTGCACGTCAGCAACGTGCACGCGCGGGAACCCTGGCGCCACCACAGCTACTTCTCCGACAAGGCGAGTGGGATTATTGTCGGGTTGGGGGTGGATGGGTATACCATTGCGGTGGAGCATGTTGTCAGGAAGTTTGCGAAGTTGGAGTATAAATAATTTCCATTCTGGGTGTTTGTTCCTGAGGGGAGATGGGATTTGTTTGAAGGGCTGATTCTTGGGTATGGAAATGATTTGGGAGGTAAAGGGGAAAAAATACTGTGGAAGAATGGTATATAGCTGGTTTTTGTATATGACCTGGTTTGTATGTATGTATATTTACATGGCTGCCACTTTGCAGCCTTGGTTCCAGATTGAGCATGTCATAAACCCGTCTCATCCTCATTGTGTTGTAGCCTCAAGACCGGCACCTGGGCGCCAGCATCATCGCTTCGCAGGCTCGACCGCTTGAGACTCGCGTCGTACAACCCCCGGCTCCGGACACGGCACCTGCTGCTGCGTCTGAGCCAGCAGAAACGGCTCCACCTGCGTCGAATACGAGTATATCTCCGGAACTCCTGCGTCCGGGACAAACCCCAGGTTCTGCATGAACTCGGGCTGGTTATCGGTTCTGTAGCTCAATCAGTATCGCCGACAGGAAGCAAAATACGATGCCAACTTACTTCTCAGTCCCGTCCAGCGACGCTAACTCATCGAACAATGCATCCAGGTCAGGCGCAATCTTGGGTCGTCGCGGCCCGTATCCGTCGATATCCACGAAAGAGCCGAAGGCAAGATTTGGGTCGCTGTATGGTTGCTGGTACTGAGGGCCGCTGGGGTGGAATGACGAGGTCAGGTCGGGTATCATGGGTGTGCTATTCATAGGCTTGGAAGAGGAGATGGAGGTGCGCGGGTTGTGTGTCATAGATTCTTTGAGTTGAGATGGGGGCAGTGGCGGCTCGGTGCCATGGGGGGCGATATTCAGCGACGGCGCTGGTGTGGGTATCGATAGAGCAACATTCTCCTCAAGGTTGGGCGTTCTCATCCAGGTATGAGAGAAAAAGGCGTCTGGTGTGGCGAAGTTGGACCGGGGTTCATCCATGGAGCTTACTCGGCGGGCAGCTTCTGTGGGCGTTTGTAGGGTGGATGGTGGGAAAGCATTGTGAGACACGGACTCTCTATTCGACGCACTCCTTGGTCGGTTCGCGACGGGATCAACAGGAGTAGGCACGTCAAGCGCTCTTTCAGGTGGTACAGTCCCTCCAGACTCTCTTCCTTTCACATTCCAGACCGTAGCAAGATGCGCAGAATACGTCTGGAGTTTATGTTTCAAGCCCGGGTCGAGTTCGAAAGGAGGCGATGCGTTGGAGCTCTCTGATGCCGGGACTGCGGCAAATGTCAGGATCATGCCAAAGGTAGGGCACGTAGCCGACAAGCTGTAGGTCTCCATGTATGTCTGGAGCAGCGACAACAGCCGCTTGGAGCTTTCCACAGCTCGCTTCTTCATCGGCAGGTCAGGGACCATGCGGTCGTCTCGCTGAGATGCGATCTGCAGACTGAGGTTGGTAGCAACGCTCTCGTATACCATCTCGAGCGCGAAAATATGCGGCGAAGCAATTTTCGACTGGTTCGGCGCAGTCCCAACACGATACGTCTTCGGCAGGGCAGACACCCAGAGCTGTAGCTGGCGCTCCAACGCCTCCAGATACGATATCGGACCTGCCGATGTCTGCTTCAGGCAGCACAAATCATTCAGGATGCACATCAGCGAAGTGAGGCGATTAAATGCACTCAAGGCATGAAGAGGGCCGCGATGGAACGAGGCCCGCGACGATTCAACCGGGCGCAGACCGGTCTGGTCTTCCCACGGATGCCATTCTTCCAGCCCGTCCTCGTTGACCGGCCCAATCCTCAAGAGTTCGTCTTTGCGCAGCGACGGCACCTGGCCTGTCTGCATAGCAACGAGCGTCTCCAGGATGAAGCAACCAAGAAACACATGCTTGGATCGTGCAGTGCTTTTCCCGTCTTCAGTGGTCTTGGGCTGCCCGGTAGCTGGTTGGTTCAAGCCAAGAGCCTGCGAAACCCGCACAGCCTGTCCCACCAGCAACCACGCAGCTGTCCAGTCCTGCTGCCCAATCTTGACCAGGGACAAAATCAGGAGAGCCTGGGCATGTCCTAGCTCGTGGACCCCATCTGCGCCCGGGATGAGACTTTTTGCCGTCGCATACAGGTGGCTTGGGTCGGGTCGCTCAGTAGAGAACTCTGTCAGCTGACGGGTTGCGGATATCGATGCTTCTTGGATAGAGGCGAGAGTTAACACCGCCCATAAAGCGGCATGGTCTCCTGAGCCTGGAGCGGTAGGTGAAACGTAAACATCGTCATCGTCATTGTGTCGAAAAGCCGTTCGAAGAATATCGTGTTTTTCAAGAATCGGAAACCAACAGTGTGTATAGGTGAAGTAGATGTCGAAAAGAGGCCATGCATTTGAGGGTAGCTGGGGAGGTTTCTGCATGGCAGGGTCGGAGCTGGAGGGTAGGTGGGGGGGCAAACGAGCAAGAGAGGGATTGGACAGCTCGTCGATGGTATCTGCTGAAAAGGTGGTCTGCGTGGAAGTGTCTCGGGTGACACGGATGGCGGCGCTCCTCGCGATGGCTGATGCCGCTGTCGGGGTCTTGATCGGAGAGACCACGGTCAGAGAGCCTTCGCGCACTTCGGGCAACACATCCGAGAGATGCCATTCGAGCGCATCGGATGAAATGACGCTGCTACCTTCGGCATCCTGCGGCGAGTACGTCTCCCCGGGGAGTCGGACCCCGCCCGGATCATCTTCTGGTTGCTCCAAATAGGTCAAAAGCCGCTCGATCTCCTTGAGGACAATACTGTTTTTCCATGAGGAGAGCAGTGTGTCGGACCCCTCGGCCTCCTTGCCCATGGTCGCGAGGTGGCTGGGGATATTGGCGGCCCTTAACAGGGCGCGCACCACCTCCTCACTCCCCTGGATTTTGTTGAAGACAAGCCCCCATAGCAGCTCGAGGGTGCGAATGTAACCGGTCGGGAGGCCGCGTTTCTTGGGATTGGCCTTGTAGGTACATGGGCGCGAGAGCGAGGCACAGGTCGAACAAACGGGTTGCACCCCGTCACATTTGTCCTTCTTGGAGCGACAGCTGTCGCAAGCGCGTGAAACCCGTTGGCGTTTGGGATTGGAGGCGAGATCGTCTGCGGCCGGGGTCTGCTTGCCCTCCTCGTCGGCCTCCGTTAGACGTCGTTTGGATTTACTGGCGCCCCCGGAGGCTTGGCGCGTGTCGTTGTTCATGATCGTCTATCCCACGGTCCACTAGGTTGTTCCGGACGCATGTTCATCTTCAGGATGTGTCGCAGCGCGGGAAGAGATGAATGCTTTGCCGGTGGCTGTTTATGCCATATATTTTGGTGCTGTCTGACTCGGCCCCACTATGGATGCGATTGTCGAACTAGGAGGACTGAACACCTTCTTAGTTGGTCTGACTAGGAGTAGAAGTAATAAGCCACCAACAAGAGCGAGACTAATATCGGAGCAATCGGCGACAGGTGACAAGGGGGGTGGTGGTAGTGGTAGTGATAGTGGTAGTGGGATGGTGGGATGGTGGGATTTGGTTAGTGTGTGGGTGAAGTGTGGGTGTGGGAAAGTGGAAGAAGGGGAGAGAGGGATAAAGGAAGGAGGAAGAAAGGTAAGCTAGGTAGTTAGGAGTGTGTTCATTTCACAATTCAATTCAATTCAGCAGTGTTGGGAAGAGCGCGAGAGATCGTAAAGGCGGAGAAAAGAAAATGGAGAGGACATGACGGGCTGGAGTGAAAAGTTGGGGAAAAGACCGAGCCTAAACCGGAATGGAACTTGGAACTGCACTGCTTACCCGCGATGGACTGGTGATTTACTGACTGGGTTAGTTACTGACTGACTGTCCACGGTGTATGTAGTTAGTACCTACTTAGTAGTTAGTTAGTTTGTTACGTTGTTTAGTCATTTAGTCAACTAAATAATACAGATCCATGGAAAGAAGAGAGGAGAAAGTGTGGGAGACTTAGTTGGAGAGAGAACAGAGGAGAGACTCCCCCATTCCCCGGTCCTCTCAGAGAGAGCCGATTGGCAAAGGCTAAGGGATTCCCGGTAAACAGGATCGAGTAAGGTGCACTACGCTTTGGGTCAACCCTCTCGCTTGGGTGGCGGACCCCCCCCCCCCAGCATTTCATTATTCACCTATTACTTTTACTCGATTAAAATCACTCAATTGCTTACTTACTGTCTGTGTCTGTTAGACATTAGCTACAAATAAAATTACCTGTATACTTATATACAGTACTCATACTCAGTACTAAATGGTTGAGGCTGTCGATCGACATGTGTTCAACCTCCCCCATGCTTTGACCCCGAAGCTAAAACTGAGGCACAGCCTCATCCGATTTTTCATTTCATCCCCCGCGGGGTAAGGGAGAACCTGGGTCACTGGGTGAGAAAAAAAATTAAAAGAGCACACAATTTACCTTGGGCCACTCAACCTTGCGTCTCGGAAAACGGAATCTCTCCGGACTGGAGAAAAACTGGTATTGTTACAGTCACCTTACGTCTCCCGGCAGAGCCTTTCTCCGCGCTTGCCGGCTTCCATCTTTGATCCGGCACTATTTTAGTGTGTAATAGTACTGTACCTACTCGTAGCATGTCCATAGTATGTATGTACTGGACTCTCTGCACAAGGGATACACCACAACGTGCACACAAGCTTGTCCTAATGGGTCAAGAAAAAAAAAGACACAAGAGCGAACAGCTCGGGACATGAATAAAGCTTTCTTCATTATTTAACAAGTAGTCGTGCGACCAACTAAAAATAGTTGCTTACAAAGGGCTGTCCAGGAACACCACCACCACTCCGCCACAATCGACAAACGTACTCTATAGTCCACCTGCTACGTCACAAACACTGCTACTACCGCCTGCTCTATCAGTCGGCCTTTTCAAAGTTTCCACATGTCAACCGGGTGTTATCGGCCGCATGCACCACCACAGACAAGTTGCCAAAGAATGCGGCAGTATCTTCAACGTTGGACAGGAACCAGTCGGTGTACGAGACTGCCACGGACTCGCCAGGGGCCGCCCAGATGGGGCCATGCTTTCCACTGAGGTCGCCGACCTCGCAGGTCTGAGGCGCCTTGATGTCACAGGGAGGTGTATCGGTGCGGCCATATGGGTCCAGGTGGCTGCTGGTGCTGTAGCAGTTGCCGTCTTCGGGCACCGGCTTCTTGTGAATATGGTATACTAGATGGGAGTTACCAGTCAGCACATCATGTGTGAACAAGCCCAAAGGACTCGCAAATGCGATACATACATAGGGGTTGTTGGTCCGTGGGAATACCCCAGAATTTAGCATGGATAGTTATGCCGACATTATCGGGGCCCGGAGACGCCTCGAGATGGCCCTGGACGGTGGTATTGTCCTTCTTCAGGAGCTGCACCTGCCAGACGGAGTCGTTGTTGTCCCATACAATGGGCGCATTGGTGTCTGCCGCGGACGCTTGGAGCCAAAGGAGGCCAAGCGAGGCCAAGGAAAGAGTCTTGAACCACATGGTCGGGAAGATTTTCAGATAAAAATGGGAGGGAGGCGGAGTCAATCGGAGGTCGTGAAGCGGCTCGTTGTGCGAGGGTGGTGGTCTTTATGTTTGGCTTCCGCGATGGTTGTTGACGAGAACGAAGCAAGGAGGCCCTGGACTGTGTACGGCGCAGAGTAATGGCGGATTAGAGGGCAAGTGCGACCCTAGCAACGGCGGGTTTTATATCAGTCCTGAAAGAGTTCAAGCCAAGCCTAAGCCTGCCAGTCCGTCAGGCACAGAGAGCGATTCAGCGACCTCCAGTTGGTTTTCTGAGCTAATCGGCACCGCCCATCTCAACTGGCCTCTCTCATTGAACCATCTTGCCCTGGCAGGAGAGGGTTGTGTTGTGCTGTTGGCCGGTTGCGGTAGAATGCAGACTGTCACCATCCCTTGTTACACCAGGGACCGGGAGGGTCAAATCAATGTCACCGTCAACGTGGCTTTGAAGCTTCCTGGTTCGTATTCTGTCTAAGTGACAACAGCCAACATGGCTCAGTGAAGAACGATGATGTCTGGACCACGTAGCCAGGAAGGGTCGGTTCCTGAAAATTCTTTTTTCGTCTTCTGCAGCTCTGGCGATTTCATCATCCTTCGCATTCAGAAATAGTAACCTGAACGAGCCAAGCCATGCTTGCTATACGAGGCTCGACCCATCACATAGACAAGAAAAGGAATGAACAAATGAATGAATAAGCTGTTGGATGGATTGTTGGATCGGTCATAATAGATTGTGAGGTGTTGTGGACGAGTCGATGAGTGGTCGGATCAGAATAGCAATCACGAGCAATGCCCGGCGAGGATCTCGTGACGAAGAAACAAGCTCCCTCTCCAACTCTCCAGCTCACCAACTCACCAACTCACTCCGCCTCGCTGCATCTCCTCTGCCTTTGTTATGCATCTCGCTCGGATCAGTTGCAGATCGGGTCTTCCCCGAGGGTCTCTCGGACAGAGAGACCCCGAGTGACATCTAGTGCTCATCAGACAGCAAATGGAAGGAAAGGTTGAATCGAACTGCCATACTTCCCCGCACAGTCTAGACTCCACCGTCTCCTCCAACTCCTCCACTCTTCCACTCTTCCACTCCTCCGCGCCAATTGATGCCTCATATCACTATCGCGGACTTCCTTGCGATCAACACCTCGCAGCTCGGAGAATGTCCTACTGCTCTGGATCCACTCACCCTTCGAAGGAGAGCTGTGCATAAGATTTAATGCACAATGAAGGATGCCTCTATTTATTCGAGGGATCGGCGAGGCTCTGGCTGCCCGGTCCCAGAAAGATGACTTTAACAAGCACATTGGTGACCTCGTTTTCAACCCTGACTCTTGCTGATCCTGTTCCCATTCCAAAAATGTCTCTTCCTGAGACCCAATACATAATTCAGCTTCCCAAGACGCCCTCCATCATCGGCGCGCTGGACCCTCGAGGCATCGTCCAGCGATGGCTCACAAACCTTGAGGCGCTCCTCACCAAAGGCACTTTCCACCTACTTCCAGCTCTTGTCCATGAAGAATCTTGGTGGAGGGACTTATCGGCAGTGAATTGGGATCTGCGCACGATCCAGAATCGGGATCGGATCCAGGATTTCCTGTCTCAAAATCAGTCCCGTGCTGGCCTGTCTGCATTCCGTGTCCAACACGAATGCAAGTTTCAGCCAAAGCTGGAATCCCCGACGGAAGGCCTAAGATGGATCACCTCCATGTTCCTCTTTGAGACCCGCGTGGGCCACGGAACGGGGGTGATTCGACTGACACAGAATGAGGCTGGCGAATGGAAGGCATACTCGGTGTGTACGACGCTGCAGGGTCTCAAATCCTTCGAAGAACCCTTGGGTCTACGCAGAGCACAAGGTACCATTGAGACCATGCCTGGTGGTCTCAGTCAGGGAAACTGGCTTGAACGCCGTCAAAGGACGATCAAGTTTGAGAACGAGGAGCCGACAGCTTTGGTCATTGGAGCAGGTGAGTTTATAGTCTCATGCACCGTGATAACGTACGCTAACAGCAGAGCAGGACAGTCCGGTCTCAACATTGCTGCTCGACTGCAGTCCTTGGGTATCTCTCATCTTATTGTCGACCGGCATGAACGGATAGGCGACAACTGGCGCAAGCGATACAGGGTGAGCGATCCTACGACCCCAATCTGGTGTCAAATCTAACATCTGCAGACTCTTGTCACTCACGACCCGGTTGAATACACGCACATGGCCTACCTGCCCTTTCCCAAGAACTGGCCGCAGTACACCCCGAAGGACAAGCTCGCCGACTGGTTCGAAGCATACGCCAGCATCATGGAGCTCAACGTATGGCTGCAAACCTCCATCAAGTCCGCCACCTACGACGATGCCAGGCAACAATGGACCGTAGTCGTCGCCCGTGGCGGTGGAGAGGAACGCACTCTTCATCCGCGCCACCTGATCTGGTGCACGGGTCACTCAGGAGAGCCATTGGTTCCGACCTTCCCCGGCCAGGAGCACTTCAAGGGCACCGTCTACCACGCGAGCCAGCACGACGACGCATCTTCACACAACGTCAAGGGCAAGAAGGTCGTCGTGGTCGGCACCGGCAACAGTGGTCACGACATTGCTCAGAATTACTACGAAAACGGAGCCGAGGTGACCATGCTGCAACGCAGAGGCACCTACGTGATCACTGCCGAGAAAGGTGTACTAATGATGCACGAAGGCCTCCACGAGGAGAATGGGTAACTCCTTCCCACCCCACCCCCCCCCCTTTCCTCCCCAGATCCAACAACAACAGACCCTCATTCGCATCCCTCTACAACCCCCAAAAAACCACCACTGTCACAACCCTCCTCTGATCCCCGAAAACAGCCCCCCAACCGAAGAAGCCGACCTCATCGCCGAATCCCTCCCCTACCCCGTCCGCTTCGCCCTAGACGTCCACTTCACGAAACGCGTCCAAGCCGCCGAGCACGACCTCCTCACCGGCCTCCAACAAGCCGGCTTCGCCCTGGAATTCGGCCCGGACGGCGCCGGCATCTCGCGCGCCTACATGACCCGCGGCGGCGGGTACTACATCGACGTCGGCTGCAGCCCCCTCATCGCCACCGGCAAGATCGCCGTCCAGCGCAGTCCCGAGGGCATCTCGCACTTCACGGAACGGGGAATCACGCTCCGCGACAACAACAACACGACTCTCGACGCGGACATCGTGGTGCTCGCCACGGGGTACGATAACATGCGTACCACGGTCCGGAAGGTGCTGGGCGATGGGGTCGCGGATCGTCTGCGTGATGTGTGGGACTTGGATGATGAGGGGGAGGTTAATGCTGTACGTTTCCCTGGGACCTTTCCTGCTCTGATGGTGTTGGGCAGTTGATACAGAAACCCTGCTGGTATGGCGTTGACTAACACCACGGGCTTGAATGACAGATGTGGCGCCCCAGCGGTCACCCTGGGTTCTGGTACATGGGCGGGAATCTGGCGCTGTGCCGCGTTTACTCCAAGTTTCTGGCGTTGCAGATCAAGGCCGTGGAGGCTGGGTTGGTGGAGGGGCAGCAGGCGCAGTCGAAGCTTTAATCGTCATTGCTGCACTAGAGGGAACGATAGAGGATTTCGTTGGCCCGACCAGAGGGTTAAACTTCTCGAGAGACTGCTAGGTATTTTGATACTACGAGCCTAAGGTAAGAGTTGAAGTCATCATTCATATACCTCTCCCTTAGGAGAAGACCAGCCAGTGGAAATTCTACTATATACCAAGTGACCACCTCTCCCTTCCACCCAAAAGAATCATGACATAGATACATTAAACACATAAAGTCGCTGAAACACATATCAAGAAGTAATAGAAACAAAAACCATGAGTCTTGAGAATCATATCCAGAAGCGTCGTAGCTCATCCTCCCACCCCCTTCTTGTTTATACACAATCAATCTCTCGCCTGTTCACCGTCATCGATAATCATCTCGACATCCTTGATGGGATGGAGCAGCATCGGGGGAAGACACATGCGGCCCTCGCCGGCGAGCTCCTCCTGCTCGCCACCGTCGTTATCGACTTTGAAGCCCAGCCAGCGGCGCCAGAGGTTCGGCGCGAAGCCCGCCGAGTAGAACCAGGTGGTGCCGCGGAAGTTGTGCTCGCGGTCGCCGAAGACGGAGGTGCGGGCGCCGCCGGAGGCGCCGTTGCGGCCGGCGTTGAAGACCGAGTCGACGTACTTGGTGGGCCAGCGGCGGTCGAGGTAGAGGGCGTGGGGGATGGAGACGGCCTTGAAGCCGTGCTGGAGGGCCGTCGAGGCGGGCCACATCTCCGAGAACATGGTGTGGCGCTTGCGGACGGTCTCCTGGTGCATGGTGTGCAGCAGCTTGTGGGACATGCGGGAGGCGGTGATGATGGCCGTGCGGCGCGGAGGCATCATGCCGGCGGACCGGTCGTAGCCGGTCACGTCGTCGCGGAGCGCCCAGGTCGTGCCTTCGGGGTCGAAGAGAGGGTTGAACACGATCAGGTCCGCCTCCTCGCCGACGCCCCACTCGTATCGGTCCTTCTCCATCGTGGTAGGCGGGATCCCTTCGCCTTCGACCTCGAGGATGTCCTGCTCCGCGGGCCGCTCGGGGCCCCAGACGGACTTGTCGCCTTGCTGGTGCAGGGCGTTCTTTTCGGCTGCTGACTTGTCTTGGCCGGGCTTTGGTGCACTCCACATGTTGTTCGGACTGTTGGTGCCGATCTCGGTCTGCACGCGCACCATCTGTCGGAAGTCCTCCCACGTCCCTTGAACGGACGGGACGTAGAAGCGCGCATTTCGTTCCCAGAGGCCCTTACGGGGCTGTTCTCGCGCCCAGCTGACAACCTTGTCGAAAAGATGATACCAGTGTCCTGTATATCGAGCATCCATCTCCCAGTTCCAATAATAGTCGTATTCCGGATGTTGGTAAGCAAAGTACTGCATGGGCATATGGGTGCTGCGATAGACACCGTGCACAGAGAGTCCGCTAGCCCACGTCTCTTCCAGACCGGGGTACATGAGCGCCATTTGCCGCTCAGACCAAAGCGTCGCCATACCACGGAACTCGGCCGGCAAGGCATCTGAGAGCACACGCTCATATGTTTCGTCGTCAGCCCAGATCTGAAGATTCTCATCTTTGACTTGGACCAAAAAGTGGATTGCATACTCGCCGCCGGACTGCAGGGACAGTTCCGAGATCAGCGAACGCAAATACAGAATGTCATCAGGACTATAGTGGTAGTCGTGCCAGGTGCGCAGAACAAACGCAGTCCGGGGCAGCCGTTCACGTTCAGTCTGTTCTTGCTGATCGTTTTCCGGGGAAGGCAAAGTCGTTGCTGCATCATCCAAGGTTGGAACTCCGATCGGCATGGAGATAAAGCGGTTGAGACGCGGTGGAGGGAGCTCTATGAAGCGATGGTTGTTTGTGGCAATGCATCGATTTTGAGCAGCAGCCCAATCCACTTTCCGGAAATCGACCGGTGGATAATCTTCCCAGACACGCTCAGCGCCCTCACGTTCTCCTTCGAGGCCTGCACCGATTCCACCTTTTCGGACACTGTAACCCATACCATATGGCCCAAGGCGGCCAAATCGATCGAAGCAAACGTCATCCTTAATGCCAAGCAATTCATTGGAGCCTATGACCGGGTCAGGAAATCCGCGAGGCACGCCAGGGTAGTGATGAACCAAAGGAACCCGCATAGTTCCATCCTCATCTAGAAAGCATTCGTGCTTCTCTCCATACTTGGCGATGTACTCTGGGGAAGCGTAGTCAGGGTACGGGTTGAAGACCAAGCTTGAAAACGGTACGGTTTGGTCGCGCTTCGAGATGCTGGTATGGTTCTGCGAGTCAGTGTTGCCAGCATCCATCGCTTCCAAGCTGTCGTTGGGATACTCGGGTACATTTTCTGCGCGCGTGACCAAGGTTCGGATGCCCCCATGATAGCGCTTGAGAAAGGGAAAGCTTTCCCAAGCGGGCGGCTTGGAGCTAGGCTTGGGCAGCGGGACATTGACCCGACTAACAGTGGAGAGAAATGTGAATCGAAACAGAACGATAATGAAAAGCACGAGGAATGAAAGCAACCCCATGCAGAGCCATCGCATGACTCGGTGGGGGACGCGATAGCCCAACCCAATGCGAGGCGGCCGGCGCGCCGGCGCATCATTTAGCATAGGGCGAAACGAAGAAGCGGAGGAGCTGGTGGAGTCATCCTCAGTATCCGTATCGGAGTCATATGAACTCTGGCTATATTGGCGATAGTGATGTTTAGGGCGTGCAGGTTGTTTCTCTATGTCCACCATCACATTGCGACTTTTCTTCGAGTACCGTGCATGAGCCGTTTTTGAGGCTGGGTGCCTTTTGGCTCGAATGGGCATGGTGGACACAGCATGAACAGGTGGACGTTAACGACGTCAGAGGAATGCGCACCGTGCAGGGCGGGCGATCGAACGGCACCAGCGATCCGAGGAATGGAAAGGTCAAGATTCGGCGACTATCATGTGTTTCAAGGTTAGTGAGCGATTGAATCATACATGTCTGACAATGGAGAACCCACATGTCGACCTGTTCTTGAGCAGTGTCAGAACGGTTCGCCCGAAAGTGGGTGACTGATCGTTGCCCACCGATCTATAGTCACAGATTCCCGATGGGGACGTGGGAACAATTAAAAACAAGAGCACTCACGTTCAGGTCCAATTGCCCGGGACTTGGATTGAGCCGATCAATAACAATTGATCAGACCGAGGAGCTCAACACAGTTCAACGCTCTCAGACTGACTGTCAACAAAACACAAGACTGCGCGGTGGTACGGAGTATATGGCGTAGTGTTTGGGAGATCGGCGCCAGTCGTTGCCCAAGAGACGACAACCAGCGCTTGCTGCACTAGGCTGGACTTGATCATCTTGGCGGGGCCATCTCTAGACCTTGACTTTCACAAGATCGAGATGAGTTCCGTTTTGAGTGAGGATCAATTTTATTTGCAGGGCATATTTTCACGAGTATAGAAGGATAGAATCGAGTATGGAATAAACGATAAAGGCTGCATAGCTGTGAAAGTAGGTATGAAGTTTCCATGGTACGGGGTAGTTCCAAGAAGTCAAGAACTCGAGCTGTGTTCTCGAGACACAGACTGGGCTCGACCTTTCTTGTCCACATCGGGATTAGCGCCCTGTCTCAATGCGCTAAGCTTCTCTGGGACATATCCTACCTAGCCTGAGGCAACTCTAGGCATTCAGCAGTGTCCAAGCAAGCAGCAGCAGCAGCAGCAGCAGCAGCAGCAGCAAGCTTCCAGTCACTCGTGTAAGTTAGGCTTTTACTAAGTACATACTCCACATATCCCACTCAACTCAAGAAAAGGTCACACGATAGAGAAAACTCAAGTAGCAGAGTCACCTGCACTATGTACTAAATATGTTTCTCACCACAAGCAGGTAGAGCTCTTTCACAGGGATTGAATCCCAACTAAATCCCCAAGGCGAGCGCCAGGCACTTTCGGGGAAGCAGGAGGAAAACCCGTTATCTGCAACCATCAAGTGCGGTGATGTCATTGATAATTCCGACCTCACTTCTCCAAAAACGGGCCCCCATTCAACGAATGAATTAACAATCTTTCTCTCCCACAACTGAGTCTAATCCTGCCTTCAAGGTTAAATGGCATGACCTCCAAGGACCCGGCACTGGGAATGAAAGAACCCACCCTGCTCCAGGGCCCACACCTACCCCGGGTCTGATGAGATTGGACTCCACTTCTCGCTGGGCGACACGCCTCCTAGATGCCCAGAAACAAGAGCGAGCGTCCCCCCAACAGTCAATGGGAACATAGTTCTATCTGCACGGCACCTCTCACACCAAACCTAGTGTTGCATTCCTATTCCTGCGACAAGGAAGAAAGGAGAATCTTTTGACGAAACAGCTCATCCGCTGACAGCTTCGGCATACCGTGGCTTTGGGGAGGCCCGACGCTTTCCGTCTTCTTATCCTCCGAACCTCTTGGTGGGGGGGGGGGGTTTTTGAAGAGGTTACTTCGACATTTAGTCATTGATGCTTCATCCGCATACCTTAGCTTCTTTTCGTCGGCATACATCACACTGACGACGGTACCTAGTACTTCCTTCCTTCCTTCCATTCCATCCACACAAAACTAAACCACACCACGCGCAATAGCCGAGCCATTGATGAGTAGCTTTTCAATGTACTCATGTATGAATCACATCCTGGACTGCGGATTATTAGTTGCGGTGTGATGCAACGGTGACCTTTATTGGTCCACCTGGCTGCACTCAACAGTGCATATCCACCTTTTGCCGTAGATTCTAATTAAGAAAAAGAAAACTATCGTGGCAGCATGAGACCTGCCGGAACCTACTGACTACCTACATTGACCACCCCTCAGTACCGCGCCTTCATTCCAGCCATTCCTGTGTGCCTCCATCTTTCTCTTTGTCGTATTTGTGGAGAAAAGAGACGGAGCTGGGTCACGATATGACACCTGCCTTACTCCACCCCCCTGGAGCAGAAGTATAAAAACGAGCTTACTAGCCCTGGTGCCCCCTTTGCCCCGGGGAAGAACACAGTGAACGGCGCTGTGCTCTGCAGCGCATTGAGATAGATGATCGAGTATTGAGCCCATCCTCTCCCTCAACCCTGAACCATCATCGCAGCCCCCCCATCAGCAACCGACTCACCTCGTATCGAGACCAATTGACAAAGAAAGAAAGAAAGAAAGACATCATGGTACGCCCTGCACCCGCACACATGCCCCTTTCCCTCGCACCCACACATAATAGCATAAACCCAGTAGAACAAACACTGACAAGCACTTTTCCCCCCATTGTCAGACATCACCAGCAGCAGCAGCAGTGTTATCGAACCTATCACCAGCAGCCCACAATCACAACCACCACCTGAACCCCAACCACAATCACCTAATCTTCACCCTCGACCCCACCGCAACAACAACATGCCTGCTCCTCCTCCTCCCAACCCTCTACCTCCTCCACACCATCCGCAAAGACTACCATGCCTTCCTCGCCCTCGGACCAGGAGGCACCCCCTCAACCCCAGCGGGCTACCTCCGCATCTGCGTCCTCCGGCTCTTCATCCTGCGCAACCCGCTACTAGCCCCAACAATTCCACCCTGCGTCCACCCGCAACAAGGCCTGCTAAGCGCCTCGCACCTGCCTCCGCGCGCCGGCCCCCGTCCCACCGTCACAGGAATCGCGCCGCAACGCCAAACGACCCAAAAGAGCGACGCCGAGATCTACGAAACCCTGTCCACCGAGATCCACCGCCTGGTCGCCCAGCACCCGGATACGCTATACACGGGCACCTCGTGCTTCGAGAAGTATAGCACGGGGATGTTCTGCGCGGGGAACCGGAACGGAAACGCTGCCTGCGAGAGCTCCAGCACCACCGCCACCACCCTCAAAGTATCCAACACCAGCGTCAACAACAGCCACCAACAAGAACAACGCCGCCACCGCCTCACCTGCAACGGAGAGGTGTGTCACGCGCACCCGAGCGACGGCAGCCTGCACCTGACGCTGCACCCGGCGGACGTGAAGCTGGTGCTAGAGCGCGGCTGGGGCCAGCGGCACCCGCTGGCCCGCGACAGCTGGTGGTGGTGGCTGCGCATCGTGCCGCCCGGGTTTGTGATGGTGTATGCGCCGCGCGACGCGGAGGAGCTGGAGTGTGTGCTCGAGATTATCCGGGCGGCGGCGTGGTGGGTGAGTGGGACGGAGTTGTGCAGGTGAAGAGGTAAACGAGGTAATGCTTTGGGGAATTAGTCCTAGTCGGTGCATGCCTGCCGGGGTGGTGAGACGTCGTGATGCCCGGGGGGGCTGAGGGGCTAGGGGCAAGGGGTGGGAGAGGTGGCGAGGAGGAAAGCTGCAGGGTGGGTGAGTCTATGGTTTGGTGGGTGTAGTGCTTGTGGGTGGTGGTGGTGGTGGTGGTAGTTCAGCAACCGAAAGGGCCCTAAAGATCAGTGATGTTACCGTCCCCCGCCGCCGTCATCAGAACGGGATACAATTCTATCATGAGTTAGCCGAGAACATTGGATGATGGGAACGACGACAGAACGTACAGGCGGATGGAGGATTGCACTTACGGGGTCCTAGTCGATCTCACGGCAGCCGGCCTATAAAGGGACGAGGTGCAAGATGCACGGTGATAGTGCTGGCGCTGGCGTTGGGCGGTCCTGAATTTCACGCTGCATACATTCAGGTTAAGTTGCAGATAAGCTTCCCCAAGCTAGCAAGAGTTCGAACCCATCACATTGATTTATTTTTTCGATTCACTCACGTGCGTCAACTCTCTACATGTTGAAATTCCAACCTCTTCCTGCGGTGATAATGAGATATATTGTTTGGACTGAGTCGGCATTGCTCCCAGTGCGACCCATGAGAGATCCATCGGACATCCCATGGCAGGGAGACCACCGGCAGAAAAGAGTCGTGGAGAGAAATCATCGTTGTTTTCCACACCGAAATATAGATATCGAGAGAGAGAAGAAGACAAAAAAAAGTAAAAAGCTAATAGCATAGAGGAATGAAGAGCCGTAAGAGAACATACAAGAACCACCAAAGTAGCATTTCCCTTTCCACACTACACACGAGGTGTCTTTGTCGGCCCCGGTTTCTCTCCCCTTGTTTCCAGTCATGTCATCCGCAACAGACCCCGTCACACGCTTCCAGGTATACCTCCAATCATTATGTCCATTTAGTCGCGGTTGGTTTTCCGCAGCGTCTCGGCGAGCCACTCCAGACCCTCGTACAGACCATCACCAGTCGTGGCGCAGGTGGATTGGATGAACTAAAAAGGTCAAGGGTCAGTAAGCGAGCACCAACACCTGAGGCACCAAGATGACGTGATTTCCAAACTTACCCAGGGGCGGCGAGTGAGACTTTGCAGGCCGAGCTGCTGGGTGATTTCGGCAGGGCTCATGGCGTTCTAAGAAATAAAACCGTCAATATCATTCCTCAAATCGTGAGCGTCGGAGCACATACGGGCAAATCTTGCTTGTTGGCGAAGACCAGGAGCAGGGCGTCACGGAGCTCATCCTCGTTCAACATGCGCTGCAACTCTTCGCGGGCCTCGACAATACGATCCCGATCGTTGCTGTCGACGACGAAAATGATACCCTGGGTGTTCTGGAAGTAGTGTCTCCAGAGAGGACGGATCTTGTCCTGACCACCGACGTCCCAGACGGTGAACTGAATGTTCTTGTATTCAACAGTCTCGACGTTGAAGCCTGCATGAACAATTCCCAACATGTGTCAGCGATCCAACTCGAAGTGAACCCATGCGCTGGGTGAGCAGAGACATCCTGCTCTCGAGACAGTAGTCGAAAAAGGTGACTGACCGATGGTGGGGATGGTGGTGACGATTTCACCGAGCTTGAGCTTATACAGGATGGTGGTCTTTCCGGCAGCGTCGAGACCGACCATCAGAATTCGCATCTCCTTGCGTCCCCATAGTCTGTCGAAAAGCTTAGAGAAGGTGATACCCATGATGACGGTGGTGTATCTTCAGGGTTCTAGATGATGAGCGCGGAGGATGTTAGATGCGACCAGACAGGACAGAGTGTAAGAATGCGAGCACGATTGCGGGAGTGCCCTGCTGTTCAATCACGGGTCGGGTGATGAGGGGCTGAAGAAATATATATGAGAGCGAGCAAGACAGTGGTATGACGAAGGTGAAATCAGAGGTGGACGACAACGAGGGGTGGAAGTCGTCAGGTTAAGGTAGTCACGCCGGGGAAACACGGCGGGCAAGACAAATCAGGGGGAGTGGAATTAAAGGGAGGCGAAATAACCAGACACCAAGACGAGAGCCAGCCTGATCAGGGAGTTGAGGGGAGGGGGAGGGGCGGTGGATAGGAAAAGAGACACAACGACAACTTGACCAAGCAGACATTAACCATTAACGTAGACAGAAATGTACTTACCGATGTGATTTGAAGATGGAATGGAAAGAGGGAGGGAGATTAGGAATGGGCGTGGATACAGAGAGGGAGGGGGGTGGGAATGGGTGTGGGAACGAGACCAGACAGAGATAGAGACAGAGAGGCACTAAGAGACCAGCGACCGCCCGACTGGAAACAGACAGGACAGACAAGAGCAGAGGGTCAGGTTCGGTCAGGTCAGGTTCAGGTTCGGGTCTGTTATGGAGCAGGCCCTCTGTTTGTTGGTTCGTTCGAGGGGTGGAGGAAATTTTGGGTGAGCAAAACTGCGAGTGGCCAGTGACCAGTGACCAGTGGCCAGTGACCAGGTCGAGAAGTTCAGCCGCCGGCGTAGCTTCCGTCACTAACTGAAACCGGCCAAAAACAATCAATTAATACTTACCGACTATTTTTCGTGTACAGTACGTACAGTATATGGAGTAACTTTGGCGTTTGAAGCGTATACTATATATTTAGAGAATCAATTGATGTCAATCAGTAGAAGGTAATACTCTTCATTTATGCCAGCTGTTGATTTATTTAGTCACAATCTGGAGAGCTTAACAGAACCCTGGCATTATTGAAGATCGGTTTCTGCCTGGTCACCAGAAGAGGACACGTTGTTTTCCGTTCATCGACTCTTACTATCTTACGCGGTAAACTTACCGCCCCTCATACAGTCTTCACCCACATGTCCCTCCGTCGGTGTTCTGTGCAATAATACAGAGTACAGTATCAGTATAGTACAGCAATATCAACTCAAGGCGCAGCAATGCGCAATCTAGAGATAAAGCCAACACATGGCTAGACTTAAACCAGAAGAGATCAGAATCATTCCTCCTTGGAATATCTAGTTCAATGAAATACCCCCAGGAAATCTGCTCGATATATTCAAGAGCTGACCAGTATATTACACTGTTCTAAACTTCATGAGAAGATTGTGCCGGTCTATGCTGTTCCGAGATTTTCATGGTGGATATGCATCCCTCCCTCCATTAGGAAACACATAAGATGTGTGGACATCAAGTGTATAGAGGAAGCAGCTATCAATGAAGTTTAAAATAATATTCGAGATCCTCAAGCATGCTTTAGCTATGAACATCTCCTGGTGCCGGTGGCCCACAGTTTTGCAGAATATCTCAATATCCGGCTGAAGGGGCAAGATAACTTGTGTCAACTTTAGGCTTCCCATAACCTGCCTTCTATGGTTCAAATTGCACCATATTTGCGGTCTATTTCTGGTATACAAAGCCCGCGTTCAGGCCCCATAACTGTATGAGCCAAGCGAAAGAGTGCTTCGATCTAAAATAGACGAATGATTTCAGCGGGTAGATCTTGTGCGGAAGCCAGAAGTATCAACTGTCCCTGGCATACACCTCCATCGTGCTCGGCTATAGTTCGATTCATCACATTCTTGAAGAAGAATGGAAGCCTCAATAGCGGTCCCATAGTTCAAAGACAAGCAATGCAAAGTTAATTCATCTCAGACCAAGACCCAGACATCTAGTCTTTCTCCCGCTTCTCGGAATTGGGCATATAAGACATTATCACGGTTTGAGTATCCAGTTTCCTACTTGAAGCATCTCCATAAGTGATTTACAGGATGTTAAGCCTAGAGCCCTAAGGGGTTCTATGGATAATCAGGACGAGAGGTGGTGAAGCCTCCACCCTCATCTACGCAGTCTGAAATATGTGGTTCGAGGCGCTGGGGAAGTTTGAGGATGCGATACATGAATTAGTATAATGGTACTAAGATATGAGTCAAAGCTAGATCCCGATGATGTAGTGTATGTTTTGATTCTGACGTACATGAGTATACAAACTGATAATAGGTGTTGCCACGTTTTATATAGCTCATTGTGGCAATGACCCTTTACCTACTCTGCCGTGAGTTACCGCCCTGGTAGACCTCCACACCAAGGCTAGAATGTAGCGGGACCCCGCACAACGATAATCTTATCGTTTCCTCCTCATGTCGTATTAAGAATCATCACAATGATATGGTCATGCTACCAGGTCTTTAACATGCCATCCTTACCTTGTAAGACATTGGCTACAGGGGGCACTTCTATACCACATCCTTTCTTCAAGACCAAGTCTTAAGGATGTCTGGCACCAAGAACACCAAGCCATAAAACTTACATAATGAGGATCTCAGCTAGCAAGATCATAGTGACCTTCCAATAATCAGTACCCAAGGAGCAGACTTATTGACTGATTTTGACAAGAGTGAGTATAGCAGCTAAGTCCTTACGCTGGATAGGTTAAACCTCTTTCCCCGCGTCCACTTGCAAACAGATCTAAGCAAACCCGGGAATTCTAAGTAGAAGATACAGTTTTTATCAACCATACAAGGAATTACCTCATTGACGTTCCTTCGCTACTATGTTCTCCCCAGTGTTAAACCAATGCCATATCATATTTGCATGGCATAGTGTTCCTTCTTTCTCTATCTTGCTCAAGCCGTGGTAGAAGCAGGCCTCCCAAGACTTTCTTGACAGGTCGCGGGTGCAAATTCATTTAGCTCGCTGAGGGAGACCCCTTATTATGCGCAGACGTCCAGAACTTAAGTGGAGATGATTCGCGCCCGGGGGTATGTCTGTATCTAAACTCTTCCATCAGAGACCTCGCCCCCTCCTGGTTGATAGAATGTTGCCAAGGACGAAGATGCTCAAAGAATTCCACCTGCTCGAGATCAACAACCATCACTCTGCTCTTCCCGCGGCCTTTGCCATCACACAACAAGAAGTTATCCAGTTTTTGGTCTCGGTACAAAGCTCCATGCTTCGAAAGCTCACTAAAGACTTCCTCCAGAGAAGCTCTTAATGACTCCTCGGGGACCTCGTATTTGCTGCGGGCCAGTTCATCCAAAATAATCCCATCAATATCCGACAGTACGAGTGCAGGTAGCCCATCAAAATGACCTCGACCATAAAAGTATGGAATCACTTTCCCCTGGAGCTTCTTTAATCTGTTGTAGGCCCTCTGCTCATCCTCGAACTCTTCTTCCCATTCATCTTTCTGCTGCTTAACAATAACAGAGGTGGCTATCTTGGGAATTGTATGCCGATATGAGCCTGGCTCAAGTTTGAAACGATAGACTGTTCGATGTCGATCTAATAGCTCAATCTCGGTTGCCATAATCTCGTGACCATCTAGCTTGATGATCTAACGAAGTCAGCTTGATCCAGTCCTCAGGCCAACTCGTAGGAAATCATTCTACCCGGGAAGGTTGCCGGGGTGGGAAGAAATAAGACATGACTAAATGAACAGCAAATGTGCTTGAGGAACAAAGCTAGAAAGGAAGGTAGAACTTTGACAGCAAGATAATAAGCTCAGTTGTCATGTGATCGGTCAGATGCAAGGGGGAAGAGTGACAGTCATATCCCAAGCTTCAGGCGGCGTTAGTGCCTGATTTCCCAGGCATATGGACTTCACATGAAAGAACCGTCAGTCAGTCTGGGTCTATGCATGGGTGATAGAAAGTCAAGATGCAAAAAATATATTTATTGAACTTGACAGACGTAGAACAGTCAGCGAGCATAATGTCCCTCAGCTGAGGATCCCATATTGTACAGTACATGTTCATCTTCAACAATTATGGCCTCTTGACTTGTTCGTATCCTTGAAGATGGCTGCGGTGGCTTCAGGTATCTCGTATGTCTTTGCGACTGTGTGAGATTTTGCTCCGAGATACCCGGAAGAACTTCTGGAATAACGACTCGTAGATCGGCCTTCCTTCCACAGTGTCACTGACATACCCGAAGAAGACAAGCGACACAAAGGACAGGAACATAATGACGCCGAAGCTAGCCCAGTATTGCGTGATTGTGTATTCGCCCTTGACGTTCTGAAGTTCCGTTGAGAAATACCCCGTCATCAGGCTGACCGGTAGAAATAGGATCGTCACTTTCGCCAAAAGGATAGTGATCCTGGTCAGCTTCTCCACAGCCTGCGAATCCTTGAGCGCTATCAAGTTGAAATTCTGTTACAAAACGTTAGCTTTCCCTAGAGTCATGTCTAGAGATGAATTTGAATCGTACCAAGAAGGTTAAGTTCTCTTTTTCTGTCAAGCATGTCTCAATCTCAGAGAGACAATACAGCTTGATGCGGTCAACCAGCCTCTCGAACCGGGCCACAGCTGCGGAGCTCAGAGGTACCCCAACCGAATCATCTGGGATGCTTGAAAGACTAAAGCTGTTCTGCATGGATTGCTGTTGAGCATCGTCGGATTCGTTGTCTTCCATTGTCTGTCCGAGAGCCAGTTGAGGGTAATTGTAGCGTGCTTTATCATGAAGTGATCGCTGTCGTTGAAGAATGCGCATCATGATGAGCTCGTAGCTCTGGTAGAGACGCTTGAGGACTGCTAATCGCCTTCCCAGCCAATGCAATTCGTCAATCAAGTCCACGACCGGCTTGGCTAGCATGTTTTGTCTCTGCCTCGAGGTGTTAACTCTGTAAAACGCTGCAGGGGATGACACGTTCACCACAAAGGACTAAGAGAGAATCTTGGTCCACATACCAGCCGGTCTAAAGCCACGCCATATTTGTGCTCACGTTTCGCCACAAGTGCATAGGATGACACCCAGTCATCGAAGATGTAGTAGAAAAGTAAACTCGGCCCGTCTTCTTGTCTAATGCTTGTCTGTTCCGCGCACGCCTCAGGGGACGGCCGCACCCGAATCGTCACTAGGGACTCGCTTTCTGAGGAGGCGGGATGGTGTTTAGAGACCCCGGAGAAGATTAGTTGCAGGTTCCGGCGAACTACACCAAGGACAGCCTTGATCTCTTTCTCCGACGGGCCTGATAAGCCGGGAAACGGATTCTCCTGCATGTTTATGACAGTCCCTGTACAACTCATTACCAAGAATCTAGCGATCAGGGAAATGCTTCTTACCATCATCGCACAAAATCAACCAGGACCACAACCGCCTACCAGCCGGTAAGTCTTTCCCATTGTCCATCTCATGACCTGGGATCACATAAATCGAATTGTAACCGACGCAAGTATCTGTCATCCGTGAGAAATCTGCCTCCAGCAGTTCAATAAAGTTGGACATACACCTTGGCCCATAATCCACCGAGCAAAAATGCCATATTTGGTCGATGACGTGGGCAAAGGTGAGGCCCCTGAACGATGCCAGTGCGCTAATCTCTTCGGGATTTGTCAAATCTCTGAGTGCATTGCCTTCTTCGAGGTCGTTCAATCGACTTGAGGGTAACCGGTCGCGGTGTCTGGAGTAGCTAGTTCGTGAAGGCTCAGCAGGGACCGGAGGTTTCGATGGACGCTCGACTGGGTCTGTGCACATCATGCCCTGTAGCCGTTCCGATACACCATAGTGACTGGTGATGGACTGAGAACGTTAGTGGGGACATGGTGACCCATCGAAGACGAGGCTACCTTTATCAAGTCCTTTTGCTGCTCAGGGGCCCATATATTACTGGTGAACCTCACTGAGCATGTCTCCATTCGTGTTGAATAATGCTTATACTTACATCCACCGAGTACCACAACATTTTGGCTTCTAAGCATTATCCACGTTTAGTCTTGTTCACATGGCGTCAAGCTACCGTCGACAACATACTTGCTTGCGCAGTAGCAGCGCTATCTCCTCCTGGTCCAAGTTCACAGCACACCATGCATCTTCATTGCCGAAGTCGAGCACAAAGTTTCTTGCTTGAGGGTCTTGCAGGAGAGCCCGATAGTGCTTCAGATTGCTGGCATCATCGATGTCGCGAAATTTATCTTGGATACTTGGTTTTTGAGTAAAACTGGAATAATAATCTTGAGGTGTATGGCCACTGCTGGATGTCGTAGGCTCTGACATTTCTTGTCCTGGCCAGCAAAAGACAGTCGCGAGATCGTATACTGAACACTATAGGGTGGGTATGATGATTCTAAAGCCGAATAAGGCACAGGGACTCATAGCAGAGAGCAGCAGCCTGCAATTGCTCGGATAATTTCTCACAGCTCCTGCGTCGCGCAGATCAGGGCGACAGACGGGGTACTTATAAGCTGAGACAGTACAATCGCTTGCCGCCCAGCGCGGGCGCCAGAGCATTACAGCTGACTCGTCCGCAGCACGAGGGGTATGTTGACAAGCCCCGCCAAGGATTCCGGGGGGGCATCTGGAGGCGGGCGCGTATCGATGGTGGTGGGCGCTGAAAGGTATCATATGCTCGATTTTTGTTGTAGTGAAGATCTGCAAACCAGGTGTGACTAGGTAAAATACTTGTAAGGGATTACATCAGGTCAAGTCCTTGGAACGAAGCGGCGGTGTTATCGAGAAAGGTCGAGACTATCATTATATATAGCATTCTTCAACACATCATCTTGTCGGACCAAGTTCAATTTCTGAAAATGAGACATAATACTAGGTGGTAAAGAGTAGAATATAAGCTCTACATCTGATGCATCCCGTCTGGAAAGATATCATTGGAGACTTATCAGATGAGGTTTTGTTCACTGTTTACTATACCTGTAGCCCAGATGGCCCTCTAGGCTCCTCCCACGACAGCCCGGGTACGCCATAGCTACCCGGTTTTGGTTAGTTCTACCGGGCCGTCACGCGAACCGCGGGACTGACTTCTTACCAGGCTGCAGTACAGTATCCAGTATCCACGCACCGCATCAGATCCACCGATCCACCGGTCACAAGCGACATATCCACGTATTCGGGTAGGGGGAGTCCTCAGTTGACTCTTGAAAGCATGGTGATCATATCCAGCCGACTGCTTCTAGGGAGGATCTGATCTTCATCTCAAGTAAACCGGTCTAGTCGTCTCTAGCGGCTCCATTGGCGACCATCTCAGAAATGGTACATCAAGCAGCCACGGGGCAGCCCGTTCGCTTGGCTACGTCATGTACTGAATGTCAGCGCCGAAAGCAGAAGGCAAGCAACACAAGTCAACCTTGATTAATCTATATCTCTCATCGAGCACCTCATCTAACGACTCCTTTGTACAGTGTAGCCGCGATTGGCCATGCAATCATTGTCAAGCAAGAAGAGTGGCTCATCTATGCAAATTTCCCCCCAAGAAGGCGCTAAAGGTGACCAGGTCTAGGACGAACAATGCAAGGTCAGCTATAGGCACCGTTTTCATTTTTATACAGGTCCCTGATACCTGCTTCAGCATAGATACTCCACAGACGGCTTCTGTAGAGTCGAATCACGAAATATCGAGTTCTAATACAATCACGGCAATCACCAACGACAATGCTTTTCGTATGCTTGGGTACCTTCCTGATAGCGAGGTAGCGACGCCTCAGGGTGCCGAGAGATATGTAAGGCTAACGTGATATGGATCTGTGTCCACCATCTACTGACTGTTGATTCGACAGCAATCTGCCGCGATATCTCCGGTTCCCTGTAGCACTATTCAGCCGGAGATGGAGAAAGCAATCCGTTTAGTCCCTCCAAAACCATACACAGGTAAACCAACCAACTCACGATAATCCTGCGCAATCACTCATGCATAATCAGATATCCTGATACAGCACTTTCTCAGTGAGATCAATCCTCAATACTATTGTCTTTACCCGCCCACATTCTCGCACGACTATGCTACTTGGTGGTCTGGCAAGGCGGCGGGTCAGGCGTTGACTCCCGAGTTCACTTGCCTGCTTTTACATATATGCGCCTGCGCAACCTTATATCTGGACTTTGATGCTCGACAGAAGCTGGAGACGGAGCTCGGAGAGAACGCCCAGAATCTTGCTGGACAGTATCATCATGCTGCCAAGCAGCTTAGCAGCACCATTGCACCTGGTAAAGGCGGGCTGACTCAGGTGCAACAACTGTTTCTCAATGCAGTTTACTACAAAAGTGAAGCACAATTTGTTGAGTCATGGCATGCTCTGGGCGCTGCGATCCACCAAGCGCAGGAATTAGGTAAATACAGGTACTCCAAGTTTCGTAATATATAGGCTGACTTTTGAATCTCGACGACAGGCATGCACAAGAGTTCATCCAAGGCGATTGCCTCAGAGTTCGAACGCGAAATGAGAAGGCGAGTTTGGTGCATATTGTATACTTGGGATTGGTAAGCTCGTACTGGTTTGTCGTGGATACCCACGGTGTTGACAAAGCTAGGCAAATGTCTCTATTATTATCGAGACCATTCATCATCAACAGCAACTACTGCTCTTTTGAACTGCCAAACCTACGCCTCGAGAGCCCTGATCCCGAGGAGTTCGGGCTTTCACCGATCGCTCACATGACCTTCCAATGTGAGCTCGGACAGACAATCTCCAAGATACCCGGTGTGATGGGTGGCTTAGTGTCGCCCGCACAGGCCATTACCATTCAACAAACGACTGAGAAGTGGTTCATTAACCTCCCCGCGCCATACAGACCAGAAAACCCCGACACTCGCTGGGATCAATCCCACAAACACGTCGCAATGCAGCGGCATCAGCTACATGCGATTGGGTATATGGTAATGTTTCTGCCTTTGAAGCCATGCCTCACAATGACTGTCGATCAAGACAAGCCTAGCATTAAGAGGAGTCTTCGACCGACTGCTGTCGACTGTGCACTAAAGCTGTTGGAATCATCGCAGCGGATGCTCGCGTTTATGCTACCTGCAAACGCCAAGTTCCACTACGCCCCCTTCATTATTTTTGATACAGCAGCCTTCTTATGCTCTGCAATTATCCATGATCACAATAGCACTCTCCCCGGCCGAGACAAGACTATCGAAGCAATTTCGAAGGCTCTCGAAGCGCTGGAACAAATATCCGAGAACACAAAGACCGGTGCCATCTGCTATGCAGTACTTAACAGGCTTGCGGGCAGTATGACTCTGACTGAAGAGGAAAAGGCGGCCATATTCTCCAGGTCGTCGGACGGATCCCTAGAGGGACCCATTACACCTCCTTCGGCATCGCTAGGATCTGGTGCAGATCTTGATGCCACATCTGCTTCCACGGATCTGGATTTGCCGTGGAGCTCTATAGATGCTGGCATCAATTGTTCGTTACCTTATGAATTGAGTCCCTCGGCAGCAGGAACCAGCGAATTTGCTGGGATGGACGGTCTTCTCAGCGTTGATATGTGCGAAATGGGCCAAATATGGGACTGGGGTAATCTTGACCTGAACCTTCAATGACCCACTTCTACCTAGGGCCTGGCTTTTTTCTGGTGCATGGTGTCGTGTCTTGACCATAGGAGAAGAGATGGAGGGACGAGATCTGGATTGGTTGTTCTACATGATGGTCGCGAGGAGTCAAGGGTAGACTGAGGGTGCTCAAGTTTTGCTACTGTTCTAGAGCATCTCCCCTGTCACAATATGATATAGTCTTCAAGGTTGCCCATCGACAAAACCATTACTCTCGATGTCGCGGGGCAGTCCACTGCATGTAGACGGGAGCGTCGCGTGAAGATTGTGCCATGATTGGCTGAGACCAAGGCGCATGCATTGCTTAGTCATGGCTGACCTGCTGAATCAGCCCCGAGCATGAATTAGGGCAGCACTAGCCCCAGTGCGGCTAGCGCGAGAGACGCCCACAAGCGGAGAACGGGAATTTCTCTACGGCCGACGGGGCGAAGTAGTCGAGTTTTTTTCCCTTTTGCTTGTCGACCAACATTCAGCGCAGAGCCACACCATAGGAATTTGAAAGAGTTCTTTTGGAAGACTGTCCAGCAAGATGTCCAAGATCACAGTCGGTATGTGAATTTCCCTTGCATCCACGAATACGCCTCGAACAACAAGAGACGAGAGTGCACAAAGCCAAATCCAGTGTATCAAAACCGCTGACCTGCGATTCTTTTGTCCATCACAGCCGGAGTGCGCCAGAATGTTGAGCAGCTGCTCAACTACTCTCAGAATGAGAAGAAGAGAAACTTCCTCGAGACCGTCGAGCTTCAGATCGGTCTGAAGAACTACGACCCCCAGCGTGACAAGCGTTTCTCCGGCACCATCAAGCTGCCCACCATCCCCCGCCCCAACATGAGCATCTGGTATGTGACAACCACCGAAAAAAGACTGGTCGAATGGAGCAGGAGTTATGCGGCAGATCTGCGTGTTATGTGGATGCATAGAGCATGAGGGAACCATCAGGATCAAGAGAATACCTAGGCTAACGGGATTCGCAATCTAGTGTTCTCGGTGACCAGCACGATCTCGACCGTGCCAAGCACTTCGGTGTTGACGCCATGTCCGCTGATGACCTCAAGAAGCTGAACAAGAACAAGAAGCTCATCAAGAAGCTTGCTCGCAAGTACGATGCCTTCGTCGCTTCCGACTCCCTCATCAAGCAGATCCCCCGTCTCTTGGGTCCTGGTCTTTCCAAGGGTATGCCCCCCGCCCCAAAATAACAAAGCATCTTGTTGTCTGTGATATGCAAACTAACGCCCACCACAGCCGGAAAGTTCCCTACCCCCGTCTCCCACGCTGAGGACTTGGCTGGCAAGATCAACGAGATCAAGGCCACCATCAAGTTCCAGCTGAAGAAGGTTCTCTGCTTGGGTGTTGCCGTCGGCAACGTTGGCATGACCGAGGATGAGCTCGTCGCCAACACCATGTTGGCCATCAACTACCTCGTTTCCCTGCTCAAGAAGGGCTGGCAGAACGTCGGTAGCCTTGTCCTCAAGGCTACCATGTCTCCTCCCAAGCGTCTCTACTAAGGGGCTCTTAACGCTTTGCTGCGCTGGAGGCTTGGAGGGATTATCAAGGTTTGGGATTGTATAGGCCTTAGTTGACTCTACGGGAAATGTGACCCATGACTTTATTTCCCTCAATTGCGCTCTTTTATGTGCTGAATCACGTAGAATCGTAGTACCTGTCCTAGATGCGCACTCGGTAACTGGACGAGGTGTGTGAAATTCGCTTCAATAAATTGATGTAATATGGTAGTGTATAAATTGGTACTGTACATCGAAATTCGGCTCCCGTGGCGCGAACCGCCAGGTCATGAGTTTATTGCATACCCTCCATCAGATCCGTCCGGTCCAAGATCATCCCCCTCATTCCGATGAACTCGCGCAGACTTTCCCACTCCTCTCCCTCCTCTTCACCTCTCAAGTAAACATCCTTGAAACCCCAGGCGAGCGCAACCTTGTCGAACGCCGCCCGCTCCTCCTCACGGAGCCACCGGTGCCGCAGCGGGACTCCCGGTTGCCAGGTCACCCGCTCCATCTGATCATTCGCAGTGGTGATGGCCAACAACCCGACCGAGGTGACACCGCCCATGTACGCCAGCCCCGCCGCGAAGGCGATTCCCGTCGCTGTGCTGGGGTCCATCGTGTTCTGCAGGCTCCCGGCCCAGGTCGCGAGGATGTAGCAGGCCACCGGGGCGGCACTCAGCCCACCCAGCGGCAGCGCGGCCTTCTTGTAGGCCTTGGCGCGGCGGAACGCCGCGGTGGAGAATGTGGTGTCGATGATCGCCAGGACGAGGGACAGGTTCCGCTGAGCGATGGCGACGTCCAGCGCCGAGTTGGCCAGCTCCACGGGGATGGCGCTGTTGATGCTGTTGGGGTTCGCCTTGCTGAAGCGCACGGGCGAACTCTTCTCCTCCGGGATCGGCTTGTTGGCGTACAGGTGGAAGATCTCGGGGAAGTGGTGGGGCTGCTGGAGCAGGACGTGGATCTTGGTGTATGAGGCGAGGGCTTCGGGCGAGATGAACACCTTCTCGTCGGTCAGCAGGCCGTGGATCGCCTGGCACAACTGCTTGGATAGCTGCTTGCGGCTTTGCTTGGGCCGTGGCTGCGGTTTCTCTGCGGCCGTTGCCGGTTCGTCAAGGTCCAGTAGGGACGAGAACTCATCAGGTTCCTGCTTTGGTTGGGCTTTCGTTGGTTGTGCGATTGTCTCGGCGATCTTCTCGCTGCGCTGTAGCAGTTGCTTGACGGCGTCGTTGGCGGGCACGGCGTCTGCCTGGCAGAGGCTGGAGCATTCTTCGGCGATCTGGGCAATGACTTCATCCAATTGCAGTCTTGTGGGTTGTTCTGCTTGGCTCGAGGTAAAGCGTTTCGAGATTTGGTTCGCATGAGTCCACGAGGATTGTCTTGACTGGAATCGCTCGCGATGCACGCTTGGAAGTGCCGGGCTGGTGGTGTTTGAGGCATAGGTCCGAGAAAGGAGCGGGCGAGGTACGGGACTAGGAGACCCTGTCTGACGACAGAATTGACAGACCAGAGATTGGGTCTTGGACTTCTGGGCCCTCAAGGCCATTCTGTTTGTGGTAATCATTTTGCTATCCACAATACCTCTTAGGACGTTCGAAACGGTAACGGGGGGTTTGAACAGAAAAGGAAATGCGACGGATGCGATAAGGCGGCGAGTGGTACTGCCGCACCTACTACGCGGGCGGTGGTACCTGGCGGCTTGTCTCGTACAGCCTCCCTCCAACTCCGTCACTTCCCTTACACCCTCGCCTTGTTCCCATCAGCTCTCCAAACAGGCATCCACTTTCTTTCCTTTGTCCTTATATCTCTAGTCGTGGCAGTTGTCAGATGGTATTTCTAACATCCACCGTCTGGTCCCTTTGAGATCACTACACGCATCAACCGCAACGTTCCGATATCAGCGTCATCCCCTCCTCGACATACTTACAGTCAACATGCCTCCCCCTCCGCCTCCTCCGCCGCCCCCGCCCCCCGGAGGGATGGGAGGCCCTCCTCCCCCACCTCCTCCAGGAAACTTACCAAATAGACCCTCGGGCTCAGAAGCAAAGGGGCGGGTAGGTGCTTGCTGCTCTTGTTTCAGACCCAATCTGTTGGCTGATATTCATCACAGAGCGCTCTCCTTTCCGATATTCACAAAGGTGCAAGATTGAAGAAGGCCGTCACCAATGATAGATCAGCTCCTCAGCTTGCCGGTGGAGGAGTGAAGTCTTCAGGCCCTTCGGTGCCCGGTGCACCACCCATCCCAGGCATGGCGAAGCCTCCAGCTGGACTTGCACCTCCAGTCCCGACGGCACAGGCCGCCAACCGGCTACGGAGCAACAGCGATACAGGGTCAGGGGCGGACGCAGCGGCAGCAGCTCCAGCAGCTCCTCAGCTAGCTGGACTCTTTGCAGGAGGAATGCCTAAGCTACGCAGTCGAGGGGGTGTCGATACCGGCGCTACTCGGGAATCCCCATACATGTCGGACTCGGAAAACTCCAGGGGAGCTCCCCCGCCGCCCATTGCGTCGGCTCCAAGACCACCAGGAGCCCGCCCTCCTCCACCTCCACCTGCAACAGACTCCCCACCAGCTCCTCCAGTCAATCCATTGGTCGCGAATCTTCGAAAACCGCCCCCTAGGCCTGCATCTCGTCCATCATCGACAGCGTCAGCTGCATCGATCAAGTCCGCCCCTGACGCGCCTCCCCGCGCACCTCCACCATTGCCTGGTACCGCTAAGCATGCTCCTCCTCCTCCGATCACATCACGAAAACCATCGACTACCGCTCCACCCCCGCCTCCGCCTCCGCCTCCTTCAGCTAGTCCTGCTGCGCCGCCTCCACCACCCCCGCCAGCAGCGTCAGCCCCGCGCCTACCTCCAGCGCCGGCACGGTCAACCCCTCCACCACCGCCTCCACCGGCAAATGGCACTTCGGCTGCTTCCGCGGCTGTACAAGCAGCCAGAAATGCGCTCGCTCACATGCAGCATACTCCTTCCACCCCACCTCCACCTCCACCCGCTGCCTCGGCTCCTTCCGCACCTCCACCGCCGCCTCCTTCATCTGCTCCTCCGACGATGCCCTCTGCAGCGGCACCTCCACGACCAAGCTCATATGAGTCACTAGCCAGTCCACCCCCGGATCGTTCCACTCTTGATCCGAGCGCTTATACCCTCAGCAACGGCGGGCCGTCAGCGGGACCTAGCCCTCGGAGTCCGGGCATGCACGGCGTGACTCGGATTGATGATCATAGGTTCAAATTCCAGAGCGAAGGACTGCTGCCCAAACCTCGACCGTTCGTCGGTGGTGCGCGGCGGTATCGGGCTGGGCGAGGGAGCAGTGTGCCCTTGGACCTCAGCGCATTGAGCGGCTGAGGGGAGATCCCGTGGCCAGTAGTTAGATAACATGTATGAATTGAACATTATTTCAAATGCATTAGCTATCCTCGCATCGTTTGCAGGAAGATCTCAAGCAAAAAGACTGTCAGGCTTGGTCGTTTTGTGGTCATGCATCCGTCACTGCAATTGACAGGTGATGGCGTCGCCTTGCTTCAAATGGCATTTGGGTTGTCGAATAGTCTAGAACAAATAACTAGTATACTCTGAATGCAGCAATGCGCCGTCCCAGCTCACGAATGCAGATCACGGTATGACGAGTCAGAATTCGTAGATCTTCGGAATCTGATAAGCAAAGCACGGGACGGCCTCACGTGACACGATGCCATAGCGAACGGAGCAGCAGGTCGGGATCAACAATCGCTGCCATCTCCCTTTAAACAGATGATGATCCCTGGTTAATCGCCTGACTTTGGACTGACACCGCAATCGACCGTCACCAACACAACATCACAGGTCGTTTGAACCCTCACTTCGGCTCTTCTTCACTCTAAGGAATATATCGAGGTCATTGTTCGGAACCCAGACGCCCCATCTGTTTTTCCGTCGCTATCTGTACCTTGGTGGAGCTTTGGGATACGCCGACCATACCCTCTTTCGAGAACGCCAAACTTTACGACCTTGCGCTTCGTTGGAATCAGAGAAGTCTGTCTGAGAGCTCGAGCAATTGCCCTTCTGTCCCCGTTGCGATACCGCCAGCTCTCGGGCCAGCCACATCTTCGTCATGTCTTTACAATCATACATCAACAGTAAGTATCTAGCTCCTTCTGTGGGTCGGAGAACATGTCTGGGTAGCATGACTACTTGCCCATGAGTATTCCGCGTTGCTTGGACATGTGAGATAGCAATCCGAACTGACCATACTCCTCGCGAACATAGAAAAAATTCTGGTCTTGACCGTCGATGGCCGGACATTGCTGGGCACCCTTCTATCGACGGATCAGCTGACGAACTTGGTACTCCTTGATACGATTGAGCGCATCATCCGGACGCCCGATGACCCGGAACCTAGCTCGCAAATCGAACACGGACTCTATCTTATTCGCGGCGACAATGTGGTATTATGCGGGGAGGTCGACGAGGCTATTGACCGTGACATCGACTGGACCAAGGTCAAGGGCGAGGTAGTGAAAGGCACGAAGAATGCATGAGAGAAGAAGGGAGGAGGAAGACACCTTGCCCGCTGGACAAAGCTCTTTCTTTTAAAAACCCAAATCGCATTCGACACAAAAAAAGGAAAATTACTAAAAATGGCCCCAAATAACAATCCACTGGCTGGATTGTATTTTTTTTTCGTGGCAAGCAAGGAATGGAGACGCGTTTCGTTTGATTGTGGTGTGAAATTGACGTGGACGAGTTCGGCGTGACGTGGTCACGGACGAAAGCTTTCTCCTCCCCCCCTCTCCTTCCTTCCCCCTTTCGCCCTCTTCTCTTCCGCTTTTTCCCTCTTGTCTATCCAGTTTCTCTCTCATTCTGCGTGAGTGTTGGCGCTCAGCGGGACAAGGTACTAGCCAGTGGGTGCCTGAGGTTTGCTGCGCTTGTGGCTTTCGTTTCCCGGTATCCGGTACTTGCGCGATGGGAGGGCATCGGGTGGGTCATGTTATGCAATGCATTCGAATCGGCCCGCGTTGGAAGTCTGAATGATCCGTTTCGGAGGGGATCTTCTATAATGAGATGGGAGTGTGACTACGGACTAGACATGCAGGTGCATTGGACGCTCGGGATCTTCAATCCGAACGGGGGTTCGGAATGCAAGTCCTGTGGTCGGCCGACTTCTGTGGGATCCTTGGGGGGGGGGGGGGGGGGGCTCGGGATTTTCTGAAGCAGAAGGGGAGCAGGATCCAAAACTCGGGATGATTCGCATGGGATAACCGGGAAGGGGGAGGGGAGGCTGTTTGAGAGCTGGACCGTGTCTCCCTTGTCAGCCATGGCCAGGGATTAAGATCGATGTCCATCTGATCCTGGATCCTAGATGATGTGAGGTCGGGGCCTCTTTTTCCACCCGGAAAGCTTTCCTTTCCAGCCGAGGACATGGGCCACGAGCGGGCGAAAGTGGATTTGATACATAGATGACCAATTAACATAAGACTCTTCGTTTAATTACCTGTGCATGACTTGATGAATTCGACAATATGATTGTTCAAGTAGACAGCGACTGCGTCTGGATTACTATGGGGTAGTTAATGTTGGGAGAGGAGATCAAGAGGTTGCCGTGTCTAAGTCCATAATGGCTGTGCAAAGACACTATGGATATTTATTTGACTACCTGAAATGAATCCCTCACTTGCCGGGAGTCTGTCTTAAAAGGGGGAGGTCAGGTTTTTTTCTTTCTTTCTTTCTTTTTCTTTTTTTTTTTTTTTTTTTTTACACTTTGATGGATCCCCCTGGCGAAAAGATGGAGGGAGAGAGAAGTTAAAGAAGTGATGAGTTCCATTCAATGCAAGAGATCTTTTAACCTTATTTCTCTCCTTTTGTATAGTTCCAGGTACAGCTCCAGTCAGTTACCTTGTCACTTTCTCCCATTCTTATTATTGTAGTATTATTATATACACACCCACTTTCTTTCCTTCTCTTCATCTATTGCACATTGTTCCAATCCAAATTTAACAAACGTGAAATCCTTTTCTCTCTCTCTTTCTCACTGCCTGCCGTTGGCCCCGCCCTTGCCAAGTGCGGCCCAACACCGGATCGTTTCGTTTCCAATTTCCCCTGACGGGAACTGTTCCATCCGCCGCCGCCGCTGGTGGTGCTGCTTAGTCCTCTACTACTCCTCTCCAACCAACTTCCCCTTCCCACTTTCTCACCTTTACTCAACTCCTCCTCTTCTCCTCTCCTCCTCTCCTCCTCCCTCCCTCTCCCCTCTTCCCCTCCTCCTCTGATTGATTTGAATTGTCTCTCATCTTACTCTTGGGAGACATCCTTGTTTTTTTGCCGCCTCCCTCACCTCATCTTCCCCGGATCATCCTCCTACTACTCGAAGACCCAACCACCCTCCCCGGTCCCCTTTACCGATTCGATCCCCGTATCCACTCGCAATTCCCTCCCTCGGTCGCTGGGCGACCGCCACCTCTGCCTATTCCGGTCCACCGCCGCGATATCTCGCCCTCTTCTCTTTCTCCTCGAGTGAATCAGGCGCCCTTCATGTTGTTGCGACCGTGCCAGCACTTCTCGGGTTCGACTTGTCTTTACCCGCCATCCAATTGGTCTACTTGAGTACTAGGTCGCAGCATAATTTCCCGCCCACAGCCTCGTTTCGTGACCGACAGCACCGACTCTCCGTCACTCCGACACCTCACCCTCTTCTCGACACCTCCCTCCTTTCTCTCCTCTAGATCGCCCTCACCCCTATCTAGTCCTCATTGAGCGCTTCCAGTGCCCAGCCCAGAATGTGGTTGTATCGGGGCGCTCAGTCGGCCGTTTTCTACTATGCCACCTGCACACCCTGTGCCGAGTCGTCCTACCGTCGGAATCGAATGAAAGAAGCCGCCCGGTCGAAGCGCGAACAAGAGAAAGTCGATACCATCGTCACCGACCAACCGAAACCCTTCAGACAACCCACCCCGTTCAGTACGAACCCAGCATGGGCCGAGGAGATCGCTCTAGGCCCCGGTCCGCCTGCGCGTAGAGGTGGTCGAACCCATCGTCGAAAGGAATCATGGAATACAGATGCGGTATCGGCGGAGTCACTCCATGATTCGGGTAATACAACATCCAGAAAAGACAAACTTAAGAACCCATTGGGCGAACGTTGGAGTCGCATGCGGTATCAGCGGGAAGACGAGCCGTTATGGGGTCAAGATGTGGAAGTGAAGGGCTCATCCGTGGGTTTGTCTGGTGGAGGGCGCCCGGATGAGGCCTCTAACAGCAAATATTATATCGCTCGAGTACCCCCGGTCAATGATCTGCATCCCCCGATCGTTAGTGGGCCCAAGAGCCGGGCGGAGACGCGGTGGATGTTGCAGCCCCCACCCAGTGCCAGGGTTATGGCCGGCAAGGAGCGCATCGGTGACTCCGCGTCCAAGAACAACAACAAGTCGCCCGATGTGAAAACAGATCAAAAGCAACCGGTTGCGACAGCATCAGCGCAGCCCCCGATCAAAAAACAACCGATCGAGAGAAGTGCCTCCCGAGCTAGAACGTCAGTGATGGCACCCGATGGATGGTACGATCCGAGAGCCGACGGGTTGGAGGAAGATGGCGACGACGAGTTACCTCAGCACGGACGTGACGAGTCTCGCTGGGTTATCACGCCTTCGCTACACTCTCGCTTCGAATCGTGCTCATCGCTCTCGTCCGATGCGGACTCCGAGGCGGAGTCCCCGCGGGTGTCTCTGCAATCGCCGCAAACGCCGACCTCGCGGCCCGGTTCCAAGGCGACTCAAGATAGCGGTAAACACTTCCCAACGATCGCCAAGACCATGTCCACTCTGCACCCGCAGCACCACGAGGGCAACAACAAAGTTGAGATGCTGCATCTGGAAATCAACGACTCGCCTGAAGATATCGCCTTAGGCCAGCTCGAGCGCCTGCGGCCTTGGCGTTGGAGTATGGATATCTGATTTCTCCTCCGTCTTCAGTGCAAGCCGAGTTAGGCAAGAATCCACGAATCATCCAACCCACCACATTGTCCTTTGTCATGGAAGCCTGTTTTTGCGATGCTCGATTTTTCCCCTGTTCTCTGGGTAGCAGAATACCCCCTTTCGCTGTTGAGTTTTGTCATTTGTGTCAGTCATGTTTCCTGGCGTTGGCAGCAGCGAAAAAGCGTTTCTTTCTATCTTTCTTTCTTAATTCCCCTTGCATGTCTTTCTGTTTGTCTGTTCACCTGTGATGCATCATCAGCGAAACCGCAACCAAGTCCCCCCTCGCCGCGCTGTACCCCGCGTTGAACAAAGTTACAGATTGTGTTTAGTGTCTGGATGGCTGGGCCAGTAGACATTAGGAAAACACATACACATACATACAGTTCATGGGCACGAAAGTACATAGATGAATACCCCATGTTCATCAATTGCGACCAACTTGAGCCACAATCATTGTTGTTGAAGACTATTTTGCACAGAGTACTTATGCCTTTTTGCCCGCTGTCTTTTCTTTTTCTTGTGTGTTCCCAACCGCATTCCTTATTTTTGCTTTTTTTTTTCATTTTCTCAGTTTGACCTTTAACCATTGTCTCTCCCTTTTGTGATTCGTCCTCCCACTTTCATTTTGTCCACCTGCAGCTTTTTTTCTGTCACTTTCTTTGTCTTATGACTACTAACCTAGTTTGCCCGCTACCCACCCCTTCTTGTATACTAACTTATCCTAATACATACCCCACCTGAATTTCTTCTTTGTAGGCTGCTATTATATGTCTGGATGAGCGTTGAAGTGGTTAGACGAAGCTGGTCCCACGCTATCCCAATTCTTCACGGCCGAAATCTTGATCTAGACCACTCGTGGGAGGGGGGATGGGTGGGGGGTGAGGAAGTATTATGTCCATTGATATCGGCGACGGCCCTCAAGGATCCGAATGAGGGTTCTCCCCTGACCTTTCTGTTTTGAATATACCGAGCATCCTACACTCCCGATAGTATTGTCGATGGCGACGAGTGTTAGCGAGTACCTATCTCCAGAGATAATCCTCCTTTCCGGTGGTTGTGCGTGGTGCGTGGTGCGTGGTACGTGGTAATCTATAGCTTAGCTTAGCTGGGGAAGATGCTGGACGAGGTCCCGGGAGAAGGCACTATATGTTCGGGAATAATACGAATTAGATTCTACACATACACACACACACACACAATACCCACCGCCCCTCGATCTTCTCGCCCTGCGGCTATTGCGCCAGCAGCAGCAGCAGCAGTCAAAAAAACCCTTCCATATGCATAGTGACTATAGTGTATATATGTATGAGGATCCAGCGGCTGCTTGTGATTCTGATTGACACCAATCGCCCTGTTGAAAATTCGGATTATGTTTCCCTTTCTCTCTTTGCGGCGGAGCAGGAAAAGTTGGTTACACGCGAGGCCGTAGAAGGTGTACGTATACTATGTACTGTACTGTGCTGTAGTCGGACTGGACTGGACTGGCTTTGAGTTGCGAATTGACTACTACCTACTACCCCCTCCAACCAGACTCAATTAAAACAATCAACCATACTAATAATCTTATTTTAGAGGATGCCGATAGGTGTTGGCGTTGAACCACAGAAATTCCAAGCCACAGGTGCCTTAATGACTTCTATGTCTAGTATATATCGATGGAGTATAGTGCAGGGCTGACTCGCTACGCCCAGTCGGGTTTGGCGCGGGATGTATACCTGGTATAATCTAACGATCTGTCGTCCTTTTTGGTTCGAGGTGCTACTTTACTCAGCTACAGTAGGGTCTAATCTCCCCGAGCTGAAGGCGATGCAGACTACAACGGGGTGGACGAATAGATAATAAATTGGTGAACATTTTCATCATGCACAGATAGCTGAATCGAGCTAATGAACATTGGATTCGAGTTCTTCCTTTTTTTGCTGTTTATTGATTCTGAGGTTGGTTTATCTGTTGACTGGCGAGATCATGGTAGTGGTATTCGAGGGGCAGAGCTAAGGGGACTGGGACTGGGTGTTTCTTTTCCAAGAACAATCAAAGGAGCTATTGGAAGAGAGAAGGGAAAGCAATTCGTATAAGCTGAGGGTCGTCTCCAAGGCCCGGGAGAGCCCTCGCCTCATACAAGCGCGCACGTAGCCGGATTCGAACGGCAGCGCAGTCGTCGACGTCGTTGGTCTTCGTCGTTCCGTCGTTTAATAGACCTTCTTCTTCTCGTCCATGCTCAGCTGACCGGGGCCCATGTTGACCAGAAGCAGGAGTCCACCGCTATTAAATAGATATGTTAGCCTGTGTCGTGGAGGAAAGTCTAAAAAGGCGAGGGAGGGACTCGTACACAATAGACAGGATCTGGAAGAAGTCGTACTTGGCGAAGTCCTTGTGAGGGTGGTGAGGGTGAAGCTGGTCATCATGTCAGTCGCTGGAGAAAATGCAGCATTGGAGGGGAACATACAGTCCAGAAGTTGTTGACCAGCACGTTGAAGACGCTCAACAACACAACCAGAATGATAGCGCTCCACTTGGCCTTGAATCCCACAATGACCATCACACAGGCGACGAAGCCGAACAAGCTGACCAGCACGCGCCACATGCTCCACTGGCCCGAGAAGACGAACCCGATGAAGAGGAAGATGAGCAGGACGCGACCAGCGAACTGGACGTACATCTTGCGGTCCTTCTCATCCAGCTGGGGCAGACCGGCAGGGACGAACTTCTTGCGCACCCACGAGTCAGAAAGCACCATGAGCAAACCACCGATCACACTCAGGTTGCGCAGGAAGAAGTTGAGGTCGAAAATCAATCCGTATCCGAGACCCTGGGTGATAACGACGGCCAACAAACCCGCGACGGCAAACTCAGTGTGCTTGCGGGCGATGACCAAAACCGAGCAAACCGACATGGCGATCATGTTGACGAGAAGGAAAGTATGCGTGATTCCCCATGGTACTAGTGGGGAGAGAGACGGGTTAGTGATGTTCTCGCGTTTCACAGTCTCCATCCGCGGTGCTACCGCGCAGCCGGCAGGAGAGGAACGAAGTCGAGGTGTGAGCTTACTTTTCCGGTAATCACGCAGGTACAGCAGTTGGTCGTTCCATTGCGTGATCATACGCAGGCTGTCTTCGAGAAAGGTAACCACGATCAAAAACCGACCAATGGCTGGGAGATATCTAGAGGGCAAAAAGCCACGGTGTCAGTGGAGATACGTCTTCTCTGGATGCGCGGATCGGTCGGAGGCTCCTTTCGCTGCCACAGGTGCGAGCACTCCAGGCATTGGAGCTGTAGAAATCTATAGCGGATCACGTACGGCTTAACCGGATCGGCCATTGTGTCGAGCCAATCCTCAATCTTGCTAGTCTGCTCCCGAATAGCATCCAAAGGACTCGGGTCGCTCGTTGCCTCTGCTCGGCCAGGACCGCCAAAGGGGTTCTGGTGGCCGAGGTTGTAACCGGCAGTGCCACGAATTTGCGCCATGGCGACGAATATATGATAGATGGAAGTGGTGAGTTGAAAAGTAGAGGAAAAGAAGGAGGAAGAAAGATGAGGTAGTAGAGTTGGACCCCTCGGAAGGTTGTAACGGACGGGGGTGGGAAAACAAACAAGGAAACCCGGGGGAAGGGATTCGGGAGTAGCTCCAGGCGCACTAGGCGGGAAGAATAGAGGTAGATGAGGTGTAGTGGAAAGGAAGGGAGAGGAAGAGGAAGAGGAAGAGGAAGAAGAGAAGAAAGAAAAGAGGAAGAGGAGAATCAGAAGCGGAAAAAGGTGATGGATCGAATAGCAATCAATAATAATGGGGGTGGAACGAATGAATAGTGGCTGCAGCAAAGAGCACAGTCGGACGTAAAGTTGGTCTCTTTCTTCTTTCTTTGCTATTGAGACATTGAACAGAACCAACACCAAACAAGCACAGGGTCGGTAGACTCAGTACTCCGTAACTTACTCTTCCTCCGTACAATGGAAATAAGGCCACGATGACCGGAACTCATCACTAGTCCCAATGCAGACTAGCGGAGCCGTCGGAGTTGCGGGCGTGACGCCATTAGAGCGTCTAAGGTCCTTACGTAAGCCAATGATCTCCAGTCTGTTCGCCAGTCTGTTCGCCAGTTCGCCAGACCTTCAATTCTTCCTTTTAACCCCTTCTCTCTTCCTCACTGGCCTACACCTGGCGGGCCCGCATTCTAGAAACCATGTATATTCCCTGCTGGAATCTTTGGCGAAAGAAAGAAAAAACAATAACAGTAGTAGCAATACCACAATTTGACCACACCCCTTTTTCCCCATTACCATCATACACGACTACTAACCTTGAGACACCCCCATAAGGGGGGGGGGAGGCCCTTTCTTCAACTGAACCACTGAACCACTGAACCACTGAACCAGATATTCCCCCACCCCACACACACCAAAAACAGGGACCGCCAATCTTTTAGTTCTGCGGCGGGAGATCCGTCGTCTGAGATTCGAAACACGAAACACGACCCAGACAAAAATAGGTCGAACCACTTCTCCACGCTCACTATGACCCCTCCGTGGAAAAAGGATCCTCTAGCTCAAAAAGAAGAACAAAAAAAAAGTGGACAACTCAAGGTTACAGCTGTAGAATGTTTGGAAGCTTAAGATCTCGCCTAGGCGCAGCAACAAGCCCGATCGCCAGGGTCCGAGTCCCAAAGCAGGAAAACCAAAACCCTTCCAAGTTCCCTTATCCTGAAAATGAAGTAATGATTATCTACTAAAGACCAGGTTTCCCCTTCACAGCCTTGATATTTTATGATGAGCCTTGATTCTTCTGATAGCAACTGGTTCTCCTCATTCAAGATCTGCTATGACATACAGAACACCAAAAGTTGAGAATTGGAAGAAATCACCCAAGGCGAATGCGCCCATCCAGACTGGCCAACGATGGCCTCAAGGAAGAGAAATACAACAGATCGTGTCATTGCGATCAATTATCAATGGAATACAAGGTACAAGGTATTCTAAGGAAATAGGTAGACAAAAAGGATAAGGGAAGGAGCACATCAAGAGGGTAAAACCGAGCATAACAGGTGAAGATATCAAGGAAAAAAGTTACATGGCTTTTGAAGAAGAACGGAGGGATTTTCGAAATATTCGGCCAATCGAGTGTCTCCGTCATCGCAGCCATGTTGGGTGGCTGGAACAGAGCGATGTGCCAATACATGCGAAAAGTTTTCGATGAAGAATAATATGTCCCAAACGCCAAAGCCATGAGTATAAATACAGCCCACGGATTAGTTGGATCCGGCTTGTGTCCGAAGGGCATCTTGCACAAAACCGGGATTGCATCCTCTGCCCCGGAAAGAGACCTGCTTAGGCAGCCCAGTCGGAGTCGAGAGGGTGTCCCTTCTGGTTGGAGCGGAGAATGTCGGGGAGATAGGTGGGAGTCACCTTTACCTTGGGCTCAACGGGGGCGGGAGAAGGAGCAGCAGGGGTAGGCTGGCTCTCAGAAGCACTGACTTCGCTCTCGTCCGTCTTTCCGCTCTTCTTCTTGATCTTCTTGCTGGAGACGGTGGTCCACTGGTCCTGGCCGTTCTCCGCACCCAGAAGGCGCATCTGCTCCTCCTCGGAGGGAAGACCCTGATCCCATTCCTTGACAGGCTTGAAAGTGGCGGCAACTGGCTCGAACGTATCCAAGAGCTCGACCTTGGGGGCCACGGCGGGCTGAGAAGTACCGTTGGTGGCGCTGGAAGCAGCCTTGGTCTGCCAGGCGTTGGTCTGGGGTGCAGTAGGAGTCGACTTGGCCGCCTCGCGACGCTCAGCTTCGCGGGCCGTGTGGAGCTGCTTCTCGAGCAACTTGCGTCTCTGCTCCTCAGCCTCCTGGACTTGCTGCTTACGGGCCTCGTTCTTGAGTCGCTGTTGGCGCTGCTTCTTGGTCTCGACCTGCTTGAAAGACTGGGCCTTCTTCTTCTGAGCCTCAGCCGGTGCGGCGCCGGTAACGCGGAGAACGGAAGCACCAGGGGCCGGAGCCTCGAGCATGTCGGAGATGTAACCAGCGGAAGGAACAGTGGCGTTCACAACGGGGGAACCAGCGGGAGACAGGTCGTCGTCGGCATCAGCACCAGTGGTAGACGAAGTGCGGGTGGAGACACGAGAAGCCGAGCGCTCGTCGTTTTCGAGCTGGGGAAGGGCGCCCTTGCTCTTCTTCTTCTTGGCAGACTTGCTGGTAGGAGCACTGGTTTGAGCCGGGATACCGTTCTTCACCGCATTGAAGCGCTTGGCCAACTCCTTTCGGTCAATCTCCTCATCCTGCTCCTCAACCTGCGAGCCCGTAGTCTGAGCTGCAGCCTGTTCCTCAACAGATTTGCTGGGTGCGGGGGAGGCTTCCGAGGACTTCTTCGTCTTCCGCTTCTGTTTCTTCACAGCCGGAATACTCTCGACTTTCTCTGTGATTGCCTTGATCGGGGCCTTGACCTTAGGAGAGGGGCCATTGTAGTACCATCCAAGGCCACCTGCCACTACAAGCAGGAGAGCCCAGCTGATATAAGGATTCATCATCGTTAAAGCTATGGTCAAAGCAATTGTCAGTTTTGCTGGAAGTGCAAGTGCGAGGTCAGAATGCCAGGACGTACAGTTACTAAGTTTATTTCTTGAAGTACGTAGCAAGAGTCGTGAAATTCAAAGAGACCCGTCTCAATGCACTGTGAAAGACTGAGCTGGCGGTCGTCAAATTTTCCGTTCGCGTGTCCGGGAACGTTGAGAGAAGCAGGCGAAAAAAGATCTGGTGAAGGGTACCAGACGGAGAAAGATGCAATTCGAGCAATCGCGTGATTTCGGATTACTCTTTGTTACCAGATTGCGACAAAAAGCGCAAGGCGAAGAGGTGTGGGTTGGCGAAGGAGAAAGTTGCCGCAGTTGCGCTGAAAGGCCAGATTTCCCCGGCGAGCTCGAATGGCGAATCGGTAGCACTATCTGAGACTTATGATATCAGATGGCGACTGGAGAAATTCGAAGTTCGAATTGAAGACCTCAGCCGCAGATCTATGGTCTTCACACAGGGCGCTGGAGCTTGGGGTAGTTGAACGCTTCGGTCGGCGCTTCGGAGTTGAAAGAGAAAGGTGAGGTAGGTCGCGAGGACGGAGCAAGGTGAGGTAAAGAGGTAACGGGATGGTATCACCGAAAGACCATTGAAGCACCCGTCAGCCGAAGACTGAAGGGTGGGCGACAATGGCTGACTGGAAATGCAACACAAGTATGACAGGGGACGAGTTGGAAGCGAGGAATTGGGGGAGAGAGAAGAGGAGGGTTGTAAGGAGGAGGGCGATGGTGGGAGAGAAAGAGGACACGGATTGGAGAGATGAAGGGGTGGTTGTCGACTCGGCAAGTGGTGAGGAATAAATTACCAAAGCACCGAGATGGATGAACTACCCAGGTACTCCGTAATTGTCGCTCGTATCGGTATCAAACAGCGGTCCTTGCACGCGCTGGATGAGAGACTCCACTGCTAAGAGTAAATTGTCAAGTAGTGCAAGATCTTGGAAGAGATTCTTGCCTGATCATCATCTGGACCGTGATTCAGGAGATTTTTCTTGGGGATAGATCTTTTATAAACCCAGTTGCAGTCATCACACGGGCTGACATGCCTGTGGCGCATTGATGAAAGGATTACCCCATGTTTCTATGTTTCTACTTTCTTTGAGCCAGCAGTCAGCCAGTCTGTAACTGCTGGCAACAGATAGGAGAGGAGTAATCAAAGTAATTACAGTAATCACTTTACGGACTTCTACTAGCCACCTCCTGGGGTTGAACAAATTAGCCTTGGAAGACCAGCACGAATCAGACCTCTTCCTTCCCTGTCGTCGGACCAGTGTCCGTGACGTTGACAGACCGAATGGTCTTACAGCATCCCCTGGTTTGGAGGACGGTGTTCGACACTGGCGCGGGGAAAGATCTTCCCCATGCGTGACATTGGTTCGACCCCTCTGGACTGCAATGTTGCGTTGCACTTCTAGCATCGGCGTGTCATAGTCAGAAGGAAGCCAGCCCCCTGCGATACACAAGACATAGCTTGCTAAAAGGAAATGTCTTTAGGTTTGAGGGAAAGAATAACTAGAACTAGACCAAAGTATTGAGATAGAACTACCGAGCTGTTGATGGGATGCTCCGGTATGTTGTATGTTACCAACCGGCAGTGGCAGAGGCACAAATACAGGGGTAATACCACTCACTGCAGGCCATTCCGCCTTCCGAACAGGCCACGTCTCAGCTTAGAATCGTCCAGACTCCAGACCCCGGGAAGAACCCCCGTCGGCCTGGACGACCCGAGACAGCTACCCTGTTCGGTCAAAATTACCACAATCATGGATGCAGTGGGTTGAGGGCAGTCCTGTTCCAGGCTTCCCCTACTTCATCTCAATGCTACACGATAGATAATTGGACATGTCAAATCAAATTGAGGATCTGTCTGAATCATCTGTATCTATATCTGGATGATGAAGGATGGTGCTGAGACAGTTGGCTCAGTGTCTGTTCCAGAACCACGCAGCTAAATTCATCAATCATAACTTATCGTGTACTTCAATTATTCAGCCAAATGACCTGCACTGGCACCTTCAAGGAGTCATGCTACAGATTCTCGTAGACAAGTATCAGACTGCTGATTTGGCCAATCTTTCATGTGGTCCTTGAAGGTGTGACTAAGCCCTTCTTTATCAACAACCGCGGTAGTGGAGCATGAGTGATAAGACTCAGGACCAGCCAAGAACCATCCCACTTCCCCTCCATCCTTTGCATCATCGCAATTTTCCTCCCTCAACACCATCCTTCCAACAGGGTTTACAGAACTGAAACAATCCGCGGAAGCTGTAGGCAGTGCACTCGAAGTAGACTATCCACACAATGGCGCCTAGAAAGATCATTATCGACACCGATCCTGTATGATATAATTGATTCTCGTCCCAAACTGCAGCTGCTCTATCCTTCTGCGTCTGACCGGCTTGGTTGCTTATATAGGGAATCGATGATATACTTGCCCTTCTCCTGGCACTGTCCGCTAAGCCAGAGGAAGTTGAGGTGCTCTTGGTCTCGCTTACTTTTGGTAATATCGAAGTGAGAAGGTAAACCACCATTTCCAAAACCAGATGTTACGCCTACTGACTTTCCAAGCTGCCTAAAGAATGTCGTATCCATGTTTCACATCCTCGAGCGGGAGATGAAATGGCGTCGAGAGAAAGGTCTCCCCGAAGGTTACGGCGCCCTGCGCGCCTGTCCTCCTGTCGTCGCCGTGGGAGCGGAAGATCCCTTGGAGGACCAGAAGATGCTGGCAGATTACTTCCGTACGTGTCTGAGCTTAGAGTCGAGATTGATAGGAACGCTGACCCCTCATCTAGACGGAACGGATGGTCTCGGCGGAATTCACACCAGCGTGAGCAGGGCGCATGTCTCCTTCCTGACCCGTCGATTCACTAACGAAGTGCTTGCAGCATCCGCACCTGTCTCCCCAGGAAACCTGGGAGCATTTGTTCGAACCATCCAACGATTCCAACGCCATTGAGCCAGTCCCGACTGGCGATTCCGCCAACCGGCTGTTTGTTCCTTCGAAGCGTCCCGCACACGAAGAGATCCTCCGCGTTCTGAGCGAGAATGACCCCGACACCGTTACTATTGTAGCTGTTGGCCCCCTCACTAACCTAGCCATCGCCTCTGCAAATGACCCAGAGACCTTCCTTAGGGCCAAGGAGGTTGTGATTATGGGAGGAGCTGTGAACCAGCCTGGAAATGTATGCTTCTGTGCCGCCTCGAGAATCTGGAAATCCGCCTGCTGTATACTAACGCAAACCGATCAGGTCACCCCTGCGGCTGAATTCAACGCCTATGCCGATGCAGTCGCTGCCGCCCGTGTCTACGCCCTCACGTCGCCTTCACCCCGGAGCACGATGCCCCCGGGCACGAGTCTGCCAATTTACCCCGCCACACTCAGCAAACAGCTCACCCTTCGCACCTTTCCCCTCGACATCACTCTCCGACATGGTATGACCCGCGGTCAGTTCCGGAAGGCCATCACCCCGCTGCTGGAATCCGGCTCCCCACTCGCCGAATGGGTGTCAGCTTTCATGGCCCACACCTTCCAGACCCTGGAGAGGCTTCACCCGGGCCACGAGGGCGACAAGGCCGATCTCAGTCTCCACGATCCAGTGTGCGTGTGGTATGCGTTGACCGCAGATGACGAAGGGTGGAAGCCGTCCGCAACCTCGCCGGAGGACATTCGGATTGAGACCACCGGCCAGTGGACGAGAGGTCTCTGCGTGGTGGACCGCCGCAATCGCCACCGGATTGACGGCGAGGAGGAGAGCTCCAACGACCATGGCCTGTGGTTGAGCGCCAGGGCAGGAAACCACGTTTTGAGGATGGATCACTCCCCGGTAGAGAACACCTTTGGGGGCATCCTTCTCGAAAGAATCTTCAACTGAGAAGAATAGAGCGCGGCGATGCGTTCAACAACCTACACTCGCCACCCCCATACATCAGATTCGCCAGTATATAGCCCCCTATATAGTGATAGAGTTTCTGCAATAGAAGTTAAAACCTACGAGCAAACTGGTATGCATGTGCCCATGACACGAGCAGGACGAGCCCAAAGTGTATAAATAGACGTCCGGCTAAAGGTACTGAGTACGATGGCCTGGCGCATCCGTCCTCCTCTGCTTTCCCCTCATTTCCAGCCCCGACCCGATCAAGAATAGCTCCGGACTCCGTTAAGAAGGAATCCGTCGGCAGGTCCGAGAATCATAAGCCCCCGAGGTGAGTGCTTCGTAACGAGACCTTCGCGTCGCTAAAGCCCCGCATCATTAAAGGCACCTTGCTGAGAGGGACACTCACAACCGTCCAGCAGACACGTATGTTCTACCGAAACGTAGTCAGGCATGACCCCTCCCCTCCGAGACGCCAACGAATAAGAAATATAGCACTGTCGAGACATCGAAGGATCGACTCCAAGACGAAGTAGAAACACTGGCTTGAGCTTGGAGCAGACTTACATCGGTTGAATACTGTAATGGACTAATCCGGTAGTACTGGCACATGCCCACCCACCACCACCACGTCCACATCCAGGTTCTCCCCGCTCAGCTTGTGAAACCACTGATTGAGAATAGGAGGTGCACGTGCTTGGATGCCAGGTCTGGACGGGACTGAGGACCCTGGCCTGGGTCGGAACATTTTCCAGCGGGCTTACTCCTGCGGTGCGCTCCCCCCTTAGCCCTCTCGGGGTCCTCAACGTCAACGGGCGCTCGGGTGAGCGGTTGATCCCATGCAGCAAGGACGGATAAATCCGGAGAAGATGAGGGGAGGGGGGAAATATGTGCACGGGCTTGAGGGTGCTGATGGGGTCCGACATTGCTATGAGTAAAGTACATGTGTGTGTGGAGTAGCTATGGATGAACTTTGCCACTGGTGACATACTCCATTGATTTACTTTCCATCTTCCCTTGAAATGCTATTCTATCTCGAGGGAAATCTCGAGGGAATCATATGTCTCACTCATCTAGATCCGTCTCTTGCATCATGATCCTCTATTTTCCTGTGCTCTGAATTCTGTAGCGGGGAAGAATGTCTTAGGAGAAGTATCTCGTGCCCTAGTACGGAGGGGGGAGTGAGGTCGGCAATTGATGGAATCGTTCAACAACACCAATTGGCATTCCCTCTGCATCAGCGTGGGCGATCAAGCCAGATAAGAAGATGCTTTTCTCTTTCCCCCTCATTTTCCCGTTGCACTGGACGAGTTGAGTGGAACCTAGACATAGGTTGCGGCACAAGACTGCATACCGTCCACGGTACTTACTCGATCATCATCATCGGCATCATCACCACTAGTAGATAGAGTAGATTGCTTGGAGAGGGATTAACCACCTCAGATAGTGGAACGTTCTCCGTTTAGGGTTTGGCGTACTGGAAGGAAATCTGGAAGTAAGGAGTCAAGTGGCTACGCAGCCGATAAGAAGAGGGAACGGGAGCACGAGCGCCAGGAGGCTTCAGAGACTCGGCCATTTGGCCCTGGCGGTCTTTCGGTCTCGTGCCCTTTCCGCCGCCGCTGTCCGGCCAATGATGGGCGTCTCGTCCGCCGCGTGGGCTTCCCTAAGCACGCGACACTTGCCTGTCTCTTAAGCAGACGGTTACAGATTGGAATTCATCTGTCGATCAGCCTCTTTTCTAAACTGAATTATAGGTACTTCGGGACTTACTACGACTATCATACTTGTCCGGGTTACTGTAGAATAAGTAATGATCAAGTACCTGCTAGCCTACCTTAGGACCAGACCATTATCGTGATCTTCCTCATACTTTTCCTACTACTTACTACCTTCCTCCCCTCTCCTTCTCATTCTAGGAATACTCTCGCCTCTCTACCCTCCTTGGATATCATCACTCTCCCCTTCTCCTCAGCATCTCCTTTTTCTATCCTCTTTGTCTTTGATCTATGATAATTAAACATAAGACTTTTCCTTCTTGACCTCTGCGGTGCGAATTAAGCCTTCTCTCCACTCATCCTATACAGTCGTTCTCGCATCGCCTATCAACCACTACCTCCCGACTTACTCCTCTTCTCCCCTACCGGCAAGCAAGACTGTACAACCTCGCTGCGGGGGGTCGTTCAACATACCCTTCACCATTGGCCCCGTCTCACTCGCATCTCCACTAGTTCAACTCATTTCCATTCAGCCAACGCACCCATTGGCGAGCAGTGTCAGGTCGACAGCCAACCTTGCTCATCCCCCCCTCCCCGATCCAAATCATGTCACGGTCTCGTCTGCCACCGACACCCGCCATGTCCGGGGAGCTCACCATCAAGGAGCAGTCCTCGGTGGATGCGGCAGACACCTTTGCTCTGCCTCCTGCTGCCATGAGCCCTGTTCGGATGGTCGCTGCCAGCCGAAGGTCCTCCAAGTCGGATCCTGCCCTCTGCTTTCCTGCGTCCCCTGCCTCGCCCACTACCACCATGGGCAGAATGGCCCACTCGCCGCGTCAGACGGGAATCAAGCGACCCCTGGAAGAATTTAATCTGCCACCACCACCGACCCGCACCCGCAAGATCATCCAGATGAAGCCCAAGACCCAGAACCAGCCCAAACCCGCCGCGCCGCCCAGCAGCAAGGCCTCCACGAAAGACAACGCCAGCAAGGCCTCTGCCAGCAATGCAACTTCCTCGAATCCCAAGAAGAAACAGCCCAGCGCCACAAGCGCAGCCGGTCGGAAGATTGCGCGCAAGACAGCACACAGCTTGATCGAGCGCCGGCGGAGATCGAAGATGAATGAAGAGTTTGCGACCCTCAAAGATATGATCCCCGCCTGTCAGGGACAGGATATGCATAAGCTCGCTATCTTGCAGGTGTGTTCCTGTTGCCCTGTCGTCCGATTATCGACCTCTATTTTCTGATCGCTAATGAACGCCGATGTACCCAGGCAAGCATTGATTACGTCAACTACCTGGAGCAATGTATTCTAGATCTCAAGACCGCGGGTGGCCCTGCAACAAGAGTCTCTCCGTCCATGGCGCCGGCCCCACCCTCTCCAGCGTCCCCGGAGGCTCTTGCGGAGGATTCGGGTCTTTCATCTTCGGCTTCTGTGTCTCCAGAACTTCTCCCGACTGAATCCTCGGCCTCTAATACAACTTCACCGATCTTTTCTGCACAGATCCCAACGCCTGCTCCCGGATCACTTCCTGACTTCCGATGCTCGTTCGCGACATTCTCTGCCTCAGAACCAGTCCAGCCCGCCGCCCCAGAGACGTCCCGCTCGGCACGTGGCTCGTGGGCTGCGTCAGCCAGTACCTCCCCGGGCCTGCCACCGCAGTACGCCATGACATCTCCAGCCGATGTCGACCATGAAGCGTCGGCAGCCTTGCTCATGCTGAACCGTGACTGTCGGGGATCCGTGGGATCGGTCCATGACGCGCAGGCACCTCCTGCATCTATCGCGCGGGAAGACCACATCCAGGGGCAAGATCCGCAAAAGAAGCTAGGCATGAGTGTGCAAGACCTGCTCATATCTTGAGCTTCTGTATTTTAACATTTTGTTCATGGCGTAAAAAGTATGGTGCGTGGTTGGGCGTGTTGATAAGCGTTGCTCAAACGAGCAGAAAGAGACCGGATTGGCGTTCTTTGGGCGGGATGATATGTTGGGTCTTGTTTGTTCTATATATGCAGGCTGGACCAGTATAAGTAATGATGATGTCCTGAATGATTGTTGATATGGCAGGCTTACTGAGTGAGCCGAGCTTTTTCTGGATAAGGTTCAATAGCGATGCTCTAGATACCCATAAGCAAGATGCGAATCGCTTCAACTCACACCCTTCAGAAAGCAGAGAGAAAGCCAATTGTCAAGCAAGGTCATAGAACTGACTAGACAATGTCAAGATAAAATAAACCACAAGCTGCAAACTTATCCACTGCAGTAGCGTAGCGTAGCGAAGTGGTCCCCGTCCGTTAGCCCCACAAGGCCATCAATCAAGCATTGCACCAACCGAGCCTGGAGCCCCCGTCCCCACCCGGGCCTTCTTCAGTGACAGTGACAACAAGAAGCCGAAGCAGAAAACCGACCCGCGATACTCGCGAAAAAGGAAGACAACATCTGATCCCTGGCCCAGACCCCTACCCTCTAGCAAAGATTACAACAACAGCGCAACCGTGCGATCAGCATAGAGTCACTTGACCGACCGCGGTCCGGGTGAGCGTTGCAGCCCAGAACAGCCTACCCAGTTAAAGAAGTGTGTGGCTGACCCCCAATCCCCTGGCCATCAATTCCCGGACTGGACTACACTGCACTGCATTACACAAGCCCGATTCCTGCACCCACGAGAGACTTAGGGGAAAGGGGTCTCGACCTTGAGTGCTCTGGGTTCTGCAGCCGCATACGATCTGGCTGGCTAGTTATGGGAAGAAACGTTCTTTTGGTGTTCGGTCTGGGGGCCAGCCTTTAGGGATGGGGGGAGGATTTGTGGACGGTACTGTGCTGTGCTGGGCTGTGCTTGTACCCCGCAGAGGACATTGTTGCACTTGCATGTGTGCACGCCTGCGTGCATAGTGTATGTAGCATGGCGTGGCGTGAACGGGTTTCTTTCTAGTTCCTTCTGGAGAGATTCTAGCCTGATGGCCATTTTTGGAGGTTGACTTTGTATCTGTTTGTGTGTGACCTCGATGGGTGCATGGAAGGTTAGGCTAGAGGTATTGAGACTGAGGGGAGGGAGACTTTGTTTAGTTAAACCCAATACCAGAGAACCGCCTAGGTGATTTTTCTATCACGGCGACGTGAGTTATAGTGTGAAAAGATCCGATCCGGACATACAGCTAGTAATCCAGCAACGGTCGACACCCCAGCCGGCCTTTTCCCCAATTCTCTATATAAAACATACCACGCATTCCACACATTCTGCAGGGCGTCTCACGAGGTTTTCTGCACAGATCTTGGCAGTACGACCTGGAATAGGCTCTGGCACTTTGCGTTCAAGTATATTGCTTGGCATTGGGGGCAATTGTCCTGCTCGAGCAAATGAGTATGCGTCGAGTTTGTTCCACGACGTTGACCGTTATTCCATATGCTTCTCCGATAATAAAACCCTTGGCGCGAATTCTTCCGTGATTCATCGAGTAGCCAAGGATTGTAATGGCTGGGATAATCGATGCTGGAATACGGAGAAGGACCTAGGGTTGGTTGGTTGAGAACCTGGTTCACGGCACAGGTGTGCGCCTGCATTTAACTTATTACCCACTCTTGTTTTTCCCAGATAAGCATTTGGAGATTGGCCTGTGCGTGAGACAATTGCTCTTGTAGCCGCAGGGAAGGTAGGCTACCGGCAATAGCTCGGCGATCAGGAAAATCACAGGCTAGTTTACTCGGTATTTACGGTTCTGCTTATGGATTGAATGGTTAGACTGCAATGGGTTGTTGTGATAGCGACTCGTTTGGATAGAGCCGGGCAAAAAAGAGTTTTCTTGTTGACGTACTTTGGGCCTGACCGCGGAGGTCCTCTGGCCCTTTCTCCCCCACTTCCACCGTCCAGGTTATGGTTTGTGCTGATCTACAATCGTGGAAATCCATCGAGGGCGCCGCGACCGACTTTTGGTAAGATGACGTGGGTGGGCGAACCACTTGCCTGCTAGGCGATTACTTAGTAATTCCCCGTTCGGTTATCGGCTGTTGAAAGGTAGGGTGTTCTTTATGCCAAAAAGCTGCAAAGAAGGAAAGACAAGGAGCCGGCGGAGTTGGTCGACATAGACGTTTCTTGAATGGCAACCAGTCCCATTCCCTTTTTCAGATCGGCATGGTAGTACTACATTGTATGCAGCAGGAGGCAGGGTCAGACTATCATTCTTGGGAACCTGAAAGTACAGTAGTTGCCCCCCCCCTAACCCCCCCTTTAAAGTCTTAGCATCCACTAGTGTGGCCCATGGGCGCAATGGCAAAGTCCCCGCAGTGCCGACATTCCGTGATGTGCAAGACTAAACGAACTGGTGACTCCCCGCCCGAGTCCCGTGGTCCGTCCCAAGCATCGTATATATTCATCCTGAACCACCCACCCCCCTTTCCCTGTTGATCGCTCTCATTCTTCGGTTTCCGGATCCATGGCCTCGGGGCTCATCTCCTCTGCAATCCCGCGTCATTCCAGCATCCCACCCTCATCATGTCGAGCAAGTTTCCCTCCCAACAGCGCAAGAAGAATGCCCGCTCCATCGCCTCGGAGGACCCCTGGAAGGTCGACACTCCATTCGGCCCGCCGCGCATCTCCCACTTCCCCAGCAGCAAGATCAGCCGCATTCGCAACACATTACAAAAATTCTCCCCCTCCGCCCGGGCCGAGAAGGAACTCCTCAAGCAGAAGAACCGATACAAGATCCCCCTGACCGAGCGCAATGTCGACGCTTTCGTGACGGAGCAATTGGTTACCGATGCCTGTCACCCGGGCCAACACTCGCCAGAATTGCAGATCTCGGCTTGGCTGGAGCAACTGTCATACTGAAAGAATGGGAATGCTTGATGCCGGTACCATCGTACGGTATGGGGGCAGCACACTGTCAGCTGCTTTGCCGGGTCTCTTTGTGCCCCAGCCCCCACACCATCTCTATTGTTTCTCCACGTCCTTGGGTCGATCGACACAGACAAGAAATCCCACCAACGACCCCCGCGCCAACCCAACGCCAAGAGTGCAATGTGAAAGTATTGCGCACTCACGTCAGCCTTCTTGGCAAATACAAGAGATATGACACCTCCTTTTCGAATTCAATTGCGAAGGACAAGACGGGACAAACCAAGAGGGATAGTCTATCTATGCAGGGCATGGCAGTGGTGCCGAGAAAAGACCCTTGCCGGGGGGCCAACGTCATTCTTCTGGGCGCCGAGCCGCGCCCGGCCCCCGCCAAGTATGCAGGTGTCAACATCCATGCATTTCCGGGTGTGGGGTGCGCTCCAACAATACCTACCTACACTACCAACCATCCACCCTGGGCTGGGGACTTTCTGGAGTCGAGCATATTTGGGATTGGTCTCACATTGTTCCAGGTGGCTGCTGGTATAGCCTTTTACTTTCGTTTCCCTACTTTTGGTTTAATATCCTCTTTAATGTTACTTCTTTTTCTTTGTTTGGGCCTGAGTCTTTCTCTAGTTTTGGGCTGCGTGATGCTCTTGCATGGCCGAGATCATTGGCTATTTTAAGCGACAAGCGATTTGATTTTTTTTGGAAGATAGCATTCATTGGCGAGCTGGTTGGAGTTTGACGAATTCTTGTGGTCTCTTTTGATGTTTCTAGTCTGGTCTTCGCCAGGCTTGCTGTTCTATTGGCACATGGGCTGCATTAAATTTGGGCTCTATGCTTGAGAACCAATTTATAATACATTTCAGAGAAATATTCACACTCATCGTAGAATCATCGCATTTCTGTCTACTTTGCTGACCTAGAACAGGAAGCCAGCTGTCCGATTCCTCCACCCGGATCGAGCTTTACAACAGGCCGAATGCTATAGCTGCTTGATGGGCTGAGACCAAGAATATCGTGTGAATATTAGCCAAGGTGAATGGACAAGCACACATGTATAAGTGTGAATTCTCTCCATGACACGCAGAGACCACCATGAGTCTGCTTCTCATTATTGAAGCCCGGACACTAGTCAACGGTCTGTACCAGAGGCCTTGTGAATAGGTGGCTATCATTCATGATGTAGGGTTCTTTTCTTCCAGCTTTCGCCTACTTTATCCTCCTCCTCCTCCTCTACTCTTCTATCCTCCAGCTCCTTTCTTCTTCCACTCCACTCAGCCCACTCTTCTTGCCTACCTTCCTTCCTTTGACCACTACAGCACTCCACCATATCCAGTTCCTAATAGAGTAAAACTTTCTTGTTAAGCCCACATTCTTATCAACTATACAACCCTCCAACGAAGCCCAGCCCACCAGTTTCAGCTCCTGACTCCAAGCCACACCTACTTCCAGAACCATATACCACCAGACGAAGATGACTGCCCAACTTGAAAACGAAGTCTCATGCTTCGTGGGCCGTCAGGCTCATATGCCATGCAGATTCCTGCTATACTTACCCAACGTGAGTCACCTTAACCTACTTCCAGAGCAAGACTAATCCATCGCACACCGACCATTCAATAACCGGTTTCAGTGCCGTCCCTCGTCTTCAAGCTAGAAGTTGATGCATCTTTCTATATGCCTTGCAAAAAGCCAAGCAAAGAGAGTACCGATCGTGTGGACATTGCGGGCTGGCATTTTGATTCCTAGGCAACGCCTCACAATAAGTACTTCGTCTTCGTCCCTCTACACAATTACTGGCTTGCGGGATGTCATACGCAACTATGCGTCTGGCTATATCAAGCCAGGGCTTCTTCTGCTGTCAGGCTTGCAGAGCCTACAGCCGATGAAAAAGCACTCCAGAACTATTTGCGGTGGATACTGTACATCCCAGGCAAGAAGGGGAAAAGGGGGCAAGACCTCTGGGTCCAACCAGGACCAAAAGTACAAGGTAAGCTTGGGACAGACATCGCTGGTCTATGTGGCTTAGTTGCTGATCGCTTCTAGCACTGCACTCAGTGTGGTGACTTCAGACGCGCTGTGCCCTCCCGTTTTGTACAGCATGGTATGCTTCTTGCCGTGTCAGAAGACCAGAGTTTCTGACTTGACTACTTTGCATGCTTTTCAATCGTTGAACAGAACGGTTCTGCGACGCTAGTAACCCTGAGTGTGGCCTA